TAATAACTTGCGAGGATCAGCTGACTGTGGCTGATCGGTTGACTGTTATAATCATCACGTGCGCAAGAGGTCACTGTCCCCTGCTGTATTAGGCCCCCCTGGCTTCACAGGCACTTTCCAACTCCCTCATCACTGCTGAGTACATTCAGCACCCATTCCATCCCAAGCTATGGATTTCTTCACACGTGCCCAAACGAGCTTCCTGTCCTGGAAACATGGAACACCACTCCCATCTGGGGCCTGCGCCTCCCCAAAGTTCCAGTCCTGGCATACTTTTGACCCTGTCCAACGTTGGATTGCCACACCCTCCGACATCGATACAAACACACCAGCAGACCCAGTTGGGGGTGCCGATACCTCAAGGCTTGTCCTGCTGACATGGAATATTGATGGGACGTCTCCTCAGACTGAGAAACGCGTTACAGAAATAATCACGTGTATTATCGGATTAGATCCCCGACCGGATATCATTTTCCTCCAAGAAGTGTCAAAGCCAGCCCTCCAGCAAATCTTGAAAGACGAGCGGGTTCGCGAGCTCTGGCTTTCGAGCGAATGTGACGACACATCATGGGGCGATCAATCGTTTGCGGTAATGACCTTACTATCAAAGGCACGCTTCATGACAAACACTGCCATAGGACCAATTTGGAGGGTGAAATTCCCGAGTCACTTTGCTAGGGACGCTCTCTGCTGTGATATATTCGTCGCTTCATCTAAGGAACCCAGTCCAACACGGTTGCGTCTAGTAAATGTTCACCTAGACTCTTTGCCAATCAAACCTTCCCACCGACCCAAGCAGGTATCTATTGTTGCATCCCTCCTTCGCGTCGCAGGTCAAGGTCTAGTCGCAGGTGACTTTAATCCTGTCCTCGATGAGGACAACAGCCTTCTAGAGAAAAATGGCTTGGTGGATGCTTGGACAGTTCTTCGGCCCGGAGAACCTGGCTTAACTTGGGGCCTAGATGGCAAGCAACCATTCCTTCCCAATCGGCTTGATAAAATAGGTATACTGGGGCTGCGACCGCATGACATCAAGACAATAGAGCCGAAAACTATAAGCGGATCTTTTGACGATGAACCCTTATGGACTGATCATCATGCTTTGGTCTGTTCCTTTGGCTTGGTGGATGAGTGATCATCAATATTTTGGTCGCTTCGGTTGTGGAAGAATAAGCGATTCGAACAATAGTTGAAAATATTCATAGCTAATAAGAGAAATAGATTAATAAGATAGCTTTACTTGAGAAAAGATGCAATGAAATGCAAATTGCTAGATCTATACTTGATTCTTTTGGTCAGGAAGCGTATGCTGCATGTAGCTAAGACAGGGACATTTAGTTATTGAATCCCCATCCATAGATTATGCCACACCATCTGTAGCATCAGATCAACAATGCAATCATCAACCCCACAAATAAGAACCCATTCTCGTACAGTGTATAATAGTTTTGGTTAAGCGACAATCCCACCACCAACCCTACCCTACCCTACCCAAACACCAACCAACCAACCAAACCAAACTGTCCCTCAAACAATAGTCCCTCCATGAATAAGATGAATAATATCTGATGCAATATCCGCGTAACAAGCAGCCCCGATGATTGGCACCCACATGTTCGGGGGCGTCACCCGCACTCCCTCCCCCAATAACACACATTCAAGGATCGTCACAACCACGGTTCGTCTTCCCCGCTCCCCCCTCCCCCACGATGTCATACTCCACTAAAGCTGTGATATAAATCGCCTCCGCCCTCATCATGTTCCATATCTCTTCTTATCTCATCTGAAACGATCTATCAATATCATCATCCAAATAATCCAAAGAAAGAACTGGACACAATGACCAGCGAACGCAGACCCTCCGGCGCATACCACCTCACCGGCTCACAGCTCGTCGAAACAGTCGATGACCTCAGCTCCGGAGGCAGATGGGAAGAACTGAATCGTCGGGCTCATCACGCTGATACGGGTGATTCACAGCAGCAGTCGCAGCAGCAGCAGTCGGGGTCTAAGGCGGCTCCTGACAGGTCGCAGTCTTTTAGGCCGTATAATCCTAGTAAAGGTGGGTTCATTCCTTTTTAAGTGCTTGGTTTAGTTGTGGTAGAAGAAAGGAAAGCTGATATAAGTGATGGGAACAGACCAAAGCGACGACCTGCTGCCGGATGAGTAGTGGTACTAGTGGATGTAGTAGATTGTCCGCGGTGGTGATTACGGCCGTGTTGGGGCTTTATTGTTGTTTGTATCCCAGCTGGATGTATGCGAGGGATTTGGTGAAGTGGGTTACTTGTTGTAAAATTTGATGCAAATATCGTATAGTCGGGTAACTGTGGGAAGGGGTAGTATTTATGTTTATTATAATTTTGATATGGAATAATGACTCTCGTTTGGAAGAAGTTTGATTTGAATTATTGGGTGAGTGCTTTTGCTGTGACAGTAGCTCCTAAGGCAGAAAGTTTCCCCATAATTCAACAATTAGTCAGTGTGGCCGAGTGGTTAAGGCGATAGACTAGAAATCTATTGGGTTCGCCCGCACAGGTTCGAGTCCTGTCGCTGACGTTTCTTTTTGTTTTTCTTCCCGTAGTTCTGGAAGCAGAACTCTCTTTTTGCGTCGGTTTATATATTTCTTGGGCGAATTACGGGTGTTAATAGGTTTTTACATGCCTTATGCATCATTTATAATGTATTTGAACATTTTTCGTCGTAGGAATGCGCCATGCATGAATTGTCCTCTGCTGTTCGGAAGAGACATCAAAGATATATATATCTCCCCACCACATTCTCCCTCAATTTAATCACTCCCCCCAGCATCCCTCTGCTTCACCCTCTCCGACTCAAACGCAAGTCCCGCACGCTCTCTCAACACCCCATACATCGACGACGAATCTAATGCCCGCCCAGTTTCCTCTCCATACCCCCGAGCCTCCCGGAGATGATCCAAAACCACCCGCGCGACGGGCAAATCGGTTCCCGCTCCCTCGGCACAACTCACCCCCAACGAGACATCTTTAATGGCCAAATTCACATCTGACCACGGTCGCTGACCCCGTTCAGGCAGATAGAAACCCCCAGTCATCCTCTTCGACATGGAGGTAAGAAGAGGACCATACTGCTCTTCCAGTAACCCCTCGAGAACCTCACTCCCGAGACCGGACTTCTCCGCTAACACCTGTGCTTCAGCGACGAGCTCCATCATGCCGCCGGTGAGGAAGTTCCTAACTATCAATTAGATATATTCACAGAGGATTGGATGGCTAAGAAGGTCAGAACTCACCCCGTACACTTCAACAACGTAGACCTCGTAACATCCTCGCCCAACCTCATCATCTTCCTCCCCATAACACCCACGATGTACGGCTCCACCCGCTGCACGGCCTCATCCGCGCCCGCAACCACAAACAATAACTTGCCTTCTTGCGCAGTTGGCGTGGCCCCAAATACCGGTGATGCGATGTAGGTTACTCCGTGTTCTCCAAGACGTTGTTTTGCCCAGGCAGACGTATCTGGGTGGACAGTCGTGGTATCGACGATGAGTTTCTGGCGCAGATAATCTGGTTCCAGTGTTGCGATGGTGTCGATGATTGATCGAACAGCAGTATCATCAGTCACGGCGATGAAGCAGATATCGGTGCTGGCGATGAGGTCGGGGATGTTGGTGTATTGCACACCCCCAATCTCATGGAGGGGGAGTCCACGAGCTGCGGTTCTATTGAAGAAATTGAGAGATGGGGCGTTGATGTGCGATAGGTGGGCCTGGAGGTTCAGGGCCATGGCTTGGCCCATTGAGCCGAGACCTGGGGATTTAGTACTCCGTATAGTTTATATAGCGGAGGATGTTGGATACTTACCGATCCATCCGAGACGGGGGTGGGGGTTGGTTGAAGGGTCCATGGTGGAGGATAGATTGGATGATGGGTGGAGGTTGGGCGGGAGATGTCGTATATTTGAAGTGCTCGGTAGCTCTAATTTATGTCAGATCTGGTATCTTGATATGAGTCATTTGCATGGCCTAGAGCTTTGCTCCGGCATTAGTGCTGACAGACATCGAGGCAACTTAGATTGGCATGTTATTCGTCCGAAAGGTGAGGATCCACCAGATCGCGGGTAATTCCGAGATCCTGTGCAGTTGAGTTTCAATAGCATAATGTACGCTGAGATTCCTATGCCACTTGAATTATACCAAATAGCTAACGAGCAGAGCACCGGTCACTGAAATGGTCGAGCGGTGGATAGGAGACCCGATCGGAACCCAGTCTGTAATGTCCAGCTTGTGATAGTCTCACTCACACATTGTCCATGCGGGAGCTCGTCATATCTATCCCTAAGCTTTGACTTTAATGCAAGGGATGAGGCAGAGGATCGTAGCAAAAAGGAAATACCACATCTCATCTGCAGACCGCTACACTCGTTGGTAAGATGTCCATATAGAGTTTTCGATCTCAAGGAGATCCAAGCCCGATTATGCAACGATGGACCAATAACACAGCTACATTGCTCATCAGGTGAGGTCGGAAATGCATGTCTAGCGCCGAGTACTGATTCTACTTCGATTATACTCATGCGATAAGCTTTCCACGTCAGCGTTCAGCTTTCGCCTCTCGTCACGGAGTCGCCGATATGCGAGATGAGATCGTTTCCTACACTGTAGGCAATTTTCTTTGCAACCGTGTATGTCTTCCTGTTTGGGCATACTTACAAAGTCCAAAAAGCCTATAGAAGATTTTGCACGAGTGGTTGTGTTGACAAAGTAACTGCTGATGCTGCATTCATGCCTAACAAAACTAATATCTCAACGATGACCAGATCGCCATTTTTCTACTTTATGTGTCTATATGCTTTCTCCTAAGCGACAGCTGAGAGCGAATCGAAACGCCTGCTCCCTTTCCGACCGTACAACAGCATTTCTTCCACCACTATCCCCTAACAGCAATCCCACCGCAGTCATCCACCCTAGCATATCACCCCTAACCAAATAATCCTCCATGCATTCACTTATTGACCGTTCAAGAAGTACAAGCCTCGTCAACACACTGCAACCCGCCACCAGCCGGTACAGGACAGTTCCTGATCTTGGTCCAGAACGCCTCGGTCTCGCCGCCCTGACCATCCACCATCGGAGCCACGGTGGCCTGACACTCCAACTGAAATCATGGTTAGCATTAAGCAATAGAATTCAGATTGATTCCACGTACTAGGTGTCCTCCATTGCACTCGCATGCTTTAGCACCCCAGCGGCGGCAGAATGTGCCGGGTATGCCACAGGCCTGGGCCTGGTTGATAAGGAGGCCGAAGGTGAAGACGATGAGGATGGGTTTCATGATGTATTTGTTTCTTTGACACGGGAGGATTTGAAGGATGGATAATATGAACGTAGAGGAAAAATAGATATGATAATTGCGTAGTTGCAGTTGAAGTTGCGAAGTGGTGCCTTTGATCTATACTGAAGATGACCACGCGGAAAGGTATTGGAAAGGTTTCACCAACTCTAGTGATTTTGGTGTAAGATTATAATAGTTTCTGTGTAGGTAATGCAAAGGTTGATGAGTTATCGATGAGATGTTTCACTACATGGCTTCTACAACTTTCGTGTTGGTATACTCCATGCAAGTGAAGACTACTCTTCACTCTAAGGGAAACATAACCAACAGATTCAAGATCACCCTGCTAGACCAGATGGACTGAACCGATGTTCAAGCTTTACTACCAGTAAATGTAATATTGGTAGTACCAGTCATCGGATACAACGCCGTGCCATTTGCACTACACGCCACCGCTCTGTTTCCCCTGGTTCATTTTCTCGCCACTAACACTCCTTGGAGAATGGAGGATTTACACTCACAGTACTGCTCAACTTGCATCAATAACAGAGAAGCGCGTGACTAACTAATGGCATGGATTAGTTGTTAGTAACAAGTGAAATGCAGTTGGTGGTTCCGTTTGGTGAAACCGCGGATAGAGTAGTACACCAATGCGGGAATGAGAAGCGAAATGAGTTTTCTGATCGAATTGAACTATTACCCGGTCGCTTATGAAAGGAATGATAAATATGCAGCAGCGTCTTGGTTTGTGGGATAGTTAATTGTGCACACGGAGATTGAATGCTTATTTGTCAATAGCCTCGTTTCTACATTCATCTCAGCCTTTCGTTTCGAGTATTTAAACCGCGGGAGACATATTTAGTATACTGTCCTTCTCCTTCAACGCTCTTTTCACACTCTACTGATAAGACGTGTTTCATTGCTTCGATATGATTGTTTATGTTGCTAAATAATACGAAAATAAATACATTATGTTGATCATAGATGTCAGAGATATCCGAGGTGAAGGACGTGAGTGGATGAGAAGGAGAACATTGCATGAGAATTATCGTTCATGTCAGAATATTCCGATATGAAAACTAATGCAATGAACTGATGAAAATTAGAAGAACTGAGAGGAAAGATGGAAAAAATTGCAGTATGTGTACGAGGCTATCAATATTGAATCGAAGCGAAAATTTCAGGAGCGCAAGGGCAAAGGTATGTAAAGAAAATTCTGTCGGGCCTTGATTCATTTATAATTACCAGTTCGAAGAAGATTTCGATCAATTCACGTCCTCATCCATGTCAAAGTCGTTCAATGGCGGGTCCGACCTGGTATAACTGGTGGGAATATGCGAATAGCTGCCAGAATCAAAGGTGGGATATCTATCAATGTCTTCTTGGGAGAATCCTAAAGGGTCATTTACAATCGCTTCGAAAGTGGGATTAAAGCCTGAGTAGACCATGCTTGTTGGAAACGGCGGGCCGAGTGCAGTGTTCCACAGATCATCGGGAGAGATATGCTCTTCTGAAGGTAGTGCAGGCAGTTCATTGGAGGTATGCCCGGATACATAACGATTTGGTAAGTTGTGTGGCAACAAGTCCATCATATCGGGATCGTTGTCAAAAGGGATTCTGGGTTGCCTGGACGACAGAACAAGGGAAGGATTGACATTAGTGGTGTCGTTGGCCAAATCTAGAGGTCTGGAGGGTGCAATGTCTGCTTTGGCCGCAGAAGGGCGACGGTATTTGAGTGTCACAATCCTACTCTGTGGTCCTTCCGCATCATTGGGGTATTCGAGGAATTTTGCACCAGGAACCAAAAGCTCATCGGAACTGGCTACGCTGATGCGCTTATCGTCGTCATCGCTTTCACTCTTCTCAGACTCTGAAGAGCTTTCCTCAACTTTGACCGCCGACTTTCTTCTTTTTCGCAGTCTTCGTGATCTTGGAGGCCTTCCTTGGACCCATTCTTCGTCCGAGGATGTATTCTGGTGTCGAGGTTTACCACGGGACCCGGAGGCATTGGTCTTACTTGAGCTGCCCTTTGGCTTCGGTTCCTCGTCTGTGACGCTCTTTGTGGGCGTTTCTTCAGCAGACTTGGACATAGCAGTAGCACCACGTCGAAGGGGAGGGGGGACAGCCTTGTCTGCAGAGACTCGACGACTGCGAAGCTTTGCAAGGTGCTGTACGATTGCGCCCTCCGTCACATTATGACCCATGGTATTAGCGACATCGGCCCAAGGAATCTTGATTGACTTCGTATTGCAAACGGACTGAACAGTCAATAAAAGGAGCTCGTTCAGGTTTTCTATACTTGTTAGCCTCGGTTAAACCGGTAGATAAGATCATCGAATAAGGGATGGGGAACATACCGTCCCAGCGGACCAGGGTCCGTTTCTTTGGCCTATTTGAAGCCTTCCTCGGAGTTGTCATTATACTATGTAAGGAAGAGTCTCTACCCGATTGTGAATTGAACCTTGGATTATATGATCTAAGTCAGTTCTATTTTAGATCTGAGAGGGGACTGGTAGTCCTGTAACGCGTGGCCTGTATAAAGAAATCAGGTGAGTTTGGGTGAAGTGAGCCAAGAATCAAGTGAAATTTCTCATTTTACTTACTTTGATTTGAAATAGATCACTGGTTCTTGATAGATAGTAGACAGCCTATCAGGCAGTCCTGCACACTGTTACTCGCCAAAGTGAGTCTTCTTTGACTGTGACAGGGTCGTGAATCTGTTTACTCCGGGTGAGAGGGGAAACTAAGGTGGGAGGAAAGAGACGCGTAGTTGTAAACACTGAACAGTGAAGTTGAGTGAATACTCTTCAAAAACATGTGAGCCAATAAGAGCGCTTTAATGTCGGTGGTGATGTTAAGGGAGGGCTTCAAATCACGACAGTGATCAATTGGGTAAAACATATTGTGCTGCTTGTATAGAAAGCCCATGTGCTTAATTGCCTAAAAGGTCCTGGATGAAATCATTCACTACAGTCTCTTCTAGCATATATTTCCTGATAGGGAAAGACATATTATCATATTGCTCGAAGAACCAACAGCTCTACTATACTGTACAGGAGAAGGATAACCTTAGGTTTCTCCCATTCAAACTGATAATTTACTAAGCAGACAAAGTACTAACTGCAGCTTTTGGTAGGCTCCAGAGATGTGCATTCTACATGCATTCATGCTACTGCCATACAACGCACTGTTGTCAGGTTATGGGTATGCTCTATGATCATCAAGTTGCTTGCATCCTTGGGATCTGGAAGGATTGGGATAATTCCATCTACTTACAAATATTCAAGGAATACGGGCATCAGAATGGCACTATATGTTGATGCTCACTAGCAATGGCTTCGATAGTAGCAGCGGAAGCAGTAGGACATGGCTATAGTGTTTTTTGCACCGTCTATAATTATCGAAAGAGTAATTGCGAAACCTAATACTACCCCCAGACACTCATAAAATCGAAGCTAAATCCATGATTACTAGCAGCCAGCATCGATCCTTCACCGTCCACAACACCTCTCCAACCTCAACTCCAACTTCAACTCCAACCTCCACCCACGCCCTTCTCACCAATCACCCAGCCTCTCCCCCAAACATCGCCTCCGCAATATCCACCGTCACACATGCAAACATCTCAAAGCTACAATTCGGCTCAACTCTCGGATCAGTTAACGCTTGATACCAAACCACCGCAGCTCTTTCCCAACTCCGTCCCCCAAAGCCCACAGCACAAAGGTAAAAGGCATGACTCGGAATGCCCGAATTCCAATGCACACCCCCATTATCCTTCTCCGTATATACAAACACATTCATATGGCTCGGCTGCCCATCCCTTCCAAGAACAGCATCATCATACGCCGTCCCCGGCGCCTTCAACGACCTCAGTCCCATCTCCCCAACACCAGCAACCAGCACATTTCTTTCCCTTCGGCCAAACACTAACCCCCCTCCCAACCACCCAATCCGCCTCCACGACCCCTTGTCCCCTCCACCACTGCTCAACAACATAAGCAAGCACATGTGAAATACTCTCACTCAGCGCCCCAGACTGTCCCTCGTACAAGGACCCAGCTGTATGATCCGTCACACCATGCATCAGCTCATGCACGACGACATCCAGACTCTTCGGGAACCCAGTAAAGTATACCCCATCCCCGTCGCCGAAGATGATTTCCTGCCCATTCCAGAACGCATTGTCTAGGGTCTTGTCATAGTGGAGACACCCGATGAGACGGAGACCGTTGTTGTCGATGGATCGACGGTCCAGCACGGATGAAAGAACATACAGGAAGATGCCAAAGCTGTTGTACACGTGGTTTACGGGGTCATCTTGGGTGGTCGGGCCGGAGGAGGATTCGGTGCGTATGAGCAGGCCTAGGAGACCGCGCTTGTTGCGGCAGTCGTAGATGTCGCGGGCTTGGGCGTGCGGTGTCAGGGAGATGTTTGGAAGGAGGAGAGGCGGATGTGGTGGATGTCGTTGGCGAGAGTGATGGTGCGGATGGCGGCGCGTTGGGCTTTGGAGGGGGCGTTGGGGGAGGTGCTGATGTGGTGGAGGATTTGAGGTTGGATGAAGGTGCAAGTGTGATGGTCCCTGGTGGACATGGCTGGTCGTGATGGCTTGGTGCCTTGAAAATGTGTCAAGCAAGATGGAACTTTTGGGCGGTGATAGTACTAATTGCAATCCGTTATTCCTTGACTGAGTGTACTAGAATCAAGAGTAGTATCTACGAAGCGAGCAATAATAATATAAGCCTAGACAATTCTATCAGTTTTACACATACGTGTTATCAGACAAGGATTCTATATGCACAGCCATTATGGTGATTGCGCGTAGAAAGCTTGTAACACGATAAAGACATCTCGTGTTGACATCGACCATGGAAAAACAGTATGATCAATGCGGCCTGACTAAGATCAGGTTCGAAGGCAGGTCTGGATCGCACACCATGGATTAGGATAACGCGGCAGTCTTCCGAAACATTGGGCCTCGCCACTGCTACTGTTTCCGATACATAGATAGCTACGTTGCATTCCAGCCCTGCGTGCAGCAGTTCTAGAATTGATAGCAATAAAGCCAAAATATTCGCATCTGTAGCATTTGATAAGGAATCGCCACTCGACTTAATCTGAGCGACAAATTGCGCTTCGGTCTATCTCACAATCTTTCATATAGCCCAGTAGACTGTTGGATGTGCTATACAGAGTGTGCTATAGAAGTCGTGCTGAAAGCAGCTTGCAGTGAAGATTGTGTAGAGTAGCAACGATAACGAAGTTGCATGCATTGTTAAAATGGGAAACATCCGACCATGAATTTCATGCCACTTTAATTACATATAGCTAAATGCTCGAGAATAAGCATAGTGTTACAGGTTCCTTCCAAAACATCCCGATCATTGGTAGCGCCGTAAATTAAGCCAGGCTGACTTGCTACAAACTGCATGCATTGCAGCTTATTGCACGACATTGTGACGGTTATGCAGCTTTCTCGCTCCGTGGCGAGTGCGATAACGTAGATAACCTCCGTTTGAGCAGACGATATTCATCGAAAGAATTGGAATACTCTTCGAGAGCATTACGGGCCTTTCTATCCAGAGGAGTATCGTCCATACCCGGCTGGTTGTCTTCGGTATGATGGCAACACGGAAGGCACATCACGGCGTGCTCTTTGAAGCTGTCTTCAGGTTCGTAATCTCGTTCCGTGTGGTAAGTCCAGCGGGCATCTGCTTCGGTACGATCCGGTGTGGAGAGAAGCCTCGAGGCGTTGAGATCCGAGATGTAAGGGGTGTTCGCGCAAAGAGTAGGGCTTCCGGTAAGAGAGAAGGAGAGTGGTTCTTGCCCGCGACCAATCAGGCCTAGAGATTTTCCAAGGGACCAAGGCATCTTTTTTTATTTGATAGAGTAGGGGAGTGTGATGAAGGGCACAAAGTACTTCTGCTCGATACCTGCTTGCTTCAAATACTTTCTGCCCGTCTACGACCTGGGGCATTCCCCGCAAAAATCTCTGATATGGATCCTCTACGAGATAGGGCGGGGGCGACAACCGCAGGCGAAGCGAGAAAACGCCGAGCATTCTTCTTCGCAGACATCATGAGTCTATGGAAGATATGGTATGCTAGGCTGGTAAGTGGTAGCGATGTATTCGATACGGTGGTTCATGGCTGTGCAGGAAGGGCTGGGCTCGTTAAGGAAGGAGATCGGGAATCCCATATCGCTCATCGGCAGGTCTAGATCCCCCACTCAAGTAGAGCTCCCAGCTGTCGCCACGGATCGAGGATATCGCAGCCGAGAGCATATTTCAGGGCATGGCCCAGGAGTCAGATTCTGATGTTCTGGCGTAGTATGTGGAATTCGGGGTGCTGATTGGGCGGCTGAATGTTCCGGCCACCCAGCGAAGTTGTGGTTGGCTGGGAGACTTTAACAGCCCCGGACGCGTCCCTTGACAAAGCCAGATGTCACCCCATGGTTACAACTCCTCTTTCCCTGCTCGGCCTCATCGGTACTGGTGGCGCCGGCTGTCATGTCCACCATTCCCCATCTTCGGTAACTCGGCTGTCCCGGGCGGCTGGGCCACTGCAACACCTCTGCGCACCGTGTTTCCAGCTCTCCGCAACCGGGGAGCTACCCCAAATAGACCTTTTGTAAAAATTGGTTCGCCAATCAGGCTCGATATCAGATTCACGCGTCTGGTTTAGCCCGTGTTCTGAGTGGGAACCATGAAGTATGACATGTAGAGCTCTTATCAGCTGTGGGACTGATACTGTGCTAACGAAGTGTCGATAGAGTAGACCGGACATTTGCCTGGTAGACAGATAGAGCGTGCTTGCATTCTTGCCGTTCTGTATATTAATTCCAGTCATCCTCATCCTCCTACTGGTATTTCAAGATCACGACTAACTTAGACGAGACGACCATTCACTCCCTGTCACTATCACCACCCTCTACCTTCTCCCTTCTCCATTTCCCGTTTCCTATTCCTCAGCCCCCTCGAGGCTACCATGTCCCGACCCGGGGCTGTGCGCGATGATCTCTGGATTGAAGAGGATGCCAAAGTCAATGTTGACTATCTTGCACATTCCTGGACGTATGATGAGATGTGGGCTACTAGAAAACATGTTCGCCAGATAAACCAGCATAGTCTTGTTAGATGTCGATTCGAAAATGCTCTTTGGAGAGCATGGCTGGCTTCTACCAGGCAAACCATTCGCATGCCAGCGGCGTTTATCTCCTGGTAAGTCCAGCCCAGTCATCGTGTTCCTGAACCGTGACATACTGACTTGATGCAGGGACAAAGATAGCGACATTACCTGGCTCTACGGTCCACTAAAGTCTAGCAGAAGCTCCAGTCCAACACCGAGCGAGGCACCCCAGGCACAAGCTCCTAGAAAGCCTTCTCTGAAGCGAAAACCCAGCATTTGGGGACTTTCAGAAGAATCTTCAATGTCCAACGACTCTACAAATGGAAAGTCTCTGCTTGGCCGGTTCTGGAGCATAACCATCCATTCAGTCCCTAGTGTGAGTCAGAGACACTACCTACCACTTCACCCATCGATGCTAATACCTCATTGTGCAGATAATCCTCAGCTCACGCGAAAACTGGAACAAGCGAAGAAAATGCCGCGTCCGATTTGAAGAAGAGGTACAGCAATGCCAGTACGCCCGTGACGGAAACACAGTATCGCAATACAGCTACAACTACAACTATCCTTTTTTCTTGGAAGAGGCTCGACTGTACGGAAGCTATCAGTGCCAGCAGACAATCGAACCGCTACCGTCAACATTCCTCACTGGCTACGAAACGCTTCCCCCAGCAGACTCGGGCCAGTATTATTCTATGTCGAATTTCCTTGAGGAGCTGGAGTATGTCCTCACTGCCTTTGCTCATTGGCCTTCTATACCGCCTAGGCTTACTTGATTCGTTGAGCCGCGCTAACATTTGGATGACAGTGAGGTGATGTGAGTATTATTATCAAAAAGCATTGTGGGTAGAGTAGAGAAAAGGGGATGATAATTAGATGGTACAGTGGCTGGGGTATATCAGAGAAGAGGGATCCTTATGCATATAAGTCTTGCCTGTTATATAATTGCTACTTGTTTGCCAGTGGGACTGAAATTAGCGAAGTTTTGCACATTGTCCTTTCCCTCATCTTTATCCTGTTTCCTTTGAGTTCTATACTTTACCTTCAATCCCATCGGACACAAAGAAGGAGGAATGCTGCATCTTGGACATATGTGAGATATTATCGGGGCATTCCTAGGCGTCTGGGCACTAATTATAGCATAAGACAAAGCACGCCTGACTTTGGCAGACGTGAGTAAGAGAATTATATTAATACTATGGGCTATAGAGCCATACGCGCCCGAAACAGTGCTATCATGCTAATTCATAACGCATCGTATTAGCTCTGACTGGAAGCTCAGACGCCGGCGCTGAATCCACCTCATGAGGAATACTCGCATCAGCCTTCCCCGGTAGTTCCGTCACGACTCCATTATCCATCTCAGGGACATAAGACTCCTGCGCCAGTTCCGCGGGGTCCTTCTTGACATACTCAATGTCATCCGGCTCCTTTGTAGGGACGGGGATCCTCTTCTGTTTCATCTTCCGGAGACCGAACAAGACCGCAGCAATAATCAAAGCCGCGCCTGCCACCGCACCAACCACGGCACCAGCAATCGCGCCATTCGAAATGCCACTTCCATCTTTGCTGGCTGCATCACTCGTCGTGGAATTGCCGCTACTCGGGGTATTTCCCGATTTGGAGATGTCTGGCGCAAGCAACTTCGAGGCGAATATATTGGCAGCATTCCAGGTATTCTCGAACGAAGGATCTTCATTATACGAAGTCGACCCCCAGTTGGAACCACAGACAGTCTGATTACTCGTTCCATCGCATTGCTCGGCTACCGCCACAGCTGTGTCTGCTAGGAGCGGCACAATCCGACCGGCGAAATCCGGGATAAGGTTTGCCACGGATGCAAGGCACAGCGCCAGGAATCCCTTGAAGGGGTAAGCTGATAGTTTGGTCTGCTCGGCAGTGCCTAGACTGGAACTGCTGTAGCCCACTTCTACCATGATGTCGTTGACGAAGAATGTGTCTAGCGTGCTGTTGAGGAGTCCTTCGGTCCGTGTCATCCAAATGTTAGATTTGGTCTGCCGCTGTCAGCTATGGTCCCACAATGACCTATTTCTAACCCAAAGGAAATGGGAATAATGTTGCTTACCGCTTCATACATATAGGCCGCACCACTCAAATAGAATCCATACGCCAAGCTCCACCTCGCGGTATCCACAGCCTGACAAGTCGACGCATTCGCCGACGTATTTGAGACCAGATCATACACCGACCAATCCGTGGAATTCACCATGCCATTATTCTCACTCCATGACCACGCACTCGCTCCATACTGCGCATACGTTCCCTGATCATCGCCCTCACTCGCATATGCCACCCTCGATATAAGCTGGAAATATCCCCCGTTGCTGAACCAATCGAACTCTGTCCCATGCGTCTGGCTCTCATCATCATACAATCCACCATTGCATATCGAGCCCTGACTAACGACCAATTCCATTGTATACGCGACTTTCTTCGCCCAGGTCAGCCATGAAGAGTTGGTTGGACTATCTGGGAAGTCCGCCTCTGACGCAGCCATTGCAGCAAGACCCCAAGTGACGAAGTCGCTGGTCAGAACGTTGATTTCCTCCCATTCGCCGCTGAAGATGCTCTCGGAGTGGTTGTGCATGCGCGAGGTGATGAACTCGTTGTAGGTTGTGTTGCCGGTCGCGTTCCAGTAGGGAATTAGGGACATGTAGAGCATGCCTTCTGGGTAGGACGTGTTGTAGATGGGGTTGACGGTGCCATTGAAGTTGGCGGTACCGAGGAGATTGGTGAATTCAATGGTGGAGGCGGATTTGATGGTGTCTGTTGATTGTATTAATGACCCTTCTTGTGATCGCAGAAGCAGATGATATCGCATACCGGTGCTACTGACATTAAAATCAATAGCAGAAACACCAATCATTAAGCCCGCAAAGAGAGCGGCATATTCGCTTAATCGCATGAAACCCATGACCAATAGTCTGAAGAAAGTAATGGCGCTCAACCAGCTTTACACTTCGCGAAACGGTCAGAATGAAAGATTTGCCCATCGCGTGAGCACCCTATACCTTATTAATAACCCATGCTGACAGGGTCTTCACAGCCTCATGCGTCCCAGCTGGACTAGACTATGTAGCAGGTAAGGCTCTTCGCACCTGGCGGAAACCATCCGACTGCTCCGTACAACGATGGCTGTTCATTGTCACTTCTATTTCGATCCACATGGGTGGCATTTAGGGCAATCGAAATGGAGGTGCTGATTGGTCGGGTCGTCTACGGACTGGACGCGTGGGAATCGGCGACGATCCTTCGTGCGTGAGATGGATTTAGCGTGGTGGGTCGGCGGAGAAGAATCATTGTGGAAGAAGCGAAGATTGGCAGGTTTAGGCTGTTCAGCTAGCCAGATGGCCAAGGTATTAATGGCCATGGCTGTGCGGCTCAGCCACTTTCAGGTAGGTGATGGGTAGTCGGAGATTTAGGTGAGGATGTGATGTGGTGCGATGTGGTCGGGCGTTGTGGAGTTATCTGTTTGTCTCTAGTGTTTGTATACGAATTGTACTCGAAATTTAGCTTATCAAGGTAGGGTTTTTCACGTGTTATCCTGTATTTAGGCGTATATAATCGCTTTTGAAAAGCTCATGGAAGTATAATCAGCACTAAAAGTAGATTGTGAGTTATCTGTTTCTGGCTTGCCGACACAGCTCTTGTATTACCCAGTTTTGACCTGGACAACTTATTCCAGCTCTTTCTGTCTACTTGTCCTGCAGCCAAAAGGATGATAATGACATAAATCCAATTCATGTACTGAAAAGCATAGCTCCAAGCTGCCATCAACGGGTATAGATCTCCAACCCACCCAATCGAGAAAAACCGGCCTGTCACACAACAAACCAAAGAAGTGAACCTATATTACAGCTCATAACACACAACTGAGCAAATCGTACAAAGACATCAAAATACCATCCCGCCTCACATCAAAAATAACAACCCCAGCCCCACGACCACCCCCCAAAGACCCTCAACACCCAACCTTCCCGCTCCCGACGTCCCCGTCGCATCACTTCCCGACCCCGTCGCCGTTCCATTCTCTCCCCCATAACTCTCAGTGCCATTAACCGCTTCTGAAAGCTGTACATGCAAATCAAACGGCTTAGTCGCAACATCCGCATCATCCGTAGTAATCGAACTGAAATACATATCGCCTGCCGAATTCACATAAACATACGCCGCCTGGAAGAACGGCCTTCCGAGCACGACCTTCCCACTGCTCACCTGACACCTCTCTTTGGGAACCAGCTCGTCCCAAACTGGGATATCAAATATCGGATACGACTCGCTATCCGGATTGAACACGATCGAGATGTTCCGTGCGCACCAGGATTCATCCGGCACGGACAAGACCTCAGAATTAAAGTCCAGCATGGCGGGGAGCGTTTTACTCGTTTCCTGCACGCTGGTACCACCGAATGGGTATTCTGCGTCTTCGCTGCTGGTTGTAGCGTTGGGGGTAGTGTAAAGTTGAAGTATGACGGCACTGATATCTAGCATGCCTGTGTCGATGAAGCTGGTGTTGCCGGCGCTGGTTTCCGGGGTGGTTTGCCAGTGTGGTTCGTCGTAGATGCGGTTAGAGTCGTAGTTGCCTCCAAGTACGATGGAGCCGTTCCATTTGTTTTGGAGGCCGAGGTTCAGGCCGACGGGGAGGGAGGGGATGGTTGTTGAGTTGGTTTTGTTTGTGGTGGAGGTTATGTTTAGACTTGTGTCTTGAGATAGGAGGAGTGTGTTGCTGAACGCAATTTCGAGATCGAGAGTCTCGGTCTTTTGGCCGGGTGAGCCGGCGGACACAAATGTTGCTGTTGTTGTTGATGTCGCCTTTCCTGTCGCTGTTGCGGTTGGCTTGGCGGTGGTGGTGGGTGTTCCAAATGCGACGGGGAGGACTCCAGCCAGGTCGTTGTTGTATTGGATTTGCGCGCCCCATGCAGCGCCGGTGGGAGTGCTGGCTGGTCCAGTCAAGGGGATGACCCAAGCATTGTCGGCGGGGTCGTTGGCGGTGGTGATAGGAATGCCGCTGGCATCGATGAGGGAGACGGTTTCGACGGGGGCGGATGTAGTTTGGGGATTGGAAGCAAGAGTGAGCTCGGCGGTCGCGAAGGGAGAGGAAATGAGCGTCAAGAGGAAGCCGGTGAGGAGGGACTGGGAGGAAAAGGAGCGTGATGCCATGATGTTGTTGCCCACGGCGAGACACTGATCGGGTTAAAAGGTGGAAGAATAGCGAGAGACTGACCCCAATAGAAACAGAAAGATTTGAGAAACTTCAAACGCAGGACGAAGGAGGGTTGACATAGGGGGGTAATTTGGTTCCTGCATAAGAACATATGGTTGGGGCGAAAGGGGGCATGATGTACACAGCCTGCCTCCATGAGTGGAGGCGAAGTGATGCGTAGCATTGGATATGTCCACTCCCCTCCAATATGATGTGAGAGGAGGGCGGCTGCGTTGAAAACACGGTCGTAGTCATGTTGTGGTAGAGCAAATGGAAGCTCGCGTGCGACGGTGAGAGTTGGGGGCGGCCCCAAATTAGCATTCCTGGCTGTACCGAAGTTTCCTAGCATGGAGTTAGCTGGAAGGTTTTGTAGTGTAGGGGATCGTATCATTCGTATACTGTAGAGTTGCCAACATGTCATCAGTAGAGCCGGGTGTCATTGGGCGATACTTGATGCTTTTCGATGACTCCTGTCAGCCCTAACTGCTGCTTGGGTGAGATGTGATGCCAGAGACTGTTGTCTTGCTCATTATGTACATATTGACCGAGATCGCCGCATTTTGAAAACTTCGTTCTACTGCAATATAAAAGGCTGGATTCATTCAAAAAAGGTTCAAAGACCTAGGTCGGCATAGGAGCGGGTTTCTGCATTGGTGGGTGGTGAAGCTGCAGAAAGCGCCCCCACACAAACAGGGGTTGAAGCAACACTAAGAATAGTTGACTGACTCCGCTTCTGCCCACCGAGTCACGTGATGAAAAGCAGAGTATCCTAGGTTCGATCCCTGCCTTTGGCGAATTCATCTTTGGTTGATTTCAGGAAATAATATTGATCAAGAGATCACCACACAGTGCTGATGCCATCTTAGACAGTCATGTCACGATCAATTGGGTGTTCAAGACGTGATCCTACTAAGCAAATGCAACGGTGCAGGGAACACCCGCATATGTTACGCCATCGTGGGTTTGTCGGAGCCAATGGCTCGGCGGTCATTCGTTCTGAGCGACACCAGTTGAATGGCGACCTCCGAATGGCGAGTAGAATGAGAAGGTGAGCACTATGCAGAAGAGCGGAGAATAATCGTCAATTATTGGGGAGTGCAGATACCAGCCACGCCGGGAGACCGACGGATACCGCGCCGATCGCCGTCCCAACCTCATCACGCCTTTCAGGCTGCCTGGACTGATTGGCAATCGGCAGTTCCACCGATTAGATAAAAGCTCTTCTCGCGAATAAACCCCGCATAAGGGTCTGGGAGTTAATAAACTCTGGAGGACCCCAAATTCTTCCATCGCACGGCCATCATGTTCCTTTCACTTCCCCTTCTGGGGACCCTGATCGCCTCGACAGTTGCCCTAGACTCCAGCCCCCTAGAGTTGCGGGTGCCACATCTGCACCAACTCAGCCAGCTCAGCAAGCCTCACCAGGACACTTTCAACCAAGAATCAGCGAGTTTCCCGGTGTACAACCTCTCCGTACCCATAGACCACTTTCACAATGAATCACGCTATGAGCCGCACACCAATGCCACCTTCGGCCTGCGCTATTGGCTTGACACCAGCCATTACCAGCCGGGAGGCCCTGTTTTCGTGATTGCTGCAGGCGAAACCGATGGAAGCGACCGTATTCCCTTCCTTTCACAAGGGGTGGTTACTCAGTTAGCTGCAGCCTACAATGGAATTGGCCTTATCCTCGAACATCGCTACTACGGCGAGAGTTACCCATTCGCCAATCTCACTACCGAGAACATTAGATTCTTGACCACCGAGCAGGCGCTCGCTGACTACGCTTACTTTGCCTCGAATATTGTCTTTCCCGGTCTGGAGCATCTCGATCTTACGGCAGCCACCACGCCATGGATCGCCTATGGTGGCTCCTATGCTGGTGCCTTTGTCGCATTCCTCCGCAAGCTCTATCCGGATCTCTATTGGGGCGCTGTGTCATCGTCCGGCGTCACGGAGGCCATCATCGACTATTGGGAATACTACGAGCCGATCAGACTGTATGGTCCATCGCAGTGTATCTCCACCCTGCAGACGTCAATCGATATCGTGGATCGTATTCTCATCGATCACGCCGACAATAATACTCTGGCCCAGCTACTGAAATCCGCCTTTGGAGGCTCTGCGACCAACCTCAGTAACCAAGACTTTGTCTCCTCCCTCTCTTACGGTCTGGACTCATTCCAGTCCCGCAACTGGGACAAGTCTATCGGAACTCCTCTTTTCCGTGCTTTCTGTAACAACATCACCAATTCGGATCTGCTGTACCCCGAAACCGCCGAGCCCATCTCCGCATCAGTCAAGCAATTGGTCCAAATTGCAGGCTACGATTCCTCCAACACAACCCTGGTCAACAACTTCCTCAACTGGATCGGATTCTTGAGTACCTCGAAAGTCTTCACCGACTCATCCTCGGAGTCCTCATCATCCAACGTCACGAATTTCACTGTTCCACAACCCCTCAGCAAAGACTCTGGCACCAGCTGGAATTACCAAGTCTGCGTCGAATGGGGATATTTCACCACGGGCTCTTCGGTGCCTTCGAATATCAAGCCCCTTATCTCTCGTCTCCTCGATCTGCCCTATCTTTCATCTTTCTGCCCGAACACATTTGGGATTAAGACACCGCCAGATGTTCAGCGCATCAACCAATTCGGCGGGTTCAACTTTTCGTACCCGCGCGTCGCGATCATTGGCGGGTGGGCAGATCCGTGGCGCGACGCGACACCACTAGCGGACGGAGTCGATTGGCAGAGTCGGAAGTCGACTGATAGCGAGCCGATTATACTGCTGGATATTCCAGCAGCGGATGTGTGGGATGGTGTGAGAGGTGCAGTCCATCACTGGGATCAGAATGGGTTGTCAGCAGAGCAGGAGAAGAATGGCGAGAGGGCGCCTAAGGAGATTCTTAATGTGCACAAGGAAGTGGTGAGGTTTGTGGGGGTGTGGTTGAATGAGTGGAAGGGGAAATCATTTGATGTGGATGAGAATATTCATCAGACTGTTTTATAGATTTGAGATGAAGCAGATTACGCTGTGATGGACGATCCATAGTGAACAGAATCATTCGCTGAAGATTATGTACACATTTGAAACCATACTATACCCGAGAAATATCTCCCAGTGTTAGTAGTCACCCATCCTCAGAATGGCTCTCTAAATAACCCATACAAGCCCCTTGCGACAGCCTTCTCATCCTTCCAAGCATCCGCAATACCTGCATCTCGCTCGCGACACCGCTCCGGCCCTCCCACGACAACACGCTGCTTCCCAAGCTGACGAGCCTCCCTTACCAACATCGAAGTCCGTGGCTGCCTCAACCGCGCAAACTCCTCGAATATACCCGATAGCCCCTGTTCGACCACACCCCGGTTCGCCTCATCCAAACTCAGATCCGGAAGCATGCGACAGAGATGATAGCAATCCTCCCTACCCAAACTAACATTAGCACCCACACGAATCACCCTCTTAGATAGAGACAGTATAACTTACAAAGCCTGATTTGCCCCCTGCCCCAAATGCGGACTCGTCGGATGCGCCGCATCACCGACCAATACTACACGATCAGAAAACCACTGTTCGGCAGGAACCTCCCGGCGGTCAAACAGACCATAGGAGATGATCCGATCCGCGGTGTTTACCATTTCCAAAACGCAGTCTTCAAAGCCAGATAAGCTCTCTCTCAACTTCCCTCGTAAGATCTCCAGCTCGGTTCCAGCAGTAGCAGCCCGCCACGTACTATCTTCACCCTCTGTATCTGGGATGGTAACCGCCCAGGAAATGTCCTCAGCAGAGATAGGATATGCGACAACGTGCACGCCCTCGCCATACCAATTACTCAGGGAAATATCTCTCTGGGCCATGGACCGGGGGTTTTTGGATATCCCCGCTACCTGGATCAAGCCAGTGAATGTAGGTGGGCCTTCGGCTATTCCTACCTTCTGGGAGAGGAGGAGTTTTCTCGTGGACGATTTGATTCCGTCGCAGCCGATGAGGAATGAGCCTGTTATTGATTCTCCGTTGGTGAAAATTGCGGTCACTTGGTGCGCGTGTTCATGGATGTTCTCGAGCTGGTATCCTTCGTACAGTGGGATACCATGTTCCTGGAGAGTGGTCTTCAGGTGAAGATTGAGTACGCTGCGTTTTATTCCACTTGCGGGCTGGGTGTAGCGGTCCACATAGGACGAGGGGAGAGTAGAATGGCCGAGTGTTTTGCCGGACGCTGTCCCGTGCCAGAGGGATTGGAGGGGTGTTATGATTGGGAGGGGTCTATTGGGGTTGATCAGATTGAGAATTTTCATCCTGTGGATGTCATTGTTAGTGGATGGGATGTTGTATAGGTTGGGGTGGTAAGAATTAAAGAATATTTACCCGTTTGGCTGTATCATCAATGATGCACCGGCATCGCCGAGAGCCTGAACCTTTTCGAAGACGATAGGGTTGTAGCCTTCGCGCTTTAGGAGGATGGCGAGGACGGGGCCGGCGATGCCGCAGCCGATTATCAAGACGGTTGGGGAGGACATTGTTAATGTAGTCGAGCGATAAAAACTTGTTGATAAAAAGTTTTTCTCGTTTCTGTAGTCAGAATGATGGGATTGTGGGGGTTTTATAGCTATTAGGGCGAGACGGAGATTTGTTGTTCGGAGAGTCCGCGGAAGGGTCCGGACGGGAGGAACAGCATCAAGATTTTGCCGAATATGGCTTATATGACCCTCAAGATATTGTATACACTGCAACTATCCAAAGCCTCATGTAATTATAGATATACGATTAGAGTAATTCAGTCTACTTCTTATTGAACAACGCAGATCGGCTCCCAACCGAGAGATCCACGGATAGATAAGGAACCGCCATGCGCTGGCTTCGGCTAGCGCCGAGCATTGATTCCCGGCTCACCAATGAGCTTAATCAAAGTTCTATAACCCTGGTCACCAGCTGCATTTAGCTGCTGCCGTCTGCCTATTGTATATTAGACTATTTTGAATTTTCCCGGCGGCGTGCAGCTGGCGTGCTCGTGGCTACTCCATGTTGGCGATTCTGAGACCAAAACATAGACCAAAACATCCCGCACCCGGGAATCCCACGGTTCTGTGCGAGCGGTTTGAACATTGAATTTTGTCAACTCGGTGTTGTATCCGCTTATAATGACGGTTATACCTCGAGTAGTGTGAGTCGTAATACAGCAAGCGATACTATATTATGGGGGAATGACAGTGGGTGGGGAAGTAAGGACCTATCTCAAGATACCCATTCACCAAACACGATGATCTATCTGGGCACTGGCCGCTAGTCCCCTGCACGGTGCCAGGACAATTCAAAACATTTCCCCAAACCAGTCTCCATAGATAATGTGGGTGGTCCCCCGTATTTCCCCAACTTCTTTCCGAACCCCGACGCCACAGGCTTCGTTTACCCACCGGTTACAGCATGCAGGGCACATCCTTAGCAAGCCACCATGAACCTCCAGCAAGCTATACGACAACTCTTCTCGGTCAAAAGTCAATATTCACTGTCTGAAGATGCTACCTCCAGAAGCCACCTCGTCGCTCACAAGCTCCGCGAGATCCCCCGCTGCTCAGTACTGATCCCGATCCGCAATCCCTACCTCTCACTAATTCTCATCATCCTAGTTAAACTGCCTATATCCCCAGATTTTATCCACCTGCTCACATACCGACTACACATGCTTGTGCACCAACCTATCTAGTATAGCAGCAACTACAGAATTTCACTCATGTTTCCACCGATGTCCCATCAATCCCGACCAGCGACGTCAGTACATCCTCCCTGCCTCCCAACCAACCAGCACCCTAACCCACAGTAAACAGTAACACCAAACTTCTTCCTCTCTCTCTGCGACATCTTGTTCATCCAACCAAACCTCCCAGAATACATGACCGCAAACGTTAACCTCGACCGCCGAGCCGAGTTTATCAACGATGCGCAGACCATCTACTCCATCGTGACAACAATCTACGCTTCCACACAATCAACATCGTCAACCGAGGCTTCATTACCAATAACCACCGAGGTTATTACCGCGACCGATGAGTCCGGGGTCGGAATAACAACACAAACAATTTTCAGTACCGTAACCGACTCTAAGACATCAGATGACGACACCGCTACAACTACTTCCGAACAACCCAACGTCGTCACAGTTACAGAAACTCGCCTCGTCTCGACAATGCGTATGACATCAGTAGCGACGCAAACATCTTCCTCAAATAACAATAATGCGGGAGGTCTGTCTACAGGCGCTAAGGCCGGGATTGGGGTTGCGGTGCCCATCGGCGTTGTTATCATTGCGCTTCTAATATTTGCTTGGTTTCAAAGGCGCAGGAAGAGGAAGCAACAGGCTGGTGATGCCAGTAACAGTGAGGAAAGCGGACAGGCCACAACGGTACAGCATGCGGAAGGGAAGGATCAAAGTATGACTCAGAACATTACGACTATACTCCCCGAGATCGACGGCGCACCGCTTAACGAATCCGACAGTCGGCCCGTATATGACTCGGCTGATCGGCCCGTATTTGAACTAAGTACTGGTTCTGTTCGAAGGCCGAGGCGGGATGATCCACAGGTTGAATCTGAAGCTGTTGGTGTAAAGGGAACGGACGCTAAGCAGGGTGCTGTGGGTGGTGAGGTCACATCGTCAGCCTCGGCTACGTTAGGTGAAGCGCCGGCTGAGCTATCTTCTGATGGCGCTCGAGATGGGGAGTCGACAGCATCAGTAGTAGCGTACGAAAGGATGAGTTTGTCAGAGTTACAAGAGGAATTGGCTAGAGTGGCGAGAAGTAGAGAGCGACTACAATACTTACAAACTCTAGAGGAGAGAGAGGATATGATCCGGAGGGTGCTTGCAGGGCATGGAGAGGATAATGTGTCGAGGGTCGAGAGTCGGGGAGAGGGTGGTAGTGGGTGATTAATGATGTAATAATGAGCTTTGAATTTCTACCGATACTGAATGCGAGTAATGTTCTTCTTTTAAATATATTACCCTACCCCCCCCCCCCCCCCCAATATATTATATATCATCTACCCCAAAATCTAATACTTCAACCAAGCCCTCACAACCGACCAAGCCTGCCACGCAGCCGCAGCCCCGACAACCCATCCATTCTCCTTGATACCATGCTTGAAATACCAGGCCGAGCTAGCCCACAGCGCCGCATTGAGAATGATAGCGATGGCCTTGTTAGTGGGTTCCTGGAGGGCTCGGGGGTTGCGGGCCCATTGGTAATGGAGGATGCCTATAAGGATTATCAGTCGAGTTCTTGCTTTAGAGTTAATTAGAGAACACTTACCGGTAGTGAACAGAAAGGCGCTTCCCTAGATATGTTGTTAACATCCATGGTTGTCTTGCGATTTGCTATGAAGGATGGTGGATGAAGTACCTGGAACCAGCCGACAATGCCGAGAGCCCAGGGCTTGGTGCCAGCGATGGTGCGATAGGCTGGTTCGGCGGTCCATTGTGTGCCTCCGAGCTGGTCATTGGTTATTAGTATATTACTAGATTGAAGTATTATGTGGGTAGAGAAGTGTCTGTCAATTGAAGTGGGAGCTTTGTAGACTCGTTATTGGAGCTCATGCAGATGTAGGGGTCGATGACGCCAAGGGTAGCTTCCTAGGAGCTAGAGCTGACATACCGTGTGTCCGACCGCCAAAACAACGAATGAAAAGGCCGAGGCCTTAAGGGAGACAGATGACGACGCCATGTGGTTTCTGATAAGATGATGACTGATCGGGATCTAGTTCCAGGATCTAAATTAATCTAAGCATATAAGTGCAATGAAAGAAGAAGGAAAAGAAGATTCGAAAGTTCGAAACCTGGTGCGGAGGTGATGGCATGATTACAAATACTACGAGCAGAATTTCCCCCGATGACGAGACTCAAAAGTCGCCGAACCCGAGGCCCGGAGGATTGGAAGGATTTAAAGGATTGGTAGTACAACAAGGAACTGGAGGGCAATTGAGTTCATACTTTAAAATATAAAGTGCTCTTTTCTTTCTCGAATGTCGACTCTATCTCTTCGCTTTCTTTACCAGCTTTGGCCTGGTTTGATGAGCAAATTCTTTTCGAAAACAAAATCCATACCGCCTTCTGTATCAGGAAGTAAATGTACCGAGGCGATAAAGACCCTACAAATAGAGTTTTCATGTGGACTTTGTACGCAATCGTCCTCCGTAAGAGACCTGTAGGCTATTCCAAGTTTTCACCACTGAGGATGCAAATACAAACCACATCATCGTTTAGTAAATATTTGTGAAAGCTCATGGCTCTATTTGATTGTCATCTAAATATAGAAACGGCAACATGCATACGCGACGCGTTTGTGGTTCCTGGCCCTGCATCCCTCTCGCATAAATGCCAGATTCTGAACACAACCCCAGAATATGCAAGGTTCTGCAGAGCCTTAGCTAATCACATAACATTAATTTTCATGAGTGTTACACAGAAGGGTTCTATTGAAATTAAAGAATGAAAGTCAAAATCCGATTAGTGTATAAAATGTGGTATACCCCCTCAGGTGATGGCGGCCCAACCAAAGCAGTAGTGAGCCATGACATTCGCCAGAATAGCAGCAACCCTCACTGCCTTTGCGGTAGTGGGAAATGCTAGAACGTGTATGGAAACTGAGGTGGTCATATTGTAAGGCTCTCTATCGATCGAGAACTGAATGTTTCTATCATTCGAGCTGACGTTCTGAAGAGGTGCCGGTGTGGCGGGCGTGACTGCTGCAGTATGCTCGAGTTGCGACCTTTGTGGGGCCATGCTGATGATCGCAGGAAACACTGCACAACAACGCTGTCGAAAATTTTATCGTACTAGAGTATCAGGACCGTATTGGTGGGCGGATGCACGAGGTTACCTTTGGCAAAGGGCAACAATATGTAGTTGGAGGCTGGGGCTAACTGGGTGTGCTGCTATTCCCCGACTCCATGTTAAAAGGGATAACACTAACATGGGTGCCAGGTACACGGAAATGGAGGACCTGAAACACATGTGAATCCCATCTGGGACCTAGTAGGATCCACGGGTACGCGTTATTCTAGCAAAGAGGATGACTGACAGCGAAGACAGGCTATTAAAGCCAACCTCCGCACACTGTAAGTACTCCCTCACCACTACTGAAGACATACCATGTTATAAAGAGCAGAAACGTGACGAGCACTGGAGCTAGATAGCCTACTAATGCTAGTGAGGATACTTGGACCATGATGTAGTGCTGTTCGGAGGCAGCGCTTGGTTATTACTATCTTATGAATGGATAAGTAAGGTAGGTAGGGGTATACTCACACTACAAACTACCTATCTATCTATCCCCGTAGGTAGATAGTATGATCCAGATAGAGTGATAGCTGAGTGAGTACCAACTACACTCTAGCGCAGTCATAGACCCCGCGATAAGAAAACAAAAACAAAGTGTTGTAAGGTTAGTAAGTGAATACACCACCACTTACTACACAGCCGACTAACGAACGTCAGGACCAGTGAGGTTGAGAATGCTACGGTATACGACAGACGGGAGAAATACCACCCGAGTTCCTGTTCAACGCACTGGAAGCTGTCAGCGACGCCGACTCCAAGGTCCTCGCCGACGCTGGCATCCGACTTCACCACCACCTCGAAGACCGTACATACCGCGCGGCCCTTCGCCGAACCCGAAACAGACGAATCAGTACGAGCAACTGGCCGACTATCTGGCATTTGACTCGGTCACAGCAGCCAGGCGGAAGAAACTTCCGAGTTCTATACCGCAGCAACGACCAATGCGACGGCCAAGTTCTTCTCTCACCGAGAGGAGTTCAGCTTCGATCAGCGTGGGTTCTCCATCATCCTCAGGAACGTAGTAGGTCCACTCCTCGAAGGACAGAATGCTTGGCGCCTTCGGAAAAACACCATCGTCAAAGAAATTGAGCACGACGATGACTCCGTGACAGCATATAGCACGGATGGGAATTGTGTGCGAGCCAAGTACGCTATTGTAACATTTCTAGAATCTGGGTGTGCTGCAGCGATCTGAAGCTGTGAAGTTTACACCCGAACTGCCAAGGTGGAACAAAGATGCCATTGCGAGCTTCGAAATGATCACGTATACCAAGATATTCATGCAATTTCCGCGTTCCTTCTGGCCCAAGAACCAGTATCTGTACTACGCCGACCCGAATACTAGAGGCTATTATCCGCTGTTTCAGCCATTGGATGTTCCCGGTGTGCTGGAGGGATCGAATATCCTTGTTGTTACTGTTGTCAACGATCAGGCGCATCGGGTTGAGCGGCAAAGCGAGGCCAAGACACAATCTGAGATTATGGAAGTGCTGCGCAAGATCTTTTGGAGACCATCCCGGAACCGATAGACATTTATTATGAGAGGTGGACGCAAGAACCTTGGTAGAATTATCCCCTAGTGTACTTGGTTGGAATTTGTGAAGCTAACTGACTGTCCAAGTCGAACGGCTCGTACTCGAACTGGCCGCCCGCAGTATCTGCCAACACGCATCGGAATCTCCGAGCAAATGTTGGGCGGGTTTTGTTTGCTGGAGAGGCTACAAGCCCAAAATTCTCGGGATTTCTGCATGGCGCGTACTATGAAGGAAAGCGTGCGGCGGAGTCCTTTACTTCGCGTGAGGAAGCAGAGTGGGGCGACTATAACCCTAGTAAAGAACCACTTGGTTCTTCCCTGCCTTTAAAGTTATTGTAACTATTGTTATCCCGTAAGGTTTCTATCGCACAGGGAATGGACGATGGGGGAGGACACTTTTATGGAAGTGGCTGATGGATGATTAGAAGCTTAGCTTGGTATATGGTCGTTACATGGATTTAATCCCACTTATATTATCATTCTTAACATTGTGTTTCTCTACATTATCTGCAATTTGGTAGTATAGTAAGGATGCTGTTTTTATATAGTATGATATTTATATCTATGTAAATGATCATATTCAATCGTATATCCATATTTTGTACGAGTTCCGGTGGCTAAAACTGTGTCTGCAGAGGCAATACCACGCTCAAGTATATTTAATAATCTATTATCTTAGAAGAAATGGCTGTTGACTACCGACAACGGTATTGTGCGAATAGAGAAATTTGAATCGACAGTCAAAAACCCTTTATGCGTGAATCGTTGCCGATATAGTGTTATCTAGTATCGAAATTTTTTCTGGCATTGTCAAGCCCAAGAGAACTGCAGTGTGGGGGCAACTGCATGCCACTCTCACCGCTTGTTTGCGCAATGCAAGAGATCCCCCCATTTCCGAGGGGTAACATTCCATCCATCTCAGCCTTGCGGAGCTGCGCAAAGTGGGGTTTCAGGGACGCCCATTGCTAACCACCAAGTTGAGTTGGCAAAAGGAAGCCTCAAGAAAGTTCATCTTAAAATCCAAAGAAGCAGTGAGCACATTGGGCATGTAATCGACGTGGTTGCCACCAGCACAGTGAAGCCTTTGGCCCAAATCGAGAAAGGTGGGGTGGGGAAGGGGAGGCAGTGTGCTCGATGGTCTGCTCACTATTGGGTCTTTCCTACACAATACCGATCACTATCCATTATGGATTTGTCTTCATGAATTACTATGCCGTGAGTATATCTTGGTAATCCAGTCAACTTGGAGATTATTGGTGCGCTCGGGATATACTACTGTTGGCTGGATTGCCGCGTCTTGGGTAGAAACCCGCTGTGAAGCAGAGTAGTCTGTGCGGGGGTATGCGTTTGCTGTCATGAGGAATACTGATAATTGGATTGCCTGGCTTATTCCTAACTCAACGTGGCTGGTCGCTTCGTCAAGGCGCAAGAAATGCTAGGCGCTTGAAGATGGTGAAGGCGGGATAACGGTTGAAGAGAGGGGTTGGAAAAAGCAAAGAGTGGCAAAAAAAGAATTGACAGATCCTATAGGCAGCAACGTGTGCCATACTGTCCGTCAAGCCCTGTTCTCTGGCCCTCCCCAGTCACAACGCACCTAAAGAATGCCTCTAGAGAAGGAGAGTATGGGGTAACTCCCCCCAAACCTCACAGACCTTACCCCTCGCCGTGGGCTTTGACTAGTTCACCTGTGACTGCAAAGCAGAGGAATTCGGTGATCAGATGTATCCTGGTCAGATGCTAGGATATGGTTGGCTACCAGTTACCAGCAGCTGCACCGTCGGGTTTCTACCCAGGCAACATGATAGTGTGCCACGCCCCGGCCTGAAGGCAAGAAAGGAAAGTACGATGAATCACCCCGAACAATCTTTCGTTTCCAACCTGTAACTGATAAGTCAAACTTCCTAGTCACTTCTATTCGATGGTGCTTCAGTAATATGGGATGCAGCTAGCCTAGCTTCCTGCTCGATTAAACCAGAAAGAATCACTGAAAACAGACATATTAATTACTAAATCCAAGGGTCTATTCTGAATTTAACCATGCAGACAGAGGTCGCTGTTCCATTCATGGTGTAGCTAGGCAACTAACCCTACTACCACGTATTCGTGTATGCCTCATGCCTTTGTACTGGGTGGCTTATCGATGTCACTAGTACCTAGTTGATTGAGAGTGAGGTGGTTCTGATTTCCGGGCTACTTCTGAAACAGTGTTTGGGCAATGCAGGGTGGCTGAGGACAGGGCAGAGACAAGCGATAACGAGCTGGCTCGGCCAAATTTGCCTTTAAAATTCGCGGTCGCACCAGTTGCTTAGGCATCTATGCAACTTACTTCTGATCAGACTTGGCTTACTTACCGACTTCAAGGCTCAAGGATCACGGCACTCCAGTCACAGAAGAGTCATTGTCTACAGATAAAACTTTGACGCCAAGTACCACTAGTCTCCCTAACTAGACGCTACCTCCTTCTCGTATACATTCCCCTCCTTTGCTTTACTATTGTGGTTCATATTCTTGCGATACTATCATTCTATTCCCCAACTGGGACAAGTTTGAGCATAAATGTTGAACGGATTGTCTCTTCACTCAAACAATGGTAGGACAGTCTATCTTGCCTACCACTTCAAGCATATGCATTGTTACTGATCGCTGCAGACTGTGCAGATAACCCGAGCCACATGACCGTTATGGACCGTTCACCCTGCTTACCAACCGCCTTTCGCTTTGTCTACAGAGTCCCAGAGCCGCTCAGGTTGTGGCGCTACCAGCACACCTCCCCTCCCTATACAACTCAGCCCAAGGTCAGATCACCTCATAGTTCCCATCAACGCCCTTCTTCAGAGCGGTCAAATAAACAACCTTTTTCTTCTTTTTCACTGTCATCATGGGCGCGTTTGAGAAATGCTAGAAGTATAGACTGGCTAGTTGTTTATCGTCATGGGTTTTCCCAGGGAACTAGCCCCACTACATCAACAGGCGACAGCACACATTGCACAAACCCACAGCCCATAGGAGATCTGTCAGATGCGTTCGCTGAAGGCTTTGGTGGTGGTTGCAGCGCGAGCCCCTCCTCGACCATGAAGTTGTCCTTGCAGACTGGTCAGCCTACAGAAATAGTCCATAAGGATGCCGAAGAAAGTGACAGATTCATACGCCTTGGCTTCCTAATGACCGAAGACCTTCAGAAAAAGCCCATTTTAATCGCAATGGACACAATGGCTGAAGTCAGTATCATGCGCAAGGGCATCTTCGACAAGTTAGGCCTGCCACTGCACCGTTTCTCGATGACCATAGTTCCGTTGCAGACGAGATCTGCCCAGACAACAATCCGACCACTCGGCCTTGTCCGTCATGTTGACTGGCACTTTGCTCGTGCGCCTCAGACATACACGACAGACTTCCTCGTTGTGGACACGGACCAATATGATATCCTCATCGGTGAACGGGAAATCAAGAGGTACCATCTTCTACATCTGGGTGCGGATATCCCCAATGTGGTCGTACGACATTTGTCAAAGCATGGCTAAGGGCTTAAAATCCTGTTTTCTTTACCTCGTTATTGGGAACCTTCAACACTCGTTTGCATTCAGATGGTTTGGATATGTCGTGTTTTCTATATTTATGGGGAGGCTACGTGCGACACAAGCTTGCTCTAAGAGTTAACTATTGGCTTGTTTTGACGGGACGAAGTAACAAGGCATGGATTTTCTAGCGTGATCTGATATTAGCGATAGGCGTTTATTTTCGGGAAAAAGCACATTTAGGCTATCTTTCAATTGTTGTAGGGGTTGTAAACCGTGGAATATTCACCTTGTTTATCTCGTTTTTCCCTTGTTTCCCGTATGTATATATTAACTTTTCCCCCGCACTGACTCTACTACAACGTGTAATTGCAGCTATCGGGCAATAACAAAAATTGGTGTTGCAGTATGCTCATTCCTGCTTTTACTGCTTTTACCGCATACTACACAATTATACTAAATTAGAAGTAAAGTACTTATTTACTAATTATTCCAAAACGGAGCTTTGAACAGCTTTTGAAATAGCGACTCAAACAGCTACTAATTAAATAGGTTCTTGGATTATTATATTTATTATTTATTTTACTTATTTTAGTCTTTGACCATTCTACCGGCAATGTTTTTAAAAAAAATTATTATTGCCTGATGGCCGCTATTGCCCGCCGTACCCTTCATGTTCGTTGCTCCTGCTGGGAGCCTGCATTAGAACCCAGCCACACCAATTCTCCTCGAATGGTAATCGTGCCCAACCAGGCGTTGGAAAACCAAGACCCAATGTCATCACTTGTACCTGACTTGGTGGCAAGGCTTTACGTGCCATGAATGTGTCCCTACCCCATAGGGCCGTTCCTGTCAGAGGCCGTAGCCAGTCCGATTAACTTTCTTCATTCGTGATGCATTCTGACAACACTGTAACGGTCTTTTAGGAATGCCAGAAAGGCAATGTTGCGGCTCTTACCGGTGACTTGATGATGCCGCGAAGATATGAAACCCATGTCCGCCGAGAAAATACTCCGGAGGTCAACCACACAAAACAAAACGACTTGAACAACGCTGAGATAATATTGACATTGCGAGGAAATCCGTTTCAGGAATATGGTATGTACGATATTGCGTTGTCCGCTCACGACTGAGCAAAGGAACTAATGATGGATACTTCTTATCTCAGGCACAGCCTTGCACTGTGCAGATATCCTGCTCTGCGCCAGAAGAGACTCAACTGACGCTTCGAGCTGGGTTTACGGATGACCTTGGTATCAATATCCTCACCCTTCAAGGTCAGCACAGTCTGGATTGGTACCCCATATTTCGAGGATCGCAGAGGGCTTTTCGACTTACAAATGGTGGAGTGTTGAAAGTTCGTGATTACGTTCGTCTGCACTTCTGGCGTGATGGTGCCAGCCGCAGCGAGGAGGAAGAGTTTTACATCCCACTGGACGAAAACCCCAATATTCAAGACATCCCAGACATGCATGTGATCTTGGGTCTGGATTGCTTTCTTAAGCTCGAGGATTTCACCGACAGTCACTCGTCTCTAGCCCCTATACAGCTAGACCGGCAAACTAAGGGTACGTGTACCAGGGCTGTAGTGGCTAACGTGATCAACGCTAACCCATTCTCTAGAGCAAAAGGAAAAACAGCAAAGGGCCCTCAAACTCAAGAGGGAGCAGGCTCAGGAAAATGCGAATAAGAGATACGAGCTACAAAAGCAGCGCCGTCAGCAGCGTGCAGGCGCAACCGGTCGGACTTAGCCAGCTCATGAAGCTAGATTGATCTTTATTTTAAATATTGTTATTCGGCTTTGTGTTACTTGTTCTTGAATGGATAATCGCTTTCTCTTCTAGAATGTGTTCGATAGCTTTATCAAGGTATTATGCTCACCCATCCTATGCGACGGTAAGTAAACTAGCACACCGCTACCGATATTTTAATGTAGTATACTGCATAATAGATTCATTTCTCTGACTGCTATAGCTAAACCTGGTTACAATATGCGGATAACCCTCATCGGCTGATATTATTTCATTGTTCGGTGTGTCGGACACCAACCGGAGCATCATTATGAAACATATGAGCCAACCAGGACTGAACGCGTTGAATAGACGCCTAAAACATAGCGAATAACCAATTGTAGCGAGCTTTGAGGAAGAAGTGGATGCGATAGACGTAGTATCGGCGACGCATTAACTGAGAATGTAAGGAAAAATGGTCTCTACCTGCATAACGTCGGGTATCAGTTTTATTAGCAATGACCAATCAAATGCCGAAGCTGCCCCGACAGCGTCATTTTCTCGCTTGAATGCAGCCTCACTTTGACGCCCTCATAAGGCTGGCCTCACTCCTTCCCACGGCTGGATTTCGTTTGCTTCCCGCTGGTACATCGTGATTCTCAGGAATTTAAAAATGCCAGTCCATTTTTCCCTGCCTCAGGCTATCTCCCGTCAGTGATGCAAAGCAAGCCTTATCTCTGTCTATTATACAATCGATACTGATAATCGTGTCCTAGGTTTCTGGGGAAAGGAAGGTCATGCCACTAGTAAAGGGCGGCCAATAACCCTCACCACGCCAAAGCCTCATCATGATTTCGTATTTAGCCCCGGTTATCGTTCCAGTGGAACACCTTATATAATAATAACTGACTCACGACGGAAGACAGTTTCGTCAACCGAGTCCCCATGCTCCGTCGAAATCAATCAATTAAGTATGTTCTCTCTGAATGGTATGTGTCGCGCTGGACGAATTTTGCGAAATATCTTCGTGAAGAAGCATTCTTCGGGAATATCTGGATCCAAAACTACGCGAGATGAACCACTATTTCCCAACTGCTCCGGTGCCGGAACCGACCCACCATCGGGTCATCAGCAAGAGGAGCCACGACAATACTCCAGGTTCGACGAGAATTCAGTAACTGGCTCATACTCGGACATTCAGGCTCTTCATGGATCGGAACGTCCAGAGGAGCGAGGCGAGTCCATCAATGTGCTTCCCTCCCTCCCTTTCGAGAATGATGGATCGAGAACCCCAGGGGTGTGCCAAAATCTGGATCAATTCGATTTTGTATACGACATAATCGTACAGTCTCCCATGGGATCCAAACTCCGGCGACGTCTGACCCTCAAGTTCGATGCGGATGTCAATATAATGTCGGACGATATGCAACATAGACTGGGTACTGAGCTAAGACCTTATCACGGAGGCCCCATTTCAATAACGGGACAGTCGCACATATTCCCTGTCGGAACTGTTGGTGTTTCATGGACGTTTTGTGGGCAGCCCAGGATTTACAAAACCGATTTCTATGTTGTTCCGGATACGAACTATGATTGTCTTATCGGCAGGCCATCAATGCGCAGTCACGAGCTGTATCGAGTGGATCCAGAAATCACCAGACGCTTAAACACATCATACCATGAGCAAAATGGTACCCAGGAATAATACAGTGAACAGAAATAAATGGTGGAATATGTAAATATTCTCAGTTGGATTTGCCTTTCAGTGATGTAATTTGATAACTGGCACTATTTATTGGAATATGTGGCACAATGGCATGGGATCGTTATGCGATAATGCCCGATCAGATTACTCGGAATGGGTGAGATGACGAGGAGGACCACGACAGTGTTTCATGCTGCTCTTTAGGCTGTTGGGTACCTGAATCACACTAGCGTTATGAATCCCATTTTTGGTCTGTACTCCCCATTCCTTTTGGTATCTACTGTTATAGACCGCATTTCTGCGACATGATTTCCCACCTTTTTTTACTCTGTGTGTTTACAACAAAGTACCCCCTTTCTACTTCATTTTGTGAAATCAAAAACTGGCCTTCAAGGCGAAAGCAACTTTACCCTCCAGACGGCTTAAAAGAACACCTGTTGAGGGGTCTCCATAACACCCTTTGGATCTACGTTATATGAAGCACTTCACCGCCCCCAATACCAAGGTGAATACCGCCATTTCCACACACAAAAACGCTCAACAATATATGACAGACAGAAAGATTCCAGCAGACATGACACACGATCAGCCAGAAGGATATGATAAACTAGCGGCTGTAATGGCCCTAGACTCCGGATCCTGCATCTTCCGCCGATTCGCCAAACTCAACGTGAAAAACATCCTCTACCTTCAAGCAGAGTTAGCCTATGTCGAAGAAGATCTTAAGAATATCATTACTGAAGACAAGATGTCCGCATCACCTGGTAAGGAAAACTATCCCTACTCAGTATGGGAGTTGAAGGAATCTCTCCACCAGAAGGATGGGTATCCCGAACAGTGGATGAAGGTTCTTGAGGCACGGAAATTGTTGAACGAGTATAGTACGTCTATCCTCAAATTTGAGTTAATACCAAAGTTTCTCATCTAACTTTTCCTTTTTACCTTTGCTCATATCTCTTGCAGATGCGGCACTTATTCAACAAGCCCAGCTCCTACAGTTTAGCAAGCCGGAGACGGCCGATCTAGAAGTTCTCCAGGAGTGGCTAAACCGGGAACAGAGCGAGAAAAGATACTTCTCCCCGGAGGATCAGTGGAGCGAAGAGAACGCTGAAGATTTGATTGCGTTACATGGCCGACACGATAACACGGACAAGTTCACCCGTCTTGTGTTTACGCGAGTCATCCCGTTGTTCCATAGATGGCTAGGATATCGGCGTACTGTATGTTCCATTTCATATACCCCCTGCACTCGAGTAACTTGAGACTGAGTTAACATCATCTCCGATCGCAGTCCCGAAAAGATATCGAAGCCGGTGTTTGGTACTACAATAACCGGAGAATCAAATTCTGGACATATATAGTAAGCTTGCTAATCTCGGCCCTCCTACCTACAACTTCGGTAGTCGCGCTGTACTTCATCCAACAGACAGCGGCCAAATTGATTATCATTTTCGTGTACAATATCATATTTGTGCTCGTTATGGGCCTCATGGTCAAGGCTAGACGGGTGGAGATTTTTGCAACAGCGGCAGCGTACGTCATATCCTTTTTGCTCTTCATTTTGTACACAAATACCAGCTTACACTATGATTAGGTTTGCTGCAATTCAGGTGACCATCCTTACGAGTGGGAATGGCAGCTCTTGATATCTGATGGTTACAAAGTATTATTGCGCGGAGTTCAAGCGTTCATGGCTAGAAGTCGTCGAAGATGACTGTTCTTATGCTTCTCAAGCTTCAAAACATGACCATACTAGTCCGCGCCCGCGTCCAGTCTTTCAGTTGCCGTTTGGACTCCAATCTGATACTTCATCCGTAGTGAACAAAATCATCCGATTTCCAGGTAAAAGATTTTCCTAGTAGGAATACCGGCTCCAGATTCAGTCTCAAAGTATTATCATTAATATTCCAGGTTCAAACTTGCCATATATGACTGTCATAGGTCTGTCAGTGAGATCTATGTCTCCTGTATAGATTTTCTTCACAGTTATCAAGGCACGAATTACAGTGGATCGCCGAGCTACTCAGTCCTCCAATCGGTCTTCAATCACCGAAGCTCGCACGTCCTCCTACAAACACCGCCTCATACTCGCTAGCGAACGCGCTATTTGGTCGATTCTGGTTGTATTCAATAGCTGGTCAATAAGTGTCGACATTAATTGCGTTACCTTAGACTAGCGCCCAACCCGACTGTACTCCGAATGATGGTATTCAGACGCCGAGGTGGGGATACCGTTTCCGCCGAAATACGAGAGCTCACTCCGTCAAACGCCGATTGGCCACAGATTGTTGTACCCCGCACAAGAAACACAGATATGTCTTGGTTCAACCAAAAGGTCAACCGTTCTAGGTCTGGTCTAATTTATTCTATACCTGGTCTTAAAACCAAGTTCGCTCTCCGATACCATGATCACCCCATCATGGTGGCATCATACACGCTTTCTAACTCCCTGACTATCCTCCCGACACCCTCATACACCCCGTCCGCTTTCATTGACACTCTTAGCGACTCAATCCCCATGTGTAACTCCTCCTCAAGCCTTTCCGCATCTTGTATCGCCGTCCGCTCAGTCGGCCGGTCTAGGAGATCATAAACACTGCTCAGCGTTCCGGCGGACAACGCCGCCCGCACACGCCGGAGCACCATGGCAAGTACATAGAAGCTCTGCATCCCACACCAGGCCATGTATGGTAGAGAGCGTGGTGAAGTCAACGATGGCCTCGAGTCTCTACTACTAAGTCCGAGCCCGAATCCAAAACCCAAAGTCTCTCCATCGGCAGGAGTATCAGAGTACATCGGATCCGGTGTAGGCAGGTGACGGAAGACTCGAGAGATCAACAGCGCAGATCGAATGCATATACGCATTGATTCTTGTTCATTGAATGGAAAGATAGCATCGATTTGGGTTCTTTGCGACGAAGAGAGGGAGATGCTATTCCCGCTAGTACTGCTTTTGAAAGTAGTCGTGAAGCTATCGGTAGGACGGTCAGGGAAGGCGCGAACTCTATGGATAAGCAATCTAGCAGTGTGGATTAGGACGCGTGATATTGCCCAGAGCACGCGCTCCGCGTCGGCTTCCGTGCCCTGGCAGTTGGCTATGCAGCAGTAGCGGTCTGTTTCGGTGGCTATATTGAGGAGAGAAGAGTCGAGGTGTTTGATTTCGTTGTGGAAAGAACAGGGAAGACACCCATGATCATAGGTGGTTTCGTTAGAGAGCTGACGGGTGATGGTGCAGCTGCGGTGAAGGAGGGATTGTGCTTGTAAGATGTAGGGCCATGGCTGATGCTTGTTAGAAGACATGGATGTCAAGAGGAAGGGAGTTGCGGACCTCTCGACAACCACGAATTACTATATAAGGCGTGGTAATGCGGAAATCATCGCTTGTGATTAGGGGTGCCTATATTGCGGAGTTAGCGAAACCATGCCTACGCGATATAGAAGCTGGGAACTGACCGAAGCTGTCAATATAGAAGACTGATAAATGAGGAACATCTGCGACAGTTAACATAAACTTATGGGCTATGGATGAGAGAACACATGTGACATACCGTCGACCACCAGCAGCGACGGATCGCGTCGGAACAGTTATTCGCAGACTTCTGCGTATGTAACGATAGGTCCATAGCCATGGTTAATGCCTGATTGGCTCGGATGCGCATCTTGGGGACATTTCCTCGCTGGCAGCACTCGTATAGGCTAAGAAGTGCTAATGCCAGGATCGGCTCCAATTGCTGGGGAATTTCCGGATGCAAGGGGCTGCATGGGCCCTGAGTGAGTTCGGAATTGGAAGACGGCACGAGAGATTCTTCCGATACATCTAGCGCTGAGCGTGCAAAATAATCGGCGTAAGAGCGCCGCAAAGTGACGGCCTCATTCTCTATCGCGTGCACATCTCCTGGTAGGGGTATCAGTGCCAGTATTGCTGCCACAGCCAAGCCCAGTGAGGTAGTCGGCCAGTAAGGCAGATGAGATGCATCTACATGGGCCGACCGCATGCTCAAAGCCACAGGCTTGTCCATATACTGGGACATAGCCGGTGGGGGTAGTAGAGGGAGGTATGGATGTATGAAGATGTAGTAAGCATTGATCCTAGGGTACGATCGGAGAAGGATCTGTCAGTTAAGGTCCGGTGGGATATTGCATGGGCACGACATACAGATCCTGATCACACCGATAAGCACGGAGGCTTTGTGTCGGATGGCCCACAGTCTCCCGAAGCCCCTGACCGGTTCTAGGGCCTCTAGGCGATGACGGAAATCCCAGGCTGTCTTTTCCCTGCAGCGTATCGGATAGTCGGGGTCCGGTTTCAATCGGAGACGGAGATGAAAGAGAAACCGGGGTGGCTGCATTGATCTGCAATATCTGAGCCGGAGTAAACTCATAATTTGTCACAGCATGATTGTTGACCTTGGTTGCAGTTTGCAGTCGTTGGGCCTTTTTCATGGCCCGCTCCTCGGCGGCAACAGGGCCCCGTCGAGCACCCCCTCGCCGACTGGGTTGATACTGGCATTCTTGTCGATGGATAGTGCACTACACAGGGTTACTAGAGATCGATTATTGATTTAGAAATAATGTTGACTTACATTAGCGCACGGAACTTGCCCGTCACATCGAATTTTGGAGGCTCGACTGTTCATGTTAGAATTTGGTACCTTGCATCAATCCCCGTGGATTCATCACTCGGCGTCAACTTACCAGGCCAGACACGCCACCTTCACCGGCCGAGAAGTGGAAGGCATATGATTTCCCTCCTATCTTCTTGTATCTCTGTAATTAAATGCTGTTTTTTTGTTTTTTTAAAAAAAAAAAAATCCAGCTATCACTTCAGGTCAGTATATAAAGGAAGAATGCAGATATCACTCGGTTTGGGGAAGAAAGGAGAGCTGGATGTTTCGGCGTCTGAAGTTCGGCGAATGAAACGGGTATTAGTCAAGCATCGTTCTGATTGCGCCACTCTCGGCCTTTCCGGGGACCCACTTGCCCCCTCCTTTGACAAAGGCTGTACTCTTCGTATTTAGATCTAAAATGACCGATCCATCCGCCCAGCTATCCTGACCTCTTCTCTAGCAGACAGTTCTTTGTTCGGCCTCCTTTCAATGATCCTGAAGGGCATTGCAACATGACTACAGAAACAGTCCAAGCCATCCCAGCAAGCGAGGAGTACTACGACCTTGGCTCCTATGGGCACGTTATCAGCACCACCAGCGCCGACACCCAGACCTGGTTCAACCGGGGTCTAACATGGGTCTACGCCTTCAATCACGTAGAAGGGGCCTACTGCTTCGAACAGGCCATTGCAAATGATCCGACGTGTCCAATGGCATACTGGGGCCTCGCCTATGCTGTAGGTCCAAACTACAATAAGCCCTGGGAGAGGTTCGATAAGAGAGACTTGGATGCCTGTGTAAAACGAGGATTCTATGCCGCACAAAAGGCCAAGGAGCATGCGGGGAATGCCACACCTCTCGAACAGGCTCTTATTAAAGCAATCCAATCTCGTTTCGTCGCCGACACCCCGCCTAACGATTACCCGACCATCAACAAGAGCTACGCCGCCGCCATGAAGCTAGTTTACGACGCTTTCGGGGATGATATCGACGTAGCCACGCTCTATGCGGATGCGTTGATGAACATGACTCCGTGGGCTCTGTGGGACCTTTTCACTGGAAAGCCGAATGCTAATGCGCCCACGATGGAAGTCAAAGCCGTTCTGGAGCGAGCGCTCACTTATAAGAAGGCAAATCTCCATCCCGGCCTGCTTCATCTCTTCATCCATTATATCGAGATGTCACCTACACCGGAACTGGGCATAAACATAGCCGATAACCTTCGCAACCTTGTCCCAGATGCCGGTCATATCCACCACATGCCTACTCATCTGGACATCCTCATTGGAGACTGGAGGCGTTCCATTGCTTCTAACTATAACTCGACCCTTGCGGACGACAAGTACTTCCGCAAAGCAGGTGCTGCCAACTTCTACACCTTCTATCGTATGCACGACTACCATTCCTTGATCTACGCAGCCATGTTCGCCGGAAAATCTCAGATGGCTCTGGACGCCGTGACGCGCATGGAAGCCACTGTTCCTGAGGAAGTCCTGCGTATCCAGTCCCCACCAATGGCTGACTGGCTCGAACAATTCCTAACCAGCCGGCTGCATGTAATGGTGCGCTTTGGCATGTGGGAGGAGCTGAAACAGAAAGAGCTGCCAACTGATCAGACTCTCTACTCCGGCACCACAGCCATGACGCACTACGCGCGAGGAGTCGCCTTCGCCGCTACCGGGGATGTCCCGACAGCTCGTAAGGAGCAGGAACGGTTCAATCAGGCATGGAAGCGTGTTCCAGAGACCCGTCTCGCGTATAACGGGAAGATTGTCGATGTGCTCCAGGTGGCTGCGGCCATGTTGGAGGGTGAGATCGAGTATCGGTGCGCGAACTACGATCAGGCCTTTGCCGCTCTGCGTCGTGCTATTGATATTGAGGATAAGTTGCCCTACAGTGAGCCGTGGTCGTGGATGCAACCTTCCCGCCACGCGTACGCGGCTCTTCTGATGGAACAGGGGCATCTGGAAGAAGCAGCGCAGGTGTATCGTGCCGATCTGGGACTGGACAACACGCTTGTTCGTCAGTGCCGTCATCCTAACAACGTTTGGTCACTGCAGGGGTATCATGAGTGTTTGGTCAGACTGGGGAAGCTGGATGAAGCGGCTATGATTGAGCAGTCGGTTAAGTTGGCTCTTGCGGTGGCGGATGTCCCCATCAAGGCGTCGTGTTTCTGCAGGCTGGATACTTCCCAGGCGCCGCAGGTTCTCGAAGGGTGTTGCTCTAAGGAGTGAAATGAGTTTCATTTGCAATGTGGATGATCTTCCATGGGCTATTATGTATATGACTGCGCGGGAGTTGACATATCCCAGAATGAGCGGTCTAATTCTGTGAAATACCATTTTGTCCTTTATACCATCTGCAAATTGCCCTTTCCGTACTCCAATCACGTCCATGATGAAAAAAAGCAATTCGCTAGAACCCAGGACAGTCAAACGCCACCCTATACCAAGTGCACTGATAGTCATCGCCCTTTTCGCAGTCATCCCAAACACCTCCCGAGGGCATGCTATACCCATACAAGCCATCACTGTACGCAATCTCATATTTGAGGTAGCAAGATGGATAACCAAAGACGTTCTCAATGTCCAGAGTATAGGGCAGCTGCGAAGTCATGGCGTCGCCCTGTGTGAAGTTCTCCACGTGGCCGATGATGTTGCATGCGTGATCGAAGAGGTAGGCGGAGTTCATCGTTTGGTGGTAGCAATCGATACCAGGATATAATTGGTATACGCCGAATTGGCAGCTGCCTTTACCTTGGGGTTGGCAGAGCTTGGCGCCGGAGGGGATGTCCTCGCTATCGGATGCGTAGGTGAGCGTAGGGACGAGGGAGAGGAGGAGGGTTGGGATGAGCTGGAGTGGCTTCATATTGGCTGTGTCTGCCTATTGTGGGCGATTGTTTGAGTTGTCTGATAAGAAGATTGACTTGAGGTGGATTCTGGAGTATCTTGTTCAATTAGGAAGCGTATCTGGAGATCAAGACAGAAAGTGTGCTCCTGCCGCAACTTATAGACTTTTCTCCGTGCTTACGGGGGCAGCTAATCTCGGGTGCTACTGCAGGATCAGGCACCGCCCTGGGTTGTATGGAGATCGGCAGGCCTAGCCAGGATCTGGGGCCAAAGGGGCCAAGGAAGGGGGCCAAACGTGTGGAGGAAGCGGTTCAACCTAGTGCCTGTTAGGGCAATCATATTGCGACCTGCTGAACATGATCATGTCGTCGGTGCATGGTGCCGTGAGCTTATCTTAGTCTGGGGTGATGTGTAGAATGGGGCTCTCCACGATGTGTAGCTAACAACTTCTCAGCGGTTGGGTCGAGATCGATACCTTCGGTATGATGGTACTGGGGCCCAGGTCAGACATAACTTTTGGGAGGCCAGAATCCATGAATTTCAGGATCATATATACAATTGTACTGGTATTAAAGCAGCAATCATTCGGTCAGCAAGTCAAATCTATTTAGAAGATCGGCCCCACACGAGGCTGTACTCTGCCGGACTTGCCCGACGGTCAGAGCGTAGTGATCTAGATAATTGAAAGTACGGTTGGTTTGTCTCTCATTCTGTGTATGGCTATGAAATTGGGGTCTAGCACTTCGTGTTGCCTACATGGATGGTCGGCGCCATGCCTGAGAAGGGGACGGCGGCGTTCACGGAAAACATTTCCGTTCGGATCGTTGGACCTAGTCGGACAATAAGTTACCTGTGGGTGTGTTTGTTAAAGTTTTAAATTAGAAACAATTCAAGAGAGCACGCGCAGACGGTATACAAAAAGCAAAAAGACAAATCAAGCACATACGCCAATTGATGGCGCTGCTGGGAATCGAACCCAGGTCGAAACGGCGCTGCGGAGAACCACAACGTTTCATGATGACCACTACACTACAGCACCTTGATCTGTGACAGGCGGCCGCTTTTTTTACATTACCAGCGACTTTATACCCGCAACCACTAAGGTCTCAGTATTTACTTAGACAGTCCCCTTCATGGTTATGAAGCTGGAGAGAGGTACGCGGAATGAACAGCTTCTGATTCGCTACCAAAGCAGCCCATTAATAGGGTACCCACAAAGCCTGGCCAGCGGCACCCTCTTGGGTATCACCATTGCTTGAATCGCGCAGGAGATGTGATGGAAAGGCCAGACGACTCTGTGTCATCAGGAAGACTACATCCGGTGGCATATCTGTTACGCCTGACAGAAGTTGGCCTCATCGTGATGTCTCAAATTAGTGTCTGTTGGTCTTTATGCCATGGTTTACTTGAAGAAACTAATAATTTGTACACTTTGGTCAGACCGTATTAACCACCTGATATTGGCTTCCTGGTATTTCTTCTACAAGAGACCCTTCAATCCGCTTGACTTTCCGTCCCTCCCACCATGACATTACCCCAGCTAAAAGGGAGCTGAAACAACCCAGGCCGATGAAAAGTCCGACTCCGTAGCTTGGGCGATTGTGCCGGTTGTAGCACCACATAAATGCCGCCATGCCGACTTGGAACAGAGTGTTCACTAGCATGTTGATGATGACGAAGTCCATTTTCCATTCGCTGGTAGGCGGCGCAATTTTACCGGTCAGGGTCGTTTGCAAAGTCAATCCATCAGAGTCAGAAGGCTGCAATCTGAACCAGCTCGTATTTCGCTTTGCGAGTTTCTCTATCGACTTTCTCGATTTCACACCGTCACACAGGCGCCACTGGAGTAGCCAATATGTATCGCGAATTCGCCATGGTGCCAGACCCCACGAGGTCAAGCAGAACAAGCCATTCAGGATCTGAGAATCTATTTCAATCCAAACCTCTTTCTGCTTTTTCGTCATGGATCCGACATTCAATAAGAGAAAGAATAGCATAGCGCCCCAGGCAATAACGTTAAGGCCGTAAACAGTTATGAAGAAGCCCGTAGGTGTGCAGAGGAATTCCCACGCCACAAGCGGCAATCTTTTGCATGGGTCGCGGCACGAAACAGCTCCCGCAGAGAGATCTGAATAGTGGTCGCGATCGGGCTGAGCCCCAAGGGGGAGCACTGGGTCCTCTTCTTCCCAACGGCCAGGACCGATAGCGGGGGCTGTCGCTCTTCGGGGAATAGGGCGGTCAATCGCAGGTTCAGTGTTGCTTCGACGTACAGTGCGAGCGTGGAAATCAAATGCCACCTCGTCAGATGATCTCAGATCAGCGGAATTTGGGGCGTGTGCGATAGCAGTCCCTGTGGCTTGCCAAACCCCTGCCGCGGGATTGAAACCAAGCAGCCTCGCGGCGGAAGAGATGGAGGCGAAGCGCAGAGTGCGTCCTGCCTGAAACAGAGGCATTGTTGACCGGCCTTGCCTGTCCACTGCAGCCGAAATATCATCGGTCATTTTACCCAGTTTTGGCTGCTGGGAGAGTTGTGAAGTAGATGAGGTGGTCATTTGGGCAGAACCCACCAATTTAGTAGTTAAAACATATCACACAACACCCAAAAAACCAAAGGCTGTGGTTAGACAGCGGGGGTTCATTCAAAGAGCAGGGCTAGTGGCACTTCACAGTGGCAATTCACTCAGCAATCGAGTATCACGAACACGGCAATCATACCCACCTACCATACAGGGTAGAGGGTAGATAAAAGGTCTTATTATACGTACCCTTCAATGCATTGTTCGTATATTCGTATCCATTTACATAACTAAATATAGACTAGCTCTAACTATAAGGTTAGGCTATATCGGGTATAGTGCCAATCTCTCTCTAACATGAGTATACTTTTTGTCATATATGTACAGACACGTAGTTTTTTTTTTTTTTTTTTTTCTTTTTTTTTTTTTTTTTTTATCTCTTTTCTATTTTCCTACCTCTTTCAGATTTGGCCAGGAATCTTATCCAAAGCTCTTTCTAAATGCTTTTTTAAAAAGCCCTATTGCTGGTAGATGCCTCCATATGGATTTAATAAGATGAAATGTCTGGATGATCTCAGAGAGATTCAGAGAGATGTTTTGGAGAAGCGCTTCTTCGAAAAATGTTAAAGGGGCTTCAATGAGGGAAAAAGAATCCCAGTCACAGCTAAAGTTCGCTGACCAACTTTGGCCGCTGCAGCTGTCTCGTTCCTCGGGTCGTGGCTCTGGCGCAAGTCGTAGACCTCGACCTACACCATGCAAGCAAGAGTGGACGGACACATCAGTGAGACCAGTGAAGCTCAAAATAATATAATACCATAGAAATGGCAAAAATATACAACAGAAGGGATTCAATAGACCGGCACGAATGAGCACTAAGCCCCGAAAAACTTGAAGAGCAAAATAAGAATACAAAAACATACAACAGAAGGGATTCGCTGGTGGTCACCCACCCAACTACTAACCTCCCGGCGTGTGGCTTAAGTACGGCTGAGCGGACGGGAAGCCCTGTTTTCCACACCCTGTGGTCGTATGTACTTACTCAAAGTACAACTCGAATGACATAGCCTGTAAGGAATAAACACCAAATACTTGTTTTTCCTGGAGGTTACAATTTTAGGAAAGTAATGAGTATGTGTGATCACGTATTGGTGTGAGGCATGATCAAAGTATAGTATACCAAAACCCTCTATACAGGCTGATCATCATCTCTCGCACAAGTAATGCTTGACTAGCAAAAGAGGAAGTTATGTTGGCCCTTTGCGGGAAGCAGGGACGTGTATATATATTCGACAATATATCCACGGGTCCATTATCGAAACCATCCACTTTAGTAAGTTAATGGAGGTAGTCCCGTCAGGGCAGTAATCCCGCGTGTGCATGGCGTTCCAAGGGAGCATTTGGCAAGAAGTTGTGCTCTTGGCAACCCCTGTCCTGTTCATACCCGTCACTGACACCATTGCAGCTGCACCACACGGTCGCCTGCATGAGACATTTGAGACTTATGCCCACGGCCTTTATGAGCAACCTCTGAAAGGCTCATTGGTGATTTCAATGGCCAATTATGCACATGAATCAGTGCTTCTCAGCTACTGCTGTTTTCCAAGCGATACGTTCCCCTAGGGGACATTAGATTGTACCCAGATCTGAACAGTTGGAACATGATTTCGCCTTCCAGTTAGTGGCTGCTGTGTACCAGATTTATCCGTGGCCCTTGCTTGAATGTGATATCTCCCGGTTCGGTGAACTTCCACTCGAGAGAAGAATAGCTGCCACTCAAACTGTTTCCGTGGTGACACAATTGCCTCATCCCAACTGTCCCCATCGAGACTGACTTCAACCCTCACAATCTCGTCTGCCCCCCATGCGCGCCCCCAGCCCTCAATGTACCCAAGGCCGACAATTACATCATCTGGACGAGGGCGGACAATCATCGAATCTGGCTCAACCCTCCAAACGGGTCTTTTCCGGACCCCTTCGGAGTCCGTTGGATCAAGCTCATTATAAAAGATAGTAGTAAATGGCCCTTTCGATCTTGTTGCCTGCACAGATAATCGACACAACCACTTTGTGGAATTCGTCCCAAACCATCCTGGAACAACTAACCTCACTGGTCCACCGCGCTCCTTAGTCAACGGTTGGCCATTCATTTCGTAAGCAACAAGAACTTTGCATGATAAAGCTTTCTTGATGGGTAAGTCCATTTGGTACCTTTCGGCTGAGACGCCGGCAAATTCACCCGAGTCCAGCCCATCGGACCAAACAAACAGTCCACGCTGAAGATCTGGCCGAGAAATGGACAGCAGATAATGCAGCGGGACGCCCGTCCATTTGACATTGCCAATGCGCCAAACATTCTGCGTGGGAGGATTTATGGGGCTGCCGTAGCAATTCATGGAAAGAGGTGACTGCCTCGGACGGCATTCCTCGTAATTGATCGAGATTGATGGAAAAAGGGCGCTCAACAAGCCCGTCTACTATGAGCTTCCAGCGCCCGGTACCCACAACGGCGGCTCCCATGTGAATAGTCTGGAATAACTTTGATTCCGGTGTCAGTTCCCCATTAAGTTCGTGGGGTGCAGGGGGATGCCGTATGAAGAAGCCTTTGGGGTGAATGTTGGTGACAGACTTGCGCTCCGAATCGAGGATGAGCCCCCTGCGGTCAATGAAGTCGACAGCAGGTAGGCTGTCATCGGCCATCACTTCGTACATTTTTAGGAAACAAAAACATGCGCTTCTAGAAAGAGAGAAGATATGATCAAGTTCAAGGGAGAATAATGTCGATGATCTTCCCGTTCCACCCGCAATAGCCGCAACCAGATGCAGATGCGCCTTCCCGAAACATGCCCCACGTGGCGTCAAGTGAAGAACCTACGTCCTATATTGAGTTGGGGCTTTGTAACATCGTATGTCTTGTACTTTGCACTTTTCCCTATGCCTTTCTGTTGCATAGAACTCACCATGGAAATTACTTCAGCAAGAGGTAGGGCACTCGCAGCGCAGAAACCCGCCTTCCTGGACGTCTTGGGGGATCTGTGGGATGCGCAGTCCAATCCCGAAGGTATAGTCAATCTGGGTTTGGCCGAGAATGTAGGACGAAACTGCACGGACTTCTTTATGATCTGATCATTAATATTGCTCAGACTCTCATGCATGCAGAGATGATGGAATTTGTCAACAGCAATGTAATGATTATTTCCATTTCTGCTTCCTCAATACCTCATACTAACGGTCACAGGCCCAATTTGACGCGCATGTATTAACCTACGGGGACGGGTTCAGTGGCTCACATCGGCTTAAAAATGCCATCTGTCAATTTTTGAACCGTTATTTCAGCCCCCCAAACTGCATTGTATCCGTGCGACATTGCCGTCACGTCGGGTGTCAGCAACGCACTCGAGTGTTGTGCTTGGGCTTTAGCCGATCCTGGTGACTACATCCTCGTCGGACGCCCCTACTTCAACGCTTTCAAGACTATATTTGGATCACGACCGCAGTAAAGAACATCATCTCAATTCCTTCGTGGTTCAAGCGCTGATTGTTACAGGATCGGACTACTTGAAGTCGCCTTCGGCACAACCGACCCATTCAGCATCACCGCTATCAACGAATATGAGCGGACTTATGCAGAGGCGGAGAGGAAAGGCCTCCAAGTCAGGGCTTTACTGCTATGCTCGCCACAATTTCCTCTTGGTAGGTTCTTCGTTTCCTGCATCCTATCTCACACTAATAAATAGATCGCTACGGAGGCCTCTGCACGACGCAACGGAGCATACGACCTGCCTGAGAGGCGTTGTCGGTGGGCTACCTACAAGGATCTCTAGATTCGATGAGTGTGGCAAGGCCCTCGACTATCGAACTGGTGGATTCTTGGGACATAAACCGATAACCTAGCTGTTCGTCTGGCTGCATTGTTCGAGCATCCGGATACGTCACTGTTCTGTGCGGCGAGATTTGCCCCACACATCAGAGCTGTCAATCATCTGTCGAGCTGGATGGTATTTGCTGGAGTTTGCAAATATGCCTCTACGAGCAAGGGATAAGAACCGTGCTCCGCGCAGGCCCATGGCAGGGAGCAAAACGAACGACTTCGAAACAAGTTGGGCTGAGTTGTCTACCTCGCTCAAGAAAATTCACACCAAAGATGCCTCAGCTTTGTCTTTCGAGGAGATATATCGCAAGTTCTATAATCTTGAGGAGCGTTCTACAGCAACAAAAGCAGCCAAACGAACGGAACGAACGCGAAGCAAAAGTGTCAGTTGAATTGAGCTATCTAGGAGAGCGAAACAAAGCAACGCGAAGAGGTGCTTTGTGTGGGCGGCCTGAGCGCAGCGCGTGACTAGCCTACATGAATGCTCAACATATAATATTGTCCTGGGAATGCGTGGAACGGAACTGTGTGAACGGATTCAACAACTAGAACATGAATGGTCAGATACAGAAGTCTACAAGTTAGTGACTGGGGCTATTTTGCTTAGTCTGCTGCTGTTGGTGAAGCAGCTGGTAGATGCGCAAGATCGTACTAATAAGAGGCGGGATGCAGAGGAGAGATTTTTAGCAGTACTCAAGGAAGCTTGGGAGGATCATCAGCTATGTATGAAAATGATCACGGATGTTCTCATGTATATGAACCGTGTTATGTCTAGGGACCACCGAAAGCCATCTATTTATGTGGCATCAATCGCCAAAAGGTCGGATGGACTAGTTGGCACTTGCTCGGGCAGTTCAGCGCGGAACGTCTTCACCAAGAGGCTACAAGAGCAAATCATAAGGACTGACTTCAGACATATACGAACAGTCCCCCAGCTTCTGGTCCTATCCTCGGTCCAAAGCATCATCAACAAGGATCTGCTGATACATTCATCCCCTGAAACATGCATCGAACTCGATCCTGATCCTGACCTCGACCCAAGCCAAGAACACGTAGGCCTCAGGGCCATGGGGATAGGCGCCGAAGACGCTGGGTAGAAGGAACTAAACACGCCCTGTTTGAGTCAGCAGGGAAGGTCATACAAGCAGAAGGAATAGGCATGTTGGGAGCAAGATAATGGACGAAGGACGAGGAGGATGGTGACTCGTAGGTAGCTATAGCTGCAACACTCATTTACATCTACATTTGCTTTTGTTATTCAGTTGTGTTTAGCTACGGCGACGACCTTCCTACGTCATGGCATGCGTTGTTCGCGTTGCTTACATGTTTCTACGTGTGTTTATGTGTGTTTACTGCGAGTTAGAGGGCATTGAGGGCGTTCGGGTCATATTCTTTGCTTCAAACGGTGAAGCACCTGCATAGCTAGCATCTCACTACGCCGGCTCGATCGGGTGTAAGAATATGAATTTAATTGAACTGAATTGAACTAGTTGGCAAGGCCACGGAACACAGCAAAGAGGCTAGGTATATCTAAAAGGCCTAAACCAGTTCTATTTCAACCTTTGCTTCTGTTCTTTACAAATACTTGCTTTCGTGATAGACATAGTATCAGCAACACATTAACCAAAAATAGAAGGGGAAATAGTCTCTACCTGCATAGTATTGGATATCAGTTTTATTAAGAAGATCAAAAGACGTGGAATCCCCGCCATCCTCAAGACCCAGATTGAAGAGAGTCTTATCATGTCCTTCGTCAATGCGCGTTTCTAGGATGCTGGCCAGGACTTGGATATTATGGTCTGGCTGTTTGCCAGTGCCCAGGAGTGATTTCTTCAACTGGATCGATTTCGGAGCATCCGTGAGATCTAGCTGGTTGAGAATATCCAATTCGGCATGGTCTTCGGGTATTGGAGCTGCGCTGGCTGTTTCGTAGCCGCTGTCACTAGGCAAATACTGTGCCGATCGCTGGGCCTGTTGCTTTTCAGCGTACTCGGCGAACTTGTTGAGGGCAATCTCGCCTCTCCGCTGTTCCTCCAACAAAGGCTTAGATCCAGCGGTCCGCATTTTGAAGGCTATATTGGTCGATCGCGGAGGGCCGGTGGGCGTCCCCCACGAATTTGTTCTACCACGCTGCCCTGCCCAGTTTATCGAATTTAGTGATGCGATAAGAATAGTTGAGCCTGTTCTAAGACACATACCGCACTTGGGTATTAGGTTGGATTGTCGAAAAGTGTGATTGCCCATATTATTTGTCCTTCTGATTACCGGAAGCAGTGATTAACTACGGCGGCGTCGGACTAGCACGCTAGCCTTACTTGGAATACCAGCAGGCGTTGATTTCTATGATTGCACCATACCCAACCGACTTCCTTTTTGGTGGGTATTGATACCCCTGATCTATTTTCAAGGTTAACTGTCCTCGTCTGCCTCCATGTATCTGAAGAATGAAAACATGGTTCAGTGGTATGCATTACCTATGGCCAGCTTATGACTTAAGGCAACAAGAAATAGCGCAATGACCAAGATCCCTTCCATGACATAAACATCTGTGAGTTGCTCATGTAACACATCGTAATACGAATGTGGTGCTGGAATTATGTTTAATCAATGTAATGGTATTGACGAGTTTCAATAACCATATCACTTCGTTTTCGGCAAAGCTCGTTGGAACCGCGTGTATATGTCACTGTAACAAAGCTTCTGATGTCGTCGGCATGATCCGTAACCTCGGGGCTGGGGAATTTTTAAGGTTTGCTGCCGTATGTTGGTTTTTTTTTTTTTTTTTTTTTTTTTTTTTTGATGAGAAGGATGTTGTCAGAGAAGAGAGGCTGCAGCCTCATTGAGTAACATTTTAGCCGGAAAATGTGATGACAATTCTCGGCTTTGTAATCTATCTTCATGTTCCATACCTGAGCAGGACTCTTGCAAACATTTTACCCTGCTTAAGTCGTATGATGCTGTATTAAGTGTTTCGCCAGGTGCCAAAGGACACGCGGATTATATAGAATATATCATATCTCATGATTTGGGATTTGGTTCTTTCTTCCACGGGCTGGCAAATCCACCGATCAATCTCTCCACATCGTCATGCAGCGACCAACTCGAGACTAGATTTAAACGAAACGAAGTAAGTAAGCCACAGGTACGACTCCATGGCTAGACCCTGATATGAAACGCGACGCCTCCATCAATATAGTATGTGCCCCATTGACCCTGCTGCTATGCTAACAGTTTGCGAAGTTCAGCGAGGAAATAGTGGCGGCCAGATTACTAGCTGGAGGGTTCAGGCAACTTGGTTTGGCTATCACGATGTCTATAAAGCGACAGGAGCAAGCTATACCGAGCTTATATTTTCCAATCGAACCTTATCGAGGAGAGCAGAGCGATTGTGCATCATTGATTAAACATTCTACACTAGTACTATAGATTGGTACATATGTATAATGGGTGAGTAAGACCCAGTCGGAGAGCCGCCTATCAATATGGATACTCTTCGTATCTAAAATTCCAAATTGTCTTTGCCGACTTGTCAAACCCATACCCTTTCGAGCTCGTAGCACCGATATGTTGAAGGACTGGCGGGACTATCACATAACGTTTCCACCCCTGTCGGTTGGCAATTTTCTCTACCATCATATCAACTAACCAATCGGTTGTAAGATCGGTATGTTCCAGAAATCGTGGCACTATCGAACGCGGGAAGACCAGGCCCTGCGAGCAGCATCCGTATTTGTTCATCTCGTGGACACCCGGACGAAACGGCCACATTGTCTGCCGCCCTGCCATGAAGTGTAGTCCGATGAACGCCGGAATGAAACAAAAAGAGATCATACAGATAGCACTTGCTGGAGTTGACTTGAAGAACCTTTTCTTTGCAGATACTATGGCTCCCGTTAGAGCAGCCCAAAATAGGAAAGCGAACGCAAGGTATCTCGGCCACTCCTCCGAGTTCCAACCCAGCAGGTCATCAATATAGAAGAGGCGAAGATAGACCCAGTCTTGTCCAGCTATTGTGCGCTGCTGGATTACATCAAGGGCGTGTAAAGTAGAAGAAAGCCAGCCCTTGGCAGCCAAAGTATCATCCTCAATCATGGCGACGTAATCCGCACCAGTCTCATAACAATCCTTCATCAAATGTGTAAAATCGTAGATAGTCTTATTACGATACCATCCTCCATCCTCCCAGGCGCGGATCTGCTCGTAATCGGGGTTATCATCGTTCAAATACAGGAGGACGCGGTCGGGTAGGGTCTCTACCCACTTCTCGGAGAATATTGGGTGAACGAAGGGATCGGTATGTGCAATGAGTAGATCAAGGAATATTGTGTTTCGTTCCGATTCGGTGAGGCCTTCCAGGAGAGAGGCTATTGTCAACCCAACATATTGCTCTTTCCTTCGGCGAACCGTCACTATCCCCACACAAATCGTAGCCTGGGTGTTGCCGGATGGCTTTGCTGCGGAGGGGAAGTCGCCAGCAGTGGTGAGAAAGGACTTTGCTTCTTGAATCCGGTGCGCGGAATACCGTTTCTCGTAGGCTCTACTGGGGTCGAAGAAGAAGGAGGTAGGATCGCGATGACTTGTCGACCGATAATAGCCGATCGAGAGTAGATACAAGAGACCGAGCAAGCAAAATAACAAGCCCGTTGGATGCGGCGATGAGATACTGGGGCGCATATGGCGAAGACACCAAAAGTTCGCCATTCGTGGTCTTCGAGAATTTCCTGGCCTGAAGGGCTGCAGTAATTGAATGGAGAGAGGTTCAATCAAGGGATGGATGGATAATGGAATGGATGGGGGGAGGGACGGCCGCAGACAAAGCAGGTCAAGTGATCAGCAATGCGACCCCCCCGTTTTAGGCAGGATCTTGGAGAATTAAGGTTGGCAGTGATCAGCACTAGACCCAAGGCGGTTTAGCTGACACGGAGAGACTGTGCCTGTATCGCCAGGCCAATCGCCATGGAGTTACGGTTGTACAAATACTATACTAGTAGTCAGATATGGCCCTGATAATCACCGTCACGGGTGGACAGCTGCCCCCTTTCCTGTCACTGGGATGGGGTGGCTCGTCTTGTCATTGTTGTGCAGAACCACAGATAAATCCGCTGCTACCTAATAAAAGCTCCTCAATGCCTTCATTACTTCTCGCTTTCATGGGCAGCTCTCTCCGGGCGAGGTAAATGATTTTCTCCTCCCCTCTGTCTGGCCCCTTTGCGTACGAGTTGTCATGACAGAAGGCCTTTGAATACCCGACGTGACCCCTCTATTCCGTACCGAGTGATTTGGTAGCAATCCGAAACAACAGCGGCTGCCTACCTGTTACTATCTCTGAGTGAAACTGGCGCCCCGGAAAGTCAGAATGTTATGAACCATTTTCTATTTTCAGCTCCAATCAACGCCATGTGTGTCTCTCTGACAAGATGGATAATTGATCAGTCACAAACTGCGTTCCACGCCTACGCCCCCTGTACTGCAGGAACAAACATGGAGGAACGAAGGTCTCGAGAAAGGCATCATAAAAGATCGCAAACCCTCCATATGTAAATTTTTGACCAACTGCTACTGTCATCCTTGTGATTCCTGTTGTCATCAACCTTATCCTTCTTTCTCGGCGCAATTGCCTACTACGAGAACCTGTACACAGGGACCTTCATCATGCTAATCCCATTAGCCTTCCTACGCAGAACCAAAAGTTTCCGCCCTCTCGCTACCTCATCCGCACCCGGGCCGCGCGAGCACAAGAAGGTACTGGTAACCGGGTCCTTACAGGCAGTCCTGTGGCGCTGTGCGATTCACCTCCTTCCGATCATTATGTCGGTAACCATCGTCACAATAAATCTGAATGGAAGATATATTGGCGCGGATTTGATGTCTCCGGTCAAGTCCGAGACCATCAATCTGCTATTGTTGCAGTTGATTGCCAAGAGCCATGAGATTATGATTGTGGCTTCCCTGAGCGTGATGGTTATGGATTTTGTACGACATGAACTGATGTTCGGCGGCGGTGTGCCTTTGGGTCTCATCGGTGCGGGTATCAATTTCAACAGGTTCGACTTTTTTCTTCGGAAAGAGTTTTATGGCTCGCTGGGGTACGCAGGCGCTCACGATAGCAAGCTCCGCAAGTTTCTTTTTGTTGGCCTGGTGGTAGTGGCAGGACTGGTAGCTTTCTTAGCTGGTCCAGCGAGTGCTGTTTTTCTTGTTCCCAAGTCCCAGGGCTGGCGGGTCGGGAGCAAGACTTTCTCAATAGTTGGCGAAGAATCTCAGTTTTGGCCCGATGACCTATCGGGTAATATGTCGGAACTACATCGGTTGTGTGGAAACGGAAGTTCGAGCACTATCGCTTTCTGTCCTGCTGGTGGTTATCACTCCCTGTGGACATATTGGGGAACTAAGGACCGTACCAGCTTTCAGAATGCTCCTTCCTATGCCAAGAAATTATCTGGTTCTCGTTTCTACTGGCCAATATCAAGCCCTTCGTCGCTTATCCCTCCACTCTACGCTCTCGGGGACACTAGAAATGGAACAAATGGGAACACATTCCTAGTGCAAGCCCACGCTGCTGTAACAACAGCTCTACAACGACTTGCAGACAACTGGTGGAATGCCTTTCTAGCAAGCGCTGACCTACCACCCAGCCAGGTAGATGACCGTATCGTATCCGCAGAGGTACGTAGCGCCATTGTTCGTCTCCGCTGCTCGGACCCACAGCTCCTGCGGACCCTGGACCAAATTGTGACTTTCCCATCGATACCTCGTGAATCCGAGTTTGGTCAGAGTTTCCCCCTCAAGATCGACGGTCTTCATACCAACCCTTCAGATCATCTACGCTTTTCTTGGGTTCGTCTTCCATCGGGCTTTGGCCCAGTTAGCATCGGGGGTCTTTTTGAGTCAGCGTGGGGTAGGAATGGCACGGAGAAGACTTCGAGTTCAGCGAGAATTGTTGTCGGTTGTTCTGTTCAGGCTGGATGGGTACCTAGTACTCTTTTCACCGACAAGTACAGTTTCTGGACTGGCTGGTATCCATGGAACATCAAGTTCAACAGCCGCACCCCCTCTTGGCATCCCGAATCTAACGGCTCTACAAATGGCCGAGTATCGTTTGGAGTTGATTGGCTCGACCTATTGACTCCGGAAGCGCCTGTCAGAGGCTCCAATACCTGGCGACCCTCAACCATAGAGAGCATCTTTTCCAACACTGCTTTACTCAGGAACACCCAAAGCGACAACACAACAAGAGTGACGTCGCTGGAAGGTTGGATTGACGATAGTGATCTCGGTCAGAAAAAGGTAGCGATAATTGAAGCCATCATCGGTAGCGTGGTGGTGGACGGCCTTAGCAGAACAGGCAGCTATCAACTGTTCACTCCTTCCGACCCATCCTGTAACGGAACTGTCGCGAACTCTGGCCACTTGCCTGAGTTCGAATTCCAGATACCGACACGCCAACAAACTTCCAGTAATGCTTCATGTCCCAGTCCACATGAAGTCACAACAATAAAGGCCGATATGAAAATTAGCGGCTTCTCTCTTCAAAGCTCACTTGCCTCTTACCTAGCCTTGCCAATCCTCTTAATGCACATCATGTTAACAGTCATCCACATTGTTCTCGTCATCTATCGAAAGCACACGTCAGGCAGTTGGACCTCTCTCGGAGAGATAATTGCGCTTGCCCAGAACTCCCAGCCTGCGCCCATAGCCTTGGAGAACACGGGTGCAGGCATCAGATCAGCGAAGACTTATGCTCGGGTGGCGAAGGTGCGGATACGGAAAGCTGCACCCATGGACCGCGGACATGTTGAGCTGTTATTCGACGATCTTGTCCAAGGAATTGACCAGCCTAATTCCACCGAGCAAGAATTAATTGGGCTTCAAACCCCAATCTTGCGCCATCCTGCTACATGGCCAGGCTATCCAGCTAGGACACCAACTCCAGGAAATGGCTCGATGGTATCACCGCGTATGACCAGATCTGGTTCCCAATCCCCATTTGGATTCACTAACATGCCGACCTTTGTTCGGCTGGATCAGTTGTACGGCTAAGTAGTCTTAGCAGCAGACTCGTTCTTGTTGGACCAGTGAGATGTGCTTCTAATTGGTACCCACTAGTTGGCCAGTACTTAGTGTTGCGATAGAATGTTGTTTCCCTTGTCCTTATGGTTACTGTTATTCCATACTAGTATCAGTTAATGTCCAATGTTGTAACTTATATTCTTCTTATTACCATATTATTCCCATGGGTGCGATGCATACTCATTTCACTAAAGCTCGCACAAGGCTTAGTCGGTAGCTTGAATGTTAGGAACAAGAACAAAATGTTGACAACAGAAGAGGCGAATGATAGTGATACTATATACATACTTAGTGATAGATGTTCTCGTTTCGATAAGTACCAGGCTCCTCAGTCCAAGCTTGCGTGGTTGGTTCCGAAGCCTTCAACATACCGAGGAAATATATATATGTATATATAATCATAATAAGCAGGAACTTGGAAAGAGCAAGAGCAGAGCAAGGATGAATAACGAAGACCGTTGGGCAGGTAGTAAGCACTAGTATGGGCTGAACCCGGAGTGAATTCGGCCCGAGGATGCACTAAATCCAGCCATGACTGATCGACCCGGACTCTACACATGTCAACGCCAGCTTTGCAGCAATCATGGAAGAGCTGCCGAATAATACTCAACCTTCTACAACAACGGGGTCCCAAAATAAATTATTCTCTCCCTCTTCAAAGCGGGTACGCGTCGTTGTGTCGCAGTCGAAACGGGGCTGCGTGACTTGCAAGTATGGGATGGTCTTCATCTTGCTATCATGTCACCAAGTCGACTGACCAAGATGCAGGGCACGTCGGGTCAAGTGCGACGAGCAAAAGCCCCTGTGTCGGCGATGCCTTCAAGCCGGTCGAGTGTGCGGCGGTTACAGCCGGGAAGCCAAGTCATCATTGTCATCAACTTTGCAGCCTGCTCTAAAATTTGGGGTCACAATGGACAGCCATGCGGAAAGGTTAAGCTATCTCGCAGCTCATGTGATGTCTCTAGATAACAGAGGCTGTTCTCCGCGAGAAGATAGTGCTTGGGGGCGTATATTTCTCCAGCTATCGAGTCAGGTCGAATGTGTCAAGGCCGCCGCGGTCGCTTTCGGGGCGGCGTATGAATCATCGCAGATAAACTTGATCGGCCATCGGCCCTACTCCACCTGGAACTATTATGGCTCAGCTCTAGCAAGGCTGCGATCTGATTTTCACAATGGGAGCGTCGGTGCAGAGTCCCTGGCTCTGGCATCCATGGTCCTAGCCTACGTGGAGATCCTAAGCCAACACGAGCAAAATGCGTTCACTCATTTTCTTGGGGCCGTACAGATCTTGACCAAGGCCGAGCAGCATCGCTGGCAAGCTTCATCTGCCGACATCCTCAGTACAATGAAAGATGCGCTAGTAAAGATAAACCTCCTCATTGGCAGCTACGGCTTGTCCCAGACCCCGCAGTATATGTATCTGGACTTTCCCAGAATACCGACTAGAGACGATGCGTTCTGTGAACCAGAGCTTGCGATTGACGCCGCAATGCACTGCCTTTATCGATCCTATCAGTTCATAGAGCAGGCTTCGCACTTGCGATACACGTATTCTAACTGGAAAGAGCATGATCCCACCATGTGTAAGGCTCAATCTGATGCGGCGGCCGAGTGTCGTTTTGTTCTTGATTGCCTTGCAGCGCTCGCCACGACGCTGCAAGCCCGATGTTCGTCCGCGACGCCGACGCCGAGAGATTTGGACATGCTGGCTGAGATTCATGCGGTTCGGACGCAGTTAACATCAGCGTTAATTTTCATCTTGTGTGCTCACAGCCCGTACGAAACAGCGTACGATGAACATAATGACCAATTCCAAAGCATAATAAGTGATGCTGCCGCGTCGGCGCGGCTGAGGCGGCGGAACAAACCCAGTGCTTTCAAACGCTTCTCAACGCGACCGGGAATTGTTAGCCCTCTCTTCATCGTGAGCATCAAGTGCAGAAATCCGTCACTGCGTGCTTTGGCGACGACATTACTTAACGAACAAAGCCGCGAGGGGCCTGCCGATGGACGAATCCTGGCGGCCATCGGTGCTCGACTGGCCGCCCTAGAGACGTCTTCCAGTGTTTCTTCTTCTCCCAACGCTCCGCTGGCTGTCTGCGACATTTCCGAAGGACAGAGAGTGTACGGTTACTCGGTGTCTCCAAGATTCAGTGGAGACAGCCGCCACGTCGTAGACGTTATTTTCCAGCGGCCCAGCCCGCCTCTCATGCAAGGGTGGGGACATATTGATTATTCTTGCCAGAATGGTTGGATGTACTGGTCAGAAACTATCGAGATATAAGGTATTTACTGACTCATTTATGCACAGAAGCCGCTAATCTCTTTATGTGTATGGAAAGGCCCATCAAACTCTCGCTAAGCTGCTTGCATTCCTGATCCTTTTCTAGTCCTGTGCCGAACGCATAACAGTATCTATTCAGAACCACATATTACTATTTTGAATCGGGTGGTGATTTATTGGCATTATGTGTGCATGGGCAATGTATTGTCTCGATGTCGGGTCTCTTATCTAGCATCTCACGGGAGTCTGATTGATGCCTTCCATTCGCCGTTAAAGTGCTGGTGGAGCTCAGCTCGGTGTTTGTTGCTGCTAAACCGGATTAAGTAAAGACTCGAGGGATGCATAAGTGGAGGTCATCTCGGTCTTTCGACACTTCATTGATGCTTATTGGTCCGTGTGTTATAATAGTCGGTAGCCTAGGCTTGCTTACACTTCCACTAGTCATTAATCGAGTATGGTCATATTTTTGTCACGGCTTGGCCCCGCAGCAGCGCCCTCAAATCCGTCAATATCGTTGCAGGTTGCATGAGAATGACATCAAGAAGGCAGGAGGGAAACTGGGCTGGCTTTTGGCAATATAGTCAAACGAGTAAGATCACTTCCGGCACCAATGTAATTTTAAGTCTAAATTACTGCCTAGCTGACTGCTGGGGCAGGTAGTTAAGAGGACCGCATCCCGCTCCCTGAGTCCACGATCTCTATCTCTTCGTCTACGCCGTGTTCCTCAGTTCTTCATTAACTCGACGTTCCCAATCACCGCTCTAGTCTCAATCACAGAGCGTTACATATCGTGGCCAAGAAAATGGCCATAAACATAGCAGCGAATAGAACGGTCGATGGTACCCTGCGAGCGCTGCAGCTCATCTTCGCCATCGTCGTCATGGGTACAGACGGCTACGGTATGAACCCACCAATGCATCTTACTCTATCAAGACATTCATTCTGACTACCATCACCTAGCTATCCACGTCTATCGCGGCCACACTGACTACGTGCACTTCGTATACGGCAACTTTTACGCTTACGCCGGCGTCCCTGACGAGTGGGGCTTCTTAATGTTCTGTGCTGGGTGGACAATTCTGGGCGTTTTCTTTCTCTTCTTCACTGCGGGAATCAGCTTCGCGGAGCATGCAGTGATTGGCTCTGTTTCTGTCATTGTTGAGGCTGTGGCTCTTCTCTCATGGCTTGCGGGCTTCATTGCGGTTGCTGTTAATGTGGGGAGTAATCCATGTCCGGCAGAAGAAGATCATTGTGTGTTGCTCAAAACTGCAATAGTCTTCGGCGCGTTAGAATCGCTGCTATTTATGATTACGACGATTCCGACCATCAAGCTTGTCTTTAACAGCACTCGCCGGCAGAAGACATCGACAATCGAAACCACGACACCTGTTTAAGAGAACGTGATTTAGGGATCCCTGTGAACAACAGGACTATCTGACACAGCTGCCCATAAAATACTTCCTATGTCCCGTATGTCGTGTCCGTTGAGACGTCTTGAAATAAAAAGAAGTTATGCTAGAGCATATACAGAGTTCCTTCAGTCGAGGCGAACAACGGCAACCTAGTGCATGGGTGTAAGCCAGCAATATCCACTTTTGCGCCATTTTGCTACATAGCCAAGCCATTAAGCTAGGTCCGACTTCCCGGTGTTAGTTGTGAAGTAGGACTATATAATTCTTTTCATATCTTATCAATACAATGATCCCCGAAACCCCGACTAATCTGGTATTCATTAACAGTGTTCTTTTTGACTCATCACCACACCGTTCACAATGCACGCCGTTTCTCACTCACTTAGCGGAATTAGAAACTTTAAAAGAATTATTATTATTTTCCGAAAAAAATGAAGGAAAGAGTACATAAATTGAAATTAGTAAAAACATACAACAGAAGGGATTCGCTGGTGGTCACCCACCCAACTACTAACCTCCCGGCGTGTGGCTTGAGTACGGCTGAGCGGACGGGAAGCCCTATTTTCCACATCCTGTGGTCGTATGTGCTAGATCTATTTTGCGCGAAGCTAATATGGCAGGGAGATCCTATGATCTAAGTGTTGTATTGCAGAAGGATGGAGGGCTGTCCACTTGGTCCAGTTCCCGAGGCAATGATTTGCCGACAACACCCAAGGGACCTTGTGAATCGCAATGCTTGCTTTCAGAACCTTGTCAGACTTATCATCAAGTTCGACAAATCTGCAGGCCCCATCTATTGTTCAGTTGGAGAGAGGCTCCGAAAGGCACAGTGCGTGTAGTGGATGAAGCTGTAGCATCGTAGGAGATCTCATCATATATTGAACAATAAAAATGAGCAGCTTGTGGATATCGTTTGAATTCATTGTATTGAATAGGTAACGGAGACATCGCCCAATGTCTGAGCATAGCGTGCACAGGAATTACGGCCATGTAGAGCGTAACTACCGTGCATCGTTATTAGTGAGGTTCATTGATATTACCCGACAAAGCCTAGACATGGAGATGACAACCACGCTTGAACCTCTCTGGAGCGCAGGAAGATCGTCGTCTTAGAACAGCTTCTTGCTGAGAAGGGGTAGGGCAAGTGAAGGAGGTTAAGGTCATGTTGCTTTATTCTATCGGACGAAAGCAGAGTAAGATCGTTGTGAAGTTGTGTGAATGGACGACAGCAGCAGGAGTAAAATGAATTACACCAGAGAGAGACATTAGCCTTTCAGGACCCGCCTCCATTGTACCAGCGTTGTAATTCCTTCTCACTAATAGCCGACTCCGACCACCTATTTCTGACTAGATCGTCCGCATCTCTAATGACTTCGAAGTCCTGTCAACTTACACACACAGTGAAGACTAAAAAGCGTAAAGAAAATACCAAGTGGAGAGGCGACAACTGTGCTCGCCAAGTGCCCCAATCTACGAAAGAGGGAGATTGAAGGAGAAAATATGATCTCGCAGTTACTTAGGTCTGGAGAAAGCAATGGATCCTCTACTTTTCTGGCTTCAGGCGGGGATGTAGCTCTCATAAATATCCCAGCTCCTCGCCTCAGTACTGTCAGCGGTATTCTTGGCATGTAACCAAGCAGACTAACTAGTATTTGTGAGCCAAACTGCAGAGGCTGGACTATTACGGATTCGGCAAATATTGCATCTGGTTGAAGCCCCAGCTGGTCGGCCAGCAGTAGTGTCTCGTTGGTAGCTTGCAGGTATTACTTGGCCTACGGTAAAAAGTACTCCATGAATGTCGAAACCTCAATTAGAGCTGAGGGGAATAACCTCACCAGCACTGTATACGCTGATGATGCATGCGTCGAAGCCTAGCAATGCACTATCAGACTGACTTTTAAGAGTCCTAGTCCCGTTCATCGCCGCTGCTTCTGACTTTCTACAGTGGTAGCAAGAGGCATCCGCGGCTGTCATCTCAGCACAGACCATAGGAGGGGGTGTGGCCCAGAAACTTTCAGTCACCACTGCTCTGCAATATCTTGCTTTTTCATCGGTGAGTGTCCTGATTAATTATCCCAGTACCAGTTGGCTCCATTGAACCTGACATAGTCGCACGCCCTCTCAAGGCCCGACCGCGGAACCAGAGGCATTGAAAACCGCCATTCGAGACAAGAAGGAGAGTTTCCCTTTTATTCTGTTGCCAGTTAACGCTAGTGGGGTCCCGGCTGGGCAAATGGAGAGCAACTATAATAACATGGGAACTTAATCCGTTTTATTCACTGGCAAACCCAGGAAGGCTCATTGGGCGTTACTGACAATGGCGGTACTTAGACTTGGTCGTGGATTATAGATCACAGAGAAAGCAAGCGTACAAGTGCGGTGGAATGAATTGTGATACGGAGGACATAACAGTGCTGCGGAAAGGAGCTAGATATGAAGTTGAGATGCTTCCCTCGTTACTTGGAGGAAGCTGGTGTAACGATGGAGTATGCAGTGTATACTTATGACCGGCGAGCCGAGGTTTAAAATTCACTTGATTCCCTGAATTCCTTCCGAGCCGGGCGACCGTGTAAGAGCAGTCCTTATGATAACCTGTTTAGTAGACATCCACTCCAGCCAGGGTCAGCTGACCCTGCGCCTCTTCTTCCTGCCTGGTCCCCGACCACCACCTCTTCCAGCCACTAATTCAACCTCTGGAGATCTACATAGGTCGGATTTCTACCCTCAACCCTTCGTCTTCAGATCAACTACCGTACTGCCAAGAGGTTGGAACTCCTCCTCCAACAGCCAGTCTAGGGATCCTGCTTCGTTGTTTCTGCTCCAGACCAGGGCACGAAGACGCGCAATGCTATTTCCTTACTATCTTATCGGGATCTTTACAAGATTGTACGGCGTACTAGTTGTATCAGCTGTCACAGTGCGAGCACTAATTATTGTGCAGACTTTTATGCTGTCACACCGACCTGGAAGCAGGACTGGCCTTACAGAAACCCAGAGAACTCTAGCGAAGTGTCAGCCATCGGAGCAGGAACAGACAGCAGGGTATCAGAAAACACAAATGTGCTTAAGCAAGAACTACGAATGTTGTATGTATTCTGCCAGCTGCATCCTTGACATTGCGCCGTGCTGAATATTGTGATTTAGACGAGGCATAAGCCTGTTATTTCCGCTGCTGCGTAAGTTGACTATCACTCCCTCTCTTATTATTCCACTGACAAAGCCGATCAGGCTTAACATCTACCCCCAGAGATGTTCAAATAATTCCTGTGGAACAATGACGTTGCCTGTACACAGCCTCTGGTCATACTGGCATTATCAGCATGTATGTGTTCATGCCAATGAACTGGTCATCAATCTCACATGCCTTCTTCAGATGCCTCTCGCTTCTTCCTTATATCCGATACTCCTTCCATGCCACCTTTTTGGTTATTCTTTTGGTGTCTATCTCGGTAAATCACCATGTCGCCACTATGATCTTTACAGCTCTTCACGATGACTGCGATTAGAAACGTGAAATGCATGTAACGCCCAATCTCACCTTCAGAAAACCTCAACGAGGAACTAACACTATACACTCATGCAGGATCAAATGAAAGCGACAACAATCTCTATGTACTTGCTCGTCCATTTCTGTTTAAAGTGGAGAGTCCCGAGAAACTGGTGAGTCTGTAGCAGAAATCCCCCGTTCATCGTCAGTGCACCTTTAACTTACAGTCAAACTCACCCCATAATACAGAGACTTCTGGAGTTATAGTCCCTACATTTGATGTGAGATGACAAGGAACTCTGGCTAGAGTTCATCCAGAGAGATATGCCGCGATGGGACGAATATCTCACACAATTAGATTGACCGGTTTGCTGCCAAGGCAGGTACCAAGCATTTGAACTGAGCCTCCTTTGAGCCTCTACGTGATGTGTTCGTTCTCCAAGCTAAACTATCATTTGTTACAGTGGGCGCCAGCGTAGATGAAGCCGACAAGGACGGTTGGATATTGTAGTCATTCCCAAATGAACATCGATGGAAGCTGCATTAGAGGCAGGAAAGCTAAAGAACGCTATTATAAACAGGATAATAAAGATACCATCAGGTAGCAATGTTTTGTGGAAACAATTCGTTATGTTCAGCCGCGTCTGATCGCACTCACTGGATATGTGAGAATCCAAAGGATGAGAGAGTATGACTTTCATACGCTAGAAAGAGCTAAGTCCCGTGTAATCTATATTACAGGATTTCCAAACACAATATGCTCTGAGATATACTAAATTTGGGTATGGCTGCCAATGAAAAAGGAAGATAATCAATATTGAAAGCCAAATCCATGCCTATCTGAAGGCATAGATATAAACTCGATTGAAGAAATCAGCGGAATCGTTCATAATTTCAGAATGGAAGCAAATAATGATGAGCTGAGGTGCCACTCAAGACACTACAAGGCCGGTGGCCTTACCAAATATAATGTTCCTAGGCCCGGAAGCAGAATTAAGCAGAATTAGCCTCACGGAAACTCAAAGAGCTCTCGATAGAATCATTACCCGTCGTAACAGAAACAGACGGCGAACTATCAGACGGCACAAACGTGTTCAAGCAAGAAATATGAATGGTTGTTTCAAGACGCAGTAGTCATGCCATGACTATGCGTCGCCGGGTAGCCGGGTGGTGTAATAGTAACCACCCTGGATGACACTCCTACAAAAGCATCTGAGAGAGATTCCTCGAATCCACGTTCGTACAAAGTGTGGTGAGTTCAATCCCCGCGGCTGCTGAAAGACCACATTGGAAGAGAAACTAAACATACGTACAAGGAGGCTTTCGTTACCGCAGCTGGACCAACCTCTAAATATAGACCTGCCCGAGCCACCCCAGCAGAACAAGTGGCGTTGCCTGTGCACAACCCACCGAATCTCCCTGTTCCTGAGCCAGAGCTTGTAGTTTTAGTCGCGACTGCGACCAGTTATATTGATGTAAACATGGGATCCAAAGAGGCCGAGAACTGTAATAACGCAGTGGATGCTAGTCAATTGCAAGCTGTTAATAATACATTCAGTTCCGATACGCTGGACACGGCTAAAGATAATATCAGGATAATTTCAAGCCATACTAGCAATATTATCGAAAGCCACCGAAGTCTTCAACTGGACAGGGACAGGAGCGAGCAGGCACACATGGGAGCTCACGTGGACGCACGGAACGAAGCTTTTGAGGGATCGCAAGGAAGAACGCGGGAGGAAGAACACGTGATGTCGCACACGAGGCATCGACAAGGGACTGGCGACGAGCATTCTGATTGGTCGATTGGATTTGGGAATAACTTGACCTTTCAATTTATCGTGGCTGCGAGAATACAGGATTACGGTACTGGTCTGGTCCGAGCTAGCTTCATAGTACAAAAGAAAGCATTACGAACAGTCTGAGATGCTATGTTTATAAGGCTTACTATAGTTATGTCTGATAAACCACCTTAAGGGCTAAAGTACATTGAGATTGAGTAGATAAGGTAGGCTTGAAAGCTGGATAGCCCTAAGCTCGTAGCCATGTTGGCTCGGGCTCTTTGATCTTGACACACACGTGTGTTCCGTAACTTATGCAGCAAAGAAGAGCATAATTGCTGGGTGTACCGAGACAATCATGGCACATTTGGTATATTGTTTGGCGCTTTCTCTGTAGATACAAAGTCCCCGGATATATCCCCTGCAGTGGTTGGCAGCTGTTCTGCGTGGCCAGTAGGTCCACATTGGGGTGAGTGTCTCTATTGATTTTGGATAGAGATATGAAACTGAGGTGGTAAAGGCTTTCTCCGTAGACGCAAAGTTCCTGGGTACATCTCCTTTGGCCTCGCTGGCAAGAAGGTTCGCGCGTCAGCCCATGTCTACCCCAAAGTAAATAGAAGCACTCATGCCTAATGTGGTAAATCTTTTCGCGGCTTTCGCTGTAGATGCAACTTGGGTTCTGGGCAGTGTTTGTTGACTGAGATGTTTACCCCACATCTTCGGGGAAGTTCTAATCAAATTTATATTAGCAGATATGAGGGACCCAGAGGTATATATATATATGTTTTCGTACCAGTTTTGTCAGCTTCAGGCGTGAATTTCTGGTCGGTCGATTCTGCGCCATAATGGCAAGGTGAAGACCGATCCCAAAATTGAAAATAACGCAGCCTCCCGCGAAAGGACGACGCGGACCTGCCTTTGATGAGCGAGCGGATGAGCTACTGCAGGATCCCGGAGTTGTTAGAGAGATGATATCATTATCGACAGTTCCTCCAACAAATATAGTGTACTTGCGCGCGCTCGGGCCGGAATCTCTCCAGCTCCGAGCCAGCTGTAATCTCAAGTGACTGTGACAGTCTGGGGGTGCGGTTTCCCATCCCTTAAATCCTCATCTTATTCCATTTCTCTCTTCAGGTTCCCTTCTCTCCCCAACTACTGATGTCTCCTTTATTACTGCGGCCCTTTAGGACATTGTGCAAATCCACAAATGACTGAATTTGTCGCGTCTTGCGTCCCCTAAGCCTTGGTAGGTCGTCTCTACAGGCTTATTATTCTGCGCATTCAGTGTCTTTTTTCCCCTGCACTCAATATTAACGAGATGGCTATTTAGGGACCAACTTCTCTCGCCCCGTCGAGACCTTTGGCGAGGCTGGCTTCCCTCAATACGTCCTTAGCCAGGTCAAGGACCAGGGCTTACACCGTCCCACCGTTATCCAGCCTCAAGGTTGGCCTATGGCCCTCTATGGTCATGACTTTGTCGATATCGCTGAGACGGATTCCGGAAAGACCCTGACCAATTGTCTTTCCGCCATCGTTCACATCAACGCCCAGCCCTCTATCGCCCTCGGTGACGGCCCCATTGGGAACAGCACTCGCGACTGCAATTTGGATGATATCTCTACTTTTTATCCCAGCATTCATCGGACTACACTTCATCGCAGGACGGCAGACAATGTGGCCCATTCATCCCGGTGTCCATGAGATGAACTTCTCGCAGGGCCTGGCCTTTCCGTGTTCGATAGTGCCGCGAGTTCTGGAACATACAGGCCTGACAACCGACTGGTTGGTTGATATGATGGCCGAGGCAATCGCCGACAAAGAGGAATGGAATCGTAAATAGGTGTCAAGGGCAGAGACCTTTTGTTGCGTGCTGTGGCGTCAGCTCTAGTAAATATATAGAGCTGCAAGAAGCCCGCTAATGATCTAATCTTAGCAGTAACTAGTGCCTAACTGGCCGTTCTAAGAACATATACTGGTATTTCCTCTTACACCACAGCTCTGCTTGTACTAGCCTGTAACATCTATGAAACACAAAGAGTTTACAGCTACACAGTGCCCATTCTCATATTCAATGAAGAGAGTCAATACATTGTAGACGTTATTTCTCACGGTCGAATCCGCTACAGGCCCAAACAAACAATGGTAAACAACTCTCCGCAGTTGTTCTCAAGACGGGCCTCTGACACCCTCACGCTCACTAGAGATAGTGAAAGCCACCGCAGCTCTAAAAGAGTAGGCTTTCGGTTGAGGACCCGTGGAGCGTCCGTGAGATCTACTCAACCAATACTGAACCACTCTCCGCAGTGGCTCTCGAGACGGGCTTTCGACGCCCTCACTCTCACTAGAGGTTTTGGAAGCCACCGCAGATATAGAAAGGTGTGCTTTCGGTCGAGGGCCCGTGGGGCATCTGAGAGGTCTACTCCTCCAATGGTAAACAACTCTCCGCACTGGTTTTCCAGGATATCGCTCGTATGGCTTGAGATCACCACGACCTCATCTTCGGCTTTATCCAAAGTATCGGAGTCGATCAAATGATCACATCCCTTCGCTTTTGGTTTTGTCGGCTGTTGTCTCTGCTTGCTTTGCGGCTCCCGAGACATACAGACATGTCTCTGAAGACTAGATGTGCATCTTCAACCATATTGACACCATGTCTGCGGGCGCTTGCGTCGTTTCGTCGCCATTTGAGGCGGGCGCTTGCCCCATTTCCATCGGTTGAATCTGTTGCATATATTGCATTTGGTATGCGTTACCTGCCCATGCCTCCATGACTGGTTGCTGCGGCAGACCAGGAGGCATGGGCAGGCTGCGACCGCGGCGGGAATGCCCCCAGCCATCTGTGGAGGAGTGCGTGTTGGAGTTTTTGCGGGGAATGCCGGATGAGTGGTTCCATACGATGCTGCGGGCGTGCCCTGGATTGGCTGCGGTGAGTATTCCGCTGGAGAGTGTTGTGAGAGGTATCTCTCCGTCGCCTGGCTGACTAGAAGCGATATATCGATTTTGGCCTGCCGGGTAGCGCTTCGACGGAGGGCACTGTGCATTTGGAGGGAATTGTGGCTGTCCCGGGGGAGAAGTTCGGATAGACCGGGCTGCCGGTTTGAGGGTACGGTCTCTACCTTAGCATCAAGTCAGTTATACTCATAACTTGGAGCCTGAATTATGAAGATCCCACAAGAGCGGCTGATATTCAGAAGAGGGCTGCCTACTCACAATGATCAGAGGCCATGCGGTTGATGATGGTTCGACTCATTCTCGATGATCCCTTTGATGTGTGTTGGAGTTGGAGACAGGATGGATCCCAAATGAAGAGGCTTAGTTTGGATACCTAGTTCGGGAACGAGAACACCCGAGACCTTGTGATCGATACCTGCGCATTAAGGCACGAGGCCAGCAGTCTTCTCAGGAGGGTTTCTCGATTTCGGCTTTTCATGTTTCTACTGTCCAACAGCCACTCTCAATTCCGTGGTTCTGTTCCGAATCATCCTACAGCCTAGTCGCTGTGCCCATTGCCGAAAAGAGGAGGGCAACCCCTCCCACTCTTAAAGCTTCCTCCCACTCAGACAAGCATTTCACCCAGAATCGAATCCATACACACGAACAAGAGAACCACAGTGGGTCAGGTGAGGGGGTAATGGTAACTTTGATATGTGTTAGTCCAGGTCGCTAGGTAGTGTATTGTATCCCCTACTTTGTTCTTTCCTCATTCTACTTGATCTCTCTTCCTGTGACCCGTCCTATACCTCCACAGCTCTCACTCCTCTTCTACTTCCCCCTTCCCTACTCTTACATATCCATGCTTCCCCCTCTACTTCCATCGTTCTGGCACTTTTCTCATTATTCCAGAAATGTGAAGCTTGATTCTTTCGCGGGACGCACAATCGCGCGACAATGGCACGCGATCTTCCGTCGATTCTGTCGCTTCTGCTCCAGACAGGAGCTTGAAGTGAGCTCTGCTTTAAGAGCTGTCCCTTAAGAGGAACACCCTTTGTCAGGGGCCTCTATGAACTTTCAGTTATGGTATCGCACCGGCCTGGAAGCAGAGTTAGACTGCGGATGCGTAAGTAGCCCGTGATCTTCGTCCAACACAATGTTGATATCGAGCGCTAACTCTAGCAATATGTCCCTGGATGGGTATACAGATCATGCAGATTTAGTAAACAGTGTACCGGGGCCCACCCTTCTGTATAATAAAGAAGGGTGGGCCTTACTGATACCCTACAAGCCCTCAACCATATTGAGGCTCACCTTTCTGTATAACAAAGAAGAATAAGCCTTACTAATATCTTAGAAGTCCTTGACCGCATTGAGGCTCATCCTTCTGTATAACAAAGAAAAATAAGTCTTATTAATATCTTATAAGTCTTTGACCGCATCAAGACTTATTCTTTTATATCATAAAGAAGGATAGACTTTACTGATACTCTATAAATTCTTCATTATATTAAGACTTATTCTTCTATAAGTCCTTGACTGTATTAAGATTTATTCTTCTGTATAATAAAGAAGGATAGGTCTTACTGATATCTTATGTGTCCTCAACCGCATCAAGGCTTACCCTTTTAAATTATAAAGAAGAATAAATCTTACTAATACTCTATGAGTTCTTAATCATATCAAGGCTTACCCTTTTAAATAATAAAGAAGGATGGGTTTTACTGATATTCTATAAGTTCTTAATTATATCAAGACTTATCCTTCTGTATAATAAAGAAGGATAAGCTTTATTAATATTTTATAAATCTTAAACTACATCAAGACTTATTCTTCTGTATAATAAAGAAGAAGAGGCCTTACAAATATTCTATAAATTCTTGATTATATTAAGACTTATTCTTCTGTATAATAAAGAAAAATAGGTCTTACTAATATTCTATAAGTCTTTAACTGTATTGAGGCTTATTCTTATGTATAATAAAGAAGAATAAATCTTCTTAATACTCTATGAGTTCTTAATCATATCAAGGCTTACCCTTCTGTACAACAAAGAAGGGTGGGCCTTACCGACACCCCATGGGCCCTCGACCGCATCGAGGGACCATGGCGTGTCGGTGAGTGCCACTGAAGTGACTATGGGAGTCGAGTAAGTATGATCCAATTTCTACGTGCTGATCGCCCCGCTAACACGCCAGTAGAGAGCCTGAGATTAGTGCCAGCGCAGTAACTGCCAGGTAGGCCCCCATGTGGAGTCTCGCAGAGAACTATACTGATTACAATTCTTTCTAGCCAGTCATAACCTGTGGATGATTTGGTCTTTTTCTATACATTCCCCGACACAGCCGAAGATGAAGACGTGGTGACTCCAAGTCACACCCAACGACATTAAAAGCACTGCGGAGAGCTGTTTACAATTGTGTTATTAGGCCTCACCGACACCCCACTGGCCCTCAACCAAGCCAGGGCCCACCCTTCTATATTTCACAGAAGGGTGGGCCTCGCCGACACGCAACAGTGTAAGCGCAGTAGATGCCAGGTAGGCCCCCATGTGACCTCTCGCAGAAAATCATACTGATTTTGGTCTTTTCTAGTCATTCGCCGAAAAGGAACAAGTCGAAGGTCATGCGACTGGTATATTCGGACAAGGAGACAAATCCGGAGGAGAAGATGGCACATCTGGAAAGAGATAATATAGTCTGGAGCAGTTCCAACATTCAAAGCATTCTTGACTGAGGCGAGTTGCGGCAAGCTGTTTCTGCAGCATCCCAGAGTCCACCTGGCCCATGGAAAAGCGTTGTTATGGGAATAACTGGAGGTATATGAATGAAAGCATTTTTCGGCCAACCCAGTATGTTCGCCGGCCTCTTTGGGGTGGTTACATGTCTTTCTTTGATACATCTGAAAATCCTACCGGTTGTTGTCTACTGCTTAGAGGGATACTATTCAAGATACAAGGATGTGATGACCACTTGAGTCCCGTTTGCTCCACGTAGACATGGACTCCTATTTCTCTTTTGGCCCAGAGCTTACATAACGGAAGCTTGCTACGCAATTCGGGATAATGCAAAAGCACATAATATTAGGCTACCTCAGATAAGAAAGGAAAATAAAAGTTTCAGCATCACACACTTGATCTTCCTGTTGATTTGTAGTCGACGCACTCCCATCAGTGCTGATTTAGTGGTTTACTAGACTGCCATCGTAGGGAAGCGAGGCATGCAGCTAAGTACTAGTCCGCATAATGCAACAAGGGTCCTCGTACTATTATGGAGCATCAATCTACTGGCAACAATAGTAGCAGTGTAATAAATCTAATAAGGAAAAAGAATAGTAGTAATCCTAATCATATTGGACAACATGGCATGATCGCAGCATCGACTTTGCTTACGCTCTTTACCATGGTGACTGCCCTGATCTACCTTGGGAGACAATGATGTACCGAGACCTTTAGAACGGGCCTCTGAGCTGATAGGGAAAGTGGGTCTCTTTCTTTTCCCCCTTTCAACATGTAGTGGTAATGGTAACAGGAATCTTTTGTTTTCGGTACTCTCGGATCAGAATCGTTCACCCATCATCGTGGCAGAAGCCTGTAGCAGTGTTGCGCCCGTCCAGTTTCGGCGGGGAAGCCAGGTTGCACTAGTTCAGCCTTACAAGGTGCAATGGTACGGAAAGTGAAGCGAGGGTTCCAAGCCCACGAGCTTGTCTCACTTAACGAAAATGTTGATCTCTACCCGATTGCCATTCCTCGCCAGAGATCCTTCGGCCGGGAAATAATATCACACAGGATTTTCTTTTCGAACTTGCGGAGTGCACCTCAAGGGTCGGTGAATTCAACAGGATGTAACAATACTGATTGAAACCTCACCAATGAAAACCCAATCACAGTAAGTCTGTCAGCGGGGAGCGGGGTTACTGTGGTAGATGATTGGTCGTCCTGACAAGCTAGCTATGGGCGATTCTTTCCTGAGATTTGGTGACTGATGAGATAAGTGTTCCATCAACCATGCTAAGACCGCCTGCTATTCCCCCAGCTGTGTATGTGCTCTCTGATTCTTATCCTATATTCTCACTAACTGAGCTAATTAAGATTGGCCTCTGGTCCCGCGAATACTCAAGCTATTCCAGCAGAATAAATTACATGGCCTGTGCACCACCTACTACCGAGTTTACCCGCTTTTATGTCAGAGTGAGTATCATCAGGTATATTGTTGCGAAACCACGCTACCTGAAGAATGATTATCTAACTGACATATGAGTAACACAGTCGACCTCTGTGATAACATGCCATTAGAGACGCAGAAGATCCCAGGTAGGCCCCATGTAGAGTATAATAGAGACTTATACTGATTGTAATTCTCTCTAGTCAGTCACAACCCGTGGATGATTTGATCTTTTTCAATACACCCCCCGACACAGCCGAAGATGAAGTCGTAGTGATTTCAAAGTATCCTTGTCGGTGCAATCTCTCTATTTGCCGTGGGATGAACCAGACAGTACAACTTGCCAATTCAGCCCGCATCATTTGGCCCTCAACTCAAGTTGAGCGAGGTGACTGGCCACTGCATAGTACTAATACAATGCCAACAGGTAGTTGGTTACTCGCTTCCGTCAACCATGGCGACTACTTCACACATGTTCATGTACTCCTTGACTATCTAGCCTCTGACTGCGATTACCCAGGCCATTCTCGGTCAATCTGCTGGGACCAAGGAGCAGCAGATTGTCACCGCGTCCGGATTGAAGCCAACGATTCGCTTTCCTGGTCCCGCCCAAGGCAAGAGTCACGCCGCTCTTTTCCCGATATGTTTTTGGCATCATCCGCTCGCTGACAGCCTTCCGACTGGCCGGTAGTAGCAAAGGTATGTTATGCTTCCCCTGCCCGGAGGCTTAGCGCAGGCGCTACCGATTGCGTTGATTGGGGCCTGACACCAACGTGCTCCGACCAGACGTTTTTCACTGCGTCACCAGGACTTAGCTCCCTCGACTCAGGACCTTGGGGTGACATTATACTGTCTGATCCAATTCTAGCGTCCGTCCGAACTTATGTCGCCAACGGCAATGCCAATGGTGGACCCGTCGCCAACTCCTTGGACTAAGACACCCTGGCTGGATGCGTGTTACTCAGCTGGAAGACCTGACGATCAAGCAAGCTTTGCGTCTGTTATAGGATTATAGGAACACGAAACTCTGGACATGTTGATTTGAGGCAGTGCACGCAGTACTAGTCTGTGGATAGCCGGCCTAATCCCAACAATGTGGGTCTGTTGACAGCCAACGAGACATCCAGCTATAACCGCGTCAGCACTAAGCGCCCATTTGAACTAACTACTTTCCCAAATTCGACAAGGTCGTAAATGAACGCAAGAAATATATTTAACCTGCCATTCCCCTCAACCCCTCCCCAAGAATTTCCTCTCTCACTTCTGAAACTCCCCCAATATCGCCCCATCCAACTGTATCTGTACAACAAGCAAATCAAACCCAAGTCAAACCCCAGATTCCCAAGGACCACGCTCTCTGTCTTCCCCCTCAGTATAATCTAAAGCCACCCAAGAATCTACCCCAAAATGTCCGTCCGGGTTATCATCTACGCCTACCGCAAACCGGGCCTTGACCTTCACACCTTCAAGGAGCGCTACGAGGCCCATATTCAGCTAGTCAAGCGTCTGTCCGGTGACGATTTTCCCCTATCGCACAAGCGCATGTATATCGCGCGCACCACTATCGAGAACCCTCAAGCGGGAGAAAACAATAACAACTCAACCCGCAATGCCCTCACGCCCGCCACCGTCCTCGTCGGGCAGCAAACTGATTTTGATTTCGATGCTTATGCCGAACTCACGTTTGCGGACCAGGCCGCCTTCCAAACATTCTCGGCTAAGGTGATGGCACCCGAAGCAGCGGCGCAGATTGCGGCGGATGAGGAAGGGTTCTTGGATCGGAGCAAGTTGGGGATTGCGCTTTTGGGGGATGTGGTGGAGACCACCAACTGAAGGGGCAAAGAGAGAGGTGTGGTGTTTTGTAATAATATGTATATATCCTTTTGATTGATTTTTCTTTCTTTGGGATAAATGGCACATACGTATGTATATGGACCATCCTATCATGCTGGGTTTTAGTGAGTGGATGGGGAACTCTTCCGAGTTTAGAATTGCCAGTCTGACTGCCCCAGTTATTTTATAAAGTCGTTGTGGGGGAAATTAACTGAATACAAAGCGATGCATCTAACCGCGAGGTATTGTATTACAAGTACACACTTTCTGCGCTCACAGAAAGGAGCCTATATATATCCAACAACTGTCAGAGCAACTAACTACTAATACAGACCCCACTCGACCTTTTGACTACCTGCATCACCACTGCACTCCATGTACCCCTTCGCACCGACAAGACCATTAGATGCATACTTGGAGATTGCCTCGTTGATAATGGTAACAATATCCTGGCTGCCAGTATGATAAGTGACATCGCCGGTTACGCCAACATTCTGGACACCAAAATTGCAAGACCCGAACTTAGCAATGTCGCGTTGGTGTCCGATACCAGTAGTCCATTCTCCGTTGGTGTCCTGAATATTCTTCACGATGGTTTGGCAGTCGGACACCTTCGGGGAGGCCGACGAGGTCTCATCCTGGTAAGTGTAACCGCTGCACTTGGTGACGCCCTGTAACGGGTTACAGGGGTAATTCGGCGCGCTAGAGTTGGACTGCGATGGGGTGGACCACGAGGCCCAGGCAACCTGGGGACTACACACTGGGAGGCGGATATAGCCCGGGGTGGTGATATCCTGGTTCGAGAGGTCTTTCAGGGTGTCTTTGTCCAAGGGGTTGGCGACGGGTCCGCCGTTGGCATTGCCGTTGGCGACATAAGTTCGGACAGACCCGATAATCAGATCAGACAGGGTGATGTTCCCCCAAGATCCTGAGCCGAGGGAGCTAAGTCCTGGTGGCGCGGTGAAGAATGTCTGGTCGGAGCACGTTGATGTCGGGCCACAATCAACGCAATCGGTCCTCACAGTATCCTTGTCGGGACAACCTCTCCACTTGCCGTGGGGATGAACGAGATAGTACAATTTGTTATTGTAGCATGCATAAGTGGACTCTTGGGTGGAGGCCGTCATGTAATCAGTCAATGGGTTTTGCGCACTGCAGTCATAGCCCGAGTCGACGACGAAGGCAGCGGCCCCGGAGACGGCCCATACCGATGGGATGGCGAAGCCGAAGAAGGCCTTGCTGATGTAGTTCTCGATTTGGGTGTTCGTGCTGAGTGTTGAATTGGCGGTTACCGATGGGCTGCCGCCACTGCCCTCAATGAGGTTACCATTGGCAATCAAGGTCCCGAGTACACTGATGGAGGTATCGGATCCATTGAACAATGTCCAGAGCTGATTTTCCGCGAGGGAAGCCCAGCCGGTGACTACCGACCCCAGAGTGGCGGTGAAACTCTTTTGGGACGATGGTTGCCACTTACCCCTGTAAAGGTCTGATGAGCGACGTTGGAGTTGCATAAGGTGCAGTGACACTTACGGCGCTTTCGTAGACAGTGAATCACTCGCAATTGATGCTCCGTACGCCACAGTGGCACTCGTGATGTCGGCAACGGTGTCTGCCCCGGCATCTCCAAGAAAACTACTAAGAGCCGGTAGACTTGAATAGACTATGAAAGATCAGGATTAGTGGTCCAAGCAATGTAAGCGGAAGAGTCTGGGGCGCAACTTACTCCCATTGAAGTACGGTGCGGCGACTGCCGTGATACCAAGACCAAAAAGATTGATCAAGATTTCAAGCCACGTATCACTTTGTGCTGGAGGCACGGGTGCGAATGTGGACTCAAAGTCCTGAAGCTGGTTATCAATGTACGTTCCAGCAACTGCGTTGATAGCGTCATAAAATTGAGAGTACGCCTAAGTGATTATTCTCATTAGCCTTTTCACACGTCTCCGGACAAGGATGGCAAGACTTACCGAGTTTATCACGGTGAAAGACTCATAGATCAGCATCGCCGCGGGACCCGAATCACCGGTTCCCCGGCCGAAGCCTTGGAACCATCCGCACGTTTGGGATGTGGAACAATGACCTCTTGGGTTGAGGTATCCGCAATAAGCGTTTTCACCGGCATGGAAAGTGTTCATGATAGACAGGGAAAAGTCCTTCTCGACATCATCCGGCATTTTCGGCTTATCGATGTTCTTCCAGACGTTTATTGCATCGGACCAAGCATTGGAAGCGTCCAGCTGCGCCCAGCGCTGGGCGCATGGCATCCACAGGGCATCTTGTATGGCTGGATCCGAACAAGTCAAGGAAGTCCAGTTGCCGGTTCGGTTACCTTCTTCGTAAGGATCTTTATCCAGGACGACGTCGTCAATGAGGCTAGCCCAGCTCTTGGCAATGAACGGCGGCGGGTTGTACTTTTGCAGGTCGGTAGCCCAATCAGTGGTTCCCCCCATGGCCAGGCGCTTGTAGAGCGATTTTCGCGTTGACTTGACACCATCACTCATCCAGCCAACCCATTGAGTGTCGTCGTAAACAAGGATATTTGTGTCACTAGTAGCGTCGATATAACTCTTCGTGACCCGGGAAGAATTGGCGAGAATAGCCTCAATTTCAGCATTGGCAATGTAGCCTGCAGTTTGAGTACAAGGCCCTGGCGCAGCCTGCGAGTCGTCAGCTGAACCCAAAAATTGGCATTGAGGCCCGTAGCAGCCGGCTTCGGCCATGGCGAATGAGCGTCCGTAACTGGTCACGCCAACAACGACTTGGTTTGAGGGGACACCCGCTTTGGTGATCTGTTAAAACAAGCGTTGGAATTAGTGATGGGAATATAGTGGCCTCCAGTAGCAACGAGTATTTGAACTTACCATGACCAGAGAGCCGATAGTTTCGGTAAGATTCACATCCGACCGCAAACAATTGCCAGTCGGGCAGCCAAGCTGTGACCATTGATTGTTGGAATCCCACTGAAACCGATTTAAATGTTTAATTAGTCCTCTTTGCCGCACACCTCATTTCAAAATTATTTGAGAGGTAGACCATACCTGTCCGTGCAAATCGTAGGTCATGTAGATGATGTAGTCTAGGACCGGAGCCATTTTCTTGATTGGAAAGCCCTTCAGGTACCAATATGACGACGGTGCCGCAATTGTAATTTCTTTACTCTTGCCAAGGAGGTTTCTTAAAACCACAAGGAAAGCGAGATAATTGTCACCGTCATCAGTACTAGCAGCAGGGATGCCCGGAATATCCGGTGCCTATAACGGAAAGAGAGGAAGAATGAATTAGCAAATCTAGACAAAGACACAGGAGAGGTGCAAGTGATCATGATTCTTACCCCCGGATACTCCCAGTCAATATTAACACCATCAAGGTCGTTGTCTTTGATGAAGTTGGCGATGTTGGTGGCCATGGTCAGACGGTTGGCGGCAGTGACGCCTTCCCGAAATATCATGTAAGTGCTCGGATCAGTTGAAAATGCCCAGCCACCAATCGAAAGAATGCGCTTTGCTCCTTGGATCTGTTTAAACTGGTTGAACTCGTATGTTGCTGTGGCGTTAGGGATATGGACCACATAGGAAGGGGATAACACGCCAAAGGAGAAATAAATGTGGGTATAGGCCGAGATGTCGAGCTGAGATATGTCCTGGTAGAGGCAGGGACGCTGCAAGTTGAATCCTTCATAGAAGCCAATACTCCGGTACGTCACAGGAGGGCTACTCCGCACGATCTCGGTGCCACAGTTCGAAATACAGCCGTTGGTGCCCGGCGCCGCGGTTCCAGGGGCCCCAGTGCCAGTGTTTGTGCAAAACCCGGCTGTCGTACCACACTAGGATCATGGTCAGTCGCATCATCGATGGCCGAGTGAAGGCACTATACTTACTTGGCCCCATACATCGCAGCACGCATTGAGAGGACACTCATTTAGCAGGGAAATATTCGTCCCACTAGGAGGGGCCGGGGTGCCGGGCACCTGTGGCCCACAGATTGCATTGGAGACCGACGCTGGCATCGGTGGGTTGCCTGTACTAAGGCAGATGATGTTATGAGGGTAAAGGTGCTTGCAGCCATTCCAAGCCCATGTGTCCTGGTTCAAGTTGTCGATATCATCCACGGTGATGCTGTATGTAGCGGCAATCTTGGAGCAGCTGTCATCTGGCTGGACGGTGTAGGTGGCACAAGTGCCATCGGCTTGAGGCTTTGGAGTGAAGTCGGGCAATGTGCCCGCCGAACAGCACACGTGCTCTCCAGGAGTCAAGGTAGAACACTCGTTCGACGCGGGATTATACATGGTAAATTGAGCCGGTGTAATCCCACATTTCCGAGCCAAGGTACTGCAGCTATCACCAGAGACGACCTGAACGGTAGAACAGGTAGTTCGAGGGGTGAAGGCTCTGCCCCGAAGGAAGGTTGTGTTACCATAAGTTGAGGTGGAGTTGGTCGAGGAAGGGAACAATGGCGTCACGAGTGGGACGATGCCCGTGACATTCTGGACTGACGGGAAGGTCAAGCATTCTGCCTTGGACCATGAGGCAAGGGCGTCTTGGATAGCAGCGAATGTTCCATTACCGGTGGCAATCATGCCAAAAACGTGATGGGAGGTTTGACCCGGCTGGCAGAATTGCATAGCCACACTCCGCGACAGACTAGCATTGGATTCTGTCATGAAGGTCTCCAGGTGTGACAGAGCAGTGTTGCCAATGCCCTGTTTCTGTAGACCTTGACCAATGTAAAGCCCAACTGAGGTAGAGCCATAGCTGGCGAACAGAATGGTCGGACGGTTCTCGGCACTGAGCCCATTAGAGAGATATTGGCGGAACTGCTTGGTGAGAGTAGCGAGAGAAGACGAGACCGATGAACCTTGTGCGGAGGGCCAAAATCCGATCTGATATGTGCCATTCAACGGAGGCGAGACCCCTTTCAACTGCGCGACCAGGTTTGACGTGTTAGTCGGCACATTGGCCCAATCGGGACCAAATGACGTGCAGGCGTAAATGCGATGAAGGCTGTTTGGTTCATCGACAGGATCGACAAAAGAAAAAGAGTAAAAGATAGACTCTTCGCACGAGGCGAACTGGTTGAAGTTGTGGTAGAGGGACCAGTTGGCAGGGTTAGGACCCGATGCAGCACATCGTGCTGGACAAGCAACTGACCTGCCTTGATACCCAGGACTGGCGGGGAGACGGAAAGGCACCGTGGTGGAGGAAGAGTTGCGAATGAAGAAAGAAAAGGTGAAAAGAGTGAGATACAGGTACGTAAGGAATGGAGTGTGTGGGCGAAGCCACGAAACCTGGAAAAAGAAAGACATGATCTAGTAGCCACGATGTGCCCGATGAGCCCAACAGAAGCAGGCTACGTGACGGTGGGTTTTATACTTGCTGCTGAAAATTAACACTTCGTTCAAAAGAACATGTCCCCGGCCAGATCAACCTATCAGTGGTCGATGTACTATCGTAATTTCCGCCAGGCAATCGAGCCAACGAAGGAATCATCGAGATGCCGCACATGCGAACGATGCGCCCTCGGTGCTTGGTCTCCCTGAATGCTAATGTGGTGTCTTACTGGGTTTCACTTGTAGGCGAGGCGGAGCTTGCATCTATAGCAGTCCGCATGATGCAACAAGGGTCCTTGTACAACTGTGGAGCTATAATATACTGCTAGTAATAACAACAAGATAAGAAATTAATAATTGAAGCGAACTAAAATAGTGGGCGGCTACTATCGGACCCTTATGCGCGCTAGTCCACCAGGGCCCAATATGAAAGACCTATAGATTGGGCAAGAATGGCGGAGCCTGCAGGGATCGGGGCAGCTCAGGAGTGCAGCATCATGCCGTGACATCCGTTTAGCCGCTTGGAAAATTCCCTTGACTCCTATCCTCTTTTTCTCTTCACTCTTTCTGGTTTCATTCTCTTCCTTGCCTTCAACAGCCGACAGCTGGAGTTAATCGCCAAGTTTGGTATTACATTCCTCCCACTTTCGTTTTCCACATTCCTTTCAACATGATCTACCTTCGTTTCTTTACTTGGGCCGTGCTGGTGGTGAGCTCCATGATTGCAATGGGCAATGGCACTTCAGATGCCTATTCAAGTATCTTCGAAGTTGACTTGATATCACCGCGCAACGAAACTTACACGCCCGAGGCCCTGATGCCCATTGTGTTTGCGCTGCAGAATTCGCCTCTGGCTTCCAGCTTGGAGGCCTACATCACTTGGGATCTGTTGGAAGGCAACAACCGGTCCTCTCCAGGTTCCATCAACGGTGGGCTTCTTGAACTCGCTTCGTCGGACCTCTGGTCTTCCGGTCTTCACTTTGTTACCCGATTCGTTGATACACTCCCCTACCCGGACGGCTCCTGGACTTTTGCCTGGACCCTGCATATTTCCGATTGTTCCCAGAACGGCAGTGAACCTCAAGACACCAAGTTTCACAACGCCATCGTCTTCACTGTCAGCCAGTCAGGGAAGGCACCTAGTCTTAAAGCAGCTACATCTTCTGGTACGTGCGGCATCCAAAACGCCAACGCGTTAAACGTGACTGCTATCGGGGAAGAATGTGGCGTCCTTGGGCCCAGTCCGACAATCAACCCATGCGCGGCGACGGTCAATGCTTCCGCGGCGTCCAGTATATGGGCAGCGGCGACTGCCTATGCCTGTAGCCCTCTAGAGCGATCGGCGAACCCCAACGTTACTTGTCCGACTCCCTCGTCCAAATCCAATGGCGCGGGACAACGCGGCATCGTCGCAGCATCGACATTGCTTACACTCTTAACCGTGGTGACTGCCTTGATTCACCTTGGTTGACAACGATGTACCTAGCCCCTTACTACGGGCCTCTGGTCTAATTGGGCAAGTGGGCCTTTTTCTTTCTATGTGGTAGTGTTAATATCGGGAATATATTATTTCCAGTACTCTCGAGATCAAAATCGTCCACTCGTAGCCCTGGCAGTGGTGTGTAGCAGCTTTGCGCCCGTCCAATTTCCGCGGGGGATTAATGGCCCCACTAGTTCAGCCTTACAGCGTAGGATCCTACAGAAGGTGAAGCGAAGCGAGGGTTCAATGCTCATGAGCTTGTCTTCCTCGGCAGAAATGTTAATTTCCACCGGGTTGCCGCTCCGCTCGAGTGGCCCTTCGGCCGGGAACTGATATCGCAGTGTTCACCATTTGTCCTACCGAATTGCACCTCAAGGGTCTGTGTGTTCAACAGAATGCAACAATACTGAAACCTCACCAATGAGAAAGCCAATTAGTAAGTCTGTCCCTGACAGGGGGAAAGCGGGGTTACTGTGCAAGATGGTTGGCAAGATAATTGGCCGTTCTGACAAGCTAGCCAGCGGTAGCGCCTAGGCTAAGCCTTGCCAGGCTTTTGCGAAGCTCTACTATGGCGGATAATCACCGCCGTAGGTTTACCCAACCCTCCCCAAAATTGCGGGAGACGCATCTGCTTGGTATGATTGGGGGAGTCATCCGACAAACCCGACTACCTGCTGACTTTGCATTAGTTCTATGTAGTGGCTATTAACCTCACTCAGCTCGATTTTAGGGGATCATACGGACTCCGTCCACGCTCCCGACAATGTCTCAGTACGGAATGATCCGGACTTCCGCTTCAAATCTCCTCGAATTCGAAGACGTTTGTTACCTTCTATGCCAAGGATAGGGTGAATTAGTTGCTAGACAGTGCCAGCATTGCCATAACTGGGCTGTTGCGCGACAGGATAAGCCGATGTGATACCGCTAGACCAAGAAACGGATACATTGCGTCTTTCCAATCAGCCCACGGAGAGACATGTTCCAACATATTATAATGGGCTTGACAGTCTCGTCTTTCCCATTCTGTTAGGAAAGGGCCTCATTCTCCCAGATAGCAGCTTTCGTATAACTCTGTTCACTTCTCAGATCATTATCAGCCATGATGGTGCCAACGTCACTCAAGGCAGGTCTCTTTGGACTCCCCCAGCTACACCTGGCATGGGCGATTGCCTTGGCCCCTCGTCAGCAGATCAGTTGTAGCTATGAGTACGCTGCCAGTTCCGGGGATACTTGTCAGTCTGTTGCGGCCGACTGGGGCTTGACTGTGCAGGCTTTGGAGTCTCTCAACCCCGGGATTACCTGCCCGGACCTCGTGGCGGGCCAAAGTTATTGTGTACTCGGAACTGTTTCATCGAGTGGGCCAACTGTGAGCTCCTCATCTCTGGCCACTTCCACTTCCACTTCTACCATTTCCATCGTTCCCATAGCATCAACAAGTTCCTCTTCCTCCCACTCTTTTTCCTTATCCTCTTCTTCTTCTTCTTCGGCCCCATATCAACCCCAACAAACGGGCACTGCTGCCGACTGCGACCAATTCTACCTCGTTGAGACCGGTGACTCGTGCGAAAAGATTGAAGCCCAGTTCGGCATCAGCGCAAGCGAGTTCCTTGACTGGAATCCATCTGTCAATTCGGGTAGGCTCTACATCTCTTTCATGATTATCGTCCATAGCTGATGAGACCAATTTTGCAGATTGTACAAATATCCTGGCGGGCTACTACTACTGCGTAGATGTCCCCGGTGCTACGACCGGTCCCGTCACCACTACTACTGTCCCAGTGACCACAACTACTCCCGGCGATGGCATCACCACACCCACACCCATCCAGACTGGTATGACAGACAAATGCAACAAGTTCGACCTCGTTCAATCTGGTGATACCTGCGAAGCCGTCGCCGCCAAATATGAAATTCCCCTCGCCACATTCTATAGCTGGAATCCGGCTGTCGGCTCGTCCTGCTCCGATCTGGACTTGGGCTATTATGTCTGTGTCGACACCATTGGCTACACGGTGCCCACCACGACAACCTCAGCCGGTAATGGCATCACCACGCCCACGCCCTATGAGCCGGGCATGGTAAGTGACTGCACTACCTTCTACTTTGTCCGTTCTGGTGATACGTGCGGGAGTATCGCTAGTACTCAAGGCATTACAGTTGGAGACATCGAGAAGTGGAACCCTAAGGTCGGATCTGGATGCAAGGGTTTATGGTTGAACGACTACATTTGCGTCGGCGTATGAAGACAAAAGAAATACCCCGACGAGAGTGAATGTAACGCGTGGGAGCAGCTGTGATGGGAGGCGAACAGAGGTAGAAGCTTGAAATATGGCGGAATATATACTAGTAGTGTATGGGCTTTTTGAGTAGCTGAGTAGAGTGGGTGTAGCTAGACAGAAAGGCTTCGGGCGTAGAAGGAAAGGTGTATCGCCATCTGGCTGCAATATAGGACGTTTCAAGCTCTCTTTGATATGCCGTAGGGACATAACCATTGACTTTGGTTCCAAGCAAGAAGCAGGTTGTTATTCCGCCTGATTATTTTCGGATAATAGGGTGCATATAGGTAGCATCGACTTGTCCGATCGAGAAATTCGTCTCATTGGCTTGAAAATGCTCTCTTAATTGTCTTATCACCAGTGTGATTTCACTTGCATCTCTTCTAACTTGGAGTACGGCACGGTCTGGTTCAAGGTCAGCTTGGGGCCAAAGAGTCCGCATTAGCTTCGCGTTAGCCCTTTTCTTGGGGCTGCTATCTACGTGCGTGATTTCTGTGACTGGCTGAAGGAGTTATAAGGAGGAATTAGTGGTGGGATACCTGAACCCCTGCATCACGGGGACCTGAATGGAGGGAGTCGCTAGTCCATAATCCAGAAATGCCCGAGTTTCTTTTTGTCGTTGGCCGGGAATTACTCTAGAGATAACCCCTTTAGGAGCAAGCATATGGAGCGTTGCATCTGGGACAGGCCGAAAGTACCGATAACGCCGTGTCTATTCCCATTATCGCCTGTTGGGTGTGGCAGCACACACACCCATGACTCCCACAATGGCTGTTGAGAACTATTTGACATCAATTGCATTTTTACTTACATTTTACCAAAAGTCTCAGTGTACATGCGTATATACACATTGTGATATATAAAAAAAATAAAGCAAAAACATACAACAGAAGGGATTCGCTGGTGGTCACCCACCCAACTACTAACCTCCCGGCGTGTGGCTTAAGTACGGCTGAGCGGACGGGAAGCCCTGTTTTCCACACCCTATGGTCGTATGTGCTTGATTTTCATTTTAGACCATTCTTGTAGTGCAATTTAGAGTTTATTCGTTCGTTGATTGGATGAAATCATCCATTCCTGGTGAGGTAGGATGTTCGGGCATCTATCGAACAGCTATCGTGATATCCATGTCCTCCATTACTCCTCACACAGAGAAGGTGAAAACACCGCGATAGATGGGATGTCGCGCCTTAGCCCCCGGACTGATACAAAAGGCTTACCGAGTAATGGCTGAAGAGCTCATGTCAGCTGTACGAGCTTTTTCTTTTTACTGGAATTTTTCGTCTGCTCGAGACTCGACCTTATATATGCAGCTGACCAGAAATGACTAGGCAAAAGACAAGTTCTACATCATATATTCTCATGGAATATTATCGCTAAAGGATGGACCGGCACTTAAAGTTTAATTATCATGAATGAGGGTTGGTCGACAGTATAACGCGGACAAACACCCGAGCTAGATCGAACATCAATTGCGACGAAACCTAAACCCCCTAAGCCAGACCTTCTGCAACTTAGCGGTAAACTTAACACCAGCGGCCGTGCATGCTTGTCTCAAAGGATCCAATGGTTTGTTCTCTACATCTTCAACTTTGATTATGTGTTCTTCAAGCCGAGGAAACAAGTCCCGCCGCTGCACCACATTCAGCAGCTCAGACAGAAGACTACCGAGGTTCTCATCGACAACGTGCCTAATCTTCAGATGCTGGATCAAGGCAGGAAGTATTCTGAGGAGTCGCGTGTGGCGCCTCACCGTCCTTACCCGCGAGGCCAATAGGAGCAGATGGGCATGTCGGACGTCAAGATCCTGGAGGTAGGTGAACCCCTGCAAAGAGCCTAATGGCCCATCCTCATCGATCAGACCACTTGTCAGGCTGGTCTGCGTCTGCGTCGCACCAAGATGAAGCGTCCTCAGTGTCGATCGGGAGCGAAGGAGGTGCCGACGGAATTGCGGAGCACGAAATCGATAATCTTCCGAGGGTTCATCATCCTGTTGCAAGACTAGCTTGAATGACAGGTGTTCCAGCAGCGTACACGCATCCAGCCAGTCAAACAAGCCGTGAGTCCAATAGGCTTCCTTAACAGTGATCTTACGGACGGGGCGAGCGGAGCGGGTTGTCACGACTGGAGTGTTCTCTGAAGATTCCGACTCGCCGATTGCACGACACTCGATGGTTTAAACAGCCGGAAAGAAGAAGAAGGGATCCATAAAGGTGGGTTCAGTTCACGTGCCTCCCCACTGAGGATTCATGATGATCTGCGAAAGGCGAAAAGATCCTCTGATTCGGTCATGGCAAAGTTGCCGCAGGGACTACTATGCCTATTGTAAGACACACAGTTGCTGTATCTCGTATCAGCCGCAATCCAGCCTTGAGTATATACAAATCCTGGGTTGATCATGAGGCTAGTCACCCTGAGAAAGTGGTATCGGTCGGCTCCATTCTTTGCATATTTTATCCTGAACACTGTGTCTTACAATAGGCATAGTAGTCCCTGCGGCAACTTTGCCATGACCGAATCACAGGATCTTTTCGCCTTTCGCAGAAACGCCCTCACTGGTCTGATGAATCAACCAATCTGCTTCTTGTCTTCTTAAAGCGGGATAGTAATGTCCATCAGTCTATGACCCACTCTGTACACGGTAACAACACCAGTCTTGTCCGAAGACGCCCCCATCACAATAGATACTTAGACTGAAGGGAAAATCTGATAGAGTATCGCTAGGACTATGAGTAACTACGATTCTATGTTCCTACAAAAGAGCTTGTCTTGGCTTCTTCCTTCTTTCGGAGGAATACTGGACCCCAGCACCACGGTAAGGTGCAAGCTCATCGCTGGGGGGACTCCGCACGAGGCGGAGTCGAGAAGAGTTAGCCCAAGCCACAGGAGCATAGATATTGGGGCGTACTTAGCGCCAATGTGTGCACCACTCTCAGTGATTCCGGGCACTCAGCCCGGAAGACCCCCCGCCCTCATCTTCGGCCTATCAACGTTAGCCCGCGCTTGGCGGACCACCTTCCGTGCCTCCTCGAGCGCCCTCCGGCCCGATGTCCGGTCTTTGCCGAAGACGTATTCGAGATCCCTGTATATCTCTTGATATATACAGGCATCCTCCACGTTTCCAAAGGCCACGGTGGGGAATGGCAAGGCGGCAGGCTTTCCATCGGCACGTTCCTCGGAGTCCGGCGATCCAATGGCACGCCTTTTCCGAGGAGCGTAAGGGAGCGGATTCGACACGCTATGCTTCGTCCGCGTTTGACCGGGAACAGGACGAAAGGTGACCGGGATCCGCTCGTTGATTGTCTGGAAAGTCGCGTCAAGGCGATCATCGAATACTCTCTTCTCGAACGCAAGGCGCTTTGCGTTGTCGGGCTGGTGTCTGCGGTCGGGCTCGGGCAAGACTGTGTCAGAGACAGCGCCGTCTCTGAAATGTGGATAGTCTTGGGTACTTCCATAGAAGGCCAGAATCCGTTGCCAGGCACTATAGTTGCGGAACTGTTCACTTGGCAGGACCTCGGGGAGTCGGGATTTGGCCCTCTCGATTTCTCTCCTCAACGGGGCAGAGTTCGATATCTCCCCTATCCTAGCGTGACAAGTGAGGTTCCGCTTGCTATAGACCAGAATTGCCAGTTTCGCCATCTCAAGGTCGATATCCAGGCCCTGATCGATGAGATACATGACGCATCTCTCGATCAGGCGGATCCATCTTTTCGGTTCGCTGGAAGAATCTTGCGATTCTTGTGTAAGCTTGTCACGAAGCTGGACGACTGACTTGTGGATGGGAGACCGCAGCGCTCGGGACGTCCTCAACAGGAAGTTCCAAACCCGAGCCGCGTAGTCACCATACTCGAGGAGGAATAACAGCCGCTTCCACCGCTCGACTGGGTCCACAGCAATGTCGTTTGGTTCCTCAATGAGGAGCCAAGTACACCATTCTGGACCCCACCAAGGATTGAGGCTTGACGGAAGGTGGCCACCAAGCGCGCCGTTATCAGAGGGGGGTGGGGGCAACATACCCTGGGCCGCTCCGGTGAGCGAGCCCTCGTCGGCCGACATCTGTCTAATAGAACATCAGATGGAAACCTATCCATGGGCGCTAGCCAAACTCACGATGATGCCGGCATATCGGTGGAGAGGAGATTAAAACGAAGTATAAGTTTGGCGTCAGTATATGAATCTACGGAAAGACTTCAGACGAAACTTGGGGGGAGAAAGAAGAAAGGGAGGGAAAGCAGAACAAAATCGTTTCTGGGGTATAGACTGATACCAATGTACGCCATTATAGAAACTACGACAGTGCGCTTGGATCCTGCCATTTAAGAAGGGTCATCATGCTTCCTCTGCGACTACCTTGGTTGTAGTTTGGTTGTACTCCATAATCGAGATCAAAGCTAGCTTGTCTGCAGCTTCCCTTAAAGCTACAACTGAGACCATCCCATAGACTACGTGTATGCATGGCCTAAAGAATAATTTTGTCAACGGGGCTTAGATTATGAGTAGTTACTCATTTCATTATAATTGTTAACAGATATCAGAATCCGAAAAATCAGCAGCAAAAACTTTGTCAATATCCCAGTACTTTCCATAGTAAGGACCATCCATCAGCTCGCAGTCTTGGTCACACCCAGTCCGATATCCTATCCGTCGGCAGTCGGTACACCAGTCCTTTTCAAAGCTGGGGTAACGCCATGCAGGAGAACCATTCCAATTTCGCTCCAAATAATTCTCAATATTGGTTTGGTATTGCCGATCTGCCCTTTCGGTATCCCAGATGTCATTACTCTCGAGATTGTCCATGATCATTTGCGTCTGAGTATCAATACTGTCCTGATCATGGGGATCGAGACCTTCGGGGTAACACGAAAGCCATCCTTCCCATGAATCCCTGGCTAATATGGCGTACGTGATTTCGTAAATGTTATATAAAGCGCACATACGGAGATTATGGCTGTTCAGACCGGGATCGTGAAGATTTACTGAGCCTGGGTACTGTCGAATATCTAACAAGCTACGTTCGAGCCTGGGTGACCAGCTGACGGGTACTGCCAGAGGCCAGTGGGCGGCTCGATCAAGGCGAAGCATTGCTGCGGTATTACCATGCAGAGTGTCCAGGCGTGTTTCTAGGAAGAAGTCGGTATCTCGAATCAGGGCGTCGATATTATCAAAATCTCGGACAATATCCCGGTACTGCCAATCTTGACTCAGAGGGCCATCGTTATAGTTCCGGTAACCATTGTTCAGAATGAAGTCACGACCGTAGTTTATCAGGCCCCAGTCCGTAATGCGGTCCATGCGCCGAGTATCTGGAAGCACCCGGAAGGCACCGACATTGCATAAGCGACAGAAGGGCAAGAAAACTATGTGATGATCAGGACGAGATTTGTTCGGATAAGGGATGCTCTCCAATACGTGACCTTCCTCTTGCCAGTCGCGACCTTGATGCTTTCGCAACCGAATAACTATGGAAGCGACAACGGCGTTCCGAAGAATATCCACCAAGTATTGAGCCTTTTGCCAGAGCAGGGCAATTTGGCCTGGATCTCTTGGGTCGGGTGCGTAGATATGGATCACCAGGTTAACCTTGTAGTATGGTATACATAAGAATCGATGCTGGGCAGTCCAGGAATGATTGGGTATGGTCCAGCGCAATCGCAGTCGTTTGCAGTGAATCTCGATCCAGGGGTTGTTGAACACTGGAGTTAGATGTATGTTGAGTGTGTCATAGAGGCGATCGATTATTTCTCTGTAGATTGCTTGCGAGCAGCGAAGGATTTTCAAGGGTGAATTCTTTATCTTAAACAGTTTCTCGTAGATCTCCAGTCGGATTTCGTAGGGCAGCTTGCCCAGCTGTCCCAACGGAGATCTCTCCATTTCAAAGGTATGGGTATATAATGTTCAGTAGCTGATCTGGTTGTCTGCTTCGGTGAAAAGTACAGTGGCACGTCGTGAATTGCTTTGTGGGTTGATAGATTGGCTAGCTTGGTGTAGTTGAAGGGTGTGTGTGATGGGGAAAGAACAGCCACTGGAATGGAGAGGTGAGAACTGGTCGGTAGGTAGTAAATCAAGCGATCATTGAGTCATCCCGATCACTACTTAGTTATATACCACTCATCATGAGGTAACTATTTTGGCATGCTATATTATTTTTGCCATAGGGAATATACTGCCGACTATTATCCTTATGGAATCCTGTATGAGAGTACTCTTTTTTACTTCGTAGTTTCCTTCGACCCATGCGATATAAAATAAAAGAATTACTTGGATTGAGCAGGGGTCTGATACTGGATGGTCTCTAGAGTTCTGAATGTATTTTCTACTTTCGCGCTATTTCACAAGATTCGGCAGGTATTTGCAAACTATCTGTGCGTTGCTGTTGATCAGTAGGTGCATGTCAAGGGGCGGCAAGCAAGCCCAACGGGGGCATGATCTAGTCTGGCGCACAATCTATCTTGTATGGCTACTAAGTAGTTAAAAGCACTTGCTTATACAAACTCAGTGTTGATTCGAGGTCAAGCGATTGGGGGATTGGGCTGCGTTTCAGCCTTGCAGCGGTCCTCATACAACCCTCGTACCTTTTTTCCTTCCAACATCGCCGCCAAATTGGGGATCCTGTCAAGCAGCGGTCACTACACCTCCAACACTAATATATGCTCAAGATTATTGTCTGTCAGTGATACCTTCTTATAAGCCATTATTTCTTCCTGGTTCCACATGACGGCACAGCAGTTTCCCTAACTGTACCCCCGAACTACCACAAACCCGTCATGCGTAAGAGCTAAGCCCCCTTGAACACAGCCACGTCCGGCTCGGTCGCATTTCGTCGCATCCTGATTATAATACACCATCCTTCCTGTGCTGCATCCCATCAACACATACGAGCTCGAGTTATTTGTCTTGGTTGTTCACGATGAGCTTCGGCTTTGGTGTCGGTGATTTCCTCGCTACTTTGCAACTCGCCGATGACTTGAAGAAGCGGTTCGCCCAGGCACCGAGTGGCTTCAAAGCTATCTCTGGAGAGTAAGAAGCCGCACTTTATCTTCTCAAGCAGTGCTCACCATCATCAATAGTGTAAAAAGCCTATGGGCGCTTCTTCACGACCTCAATGATGTTCCTAACGAAGGCCTCAGTACGACCCAGAAAATGGAACTGGATATAATCGTCCAGCGAGGTCGTGAAGTCCTGTTGGAGATCGAACACAAGTTGAGCAAATACAACGTGCTTGCTTTTGCAAGTTCGGACTGGAAGACAAAGGCTGTCCGAGCATGGAGTCGAGTAAATTGGGACCCTGCAGAGGTGGACAGCATGCGGAGCCGCATCACTTACTGTCTCTCGCTGTGGAATTTGGTAATGGGCAAAATCAATCAGTATGAGCAATATCCCCTCTTGGTTCCCTTACTGCTGCGATTTAACATTACCTCCGTTTTACTTTGGGGAGATCTTCGCTGATGGTGATCCGACAGAGATCTCACCTTGGAGATCGGAGCAGACATACAGTCCATGAAAGGCCACCACGATATGCAGCAGCGCAATGAAACGCTTGCATGGATATGTCCTATTGACGCCTCGGAACGACATCAGAGAATCATTAGCTCTCGACACGAGGGAACGGGTAAATGGTTCCTGGAAAGTGAAGAGTTCCGTTCTTGGATCTTTGATGAGAAGAGCAAGGCACTTCTATGCACCGGGGCTCCTGGTGCAGGCAAGACGGTACTTTCTTCGATCGCAGTCGACCACCTTCAGCGGAAATTTTCCCTAAATAGCAGTGTCGCAGTTTCTTATCATTATTTCCACTATCAGGAGCGGATTGAGTATTCTGAGCTTCTTTCAAGCCTCTTGAGACAGTTACTTCAGGGAAATCAAAGCCTGTATGAGAGTATCACAAAAAGACGCTACCTCCTCCCGCGCAGGTCCACCCGTCTGGCCAAAGAAGATATCGAAAAAATATTCAGTGTGGCGGTGTCTGAATGCAGTGAGGTGCTGCTAGTCGTTGATGCACTGGATGAGTGTAACGACGTATACGTGAGGCGTCAATTCCTCACTTGGGCTAGGAGACTCCTTGACATCGGCGGTCGCACGAAGGTCAAGCTCCTTGCGACTGCCCGACCGGGCGATTATTTCAGTCATCTGTTGTCTCGAGGTGTTACTTTGGACATTCAAGCCAGCGAAGGCGACATGGAAAGTTTTCTCGACGGAAACCTTGACTATCTTCCGCGTTTCCTTCGAAGGAAGCCTGAGCTTTGGGCGTATGTTAGAAAACAGATTCTCGAATCGGCTGATGGAATGTAAGTGGCACCGTTCCCAGATATCGGAAAGTTACTGACTCGTCTAGATTCTTGCTTGTGCGTCTCTATTACAACTTGATCCTGGATGAGAAGAATGAGAAAAGAGTCCGAGCACTGAGTGGTCAGTTCCAGTCAGGGTCAGGGGCTTATGACCATGCGTATAACCAGACAATGAAGAGGATTAGCTTGCAAAGCTCCTTCTCTCAGGACCTTGCCAAAAGAGTACTCGGGTGGCTCACGTTCTCTGCACGACCACTTAGCGCTCTAGAGCTACAACATGCTATTGCGGTTGAGATTGGTGAGCGCCAATTTGACGCAATGAACGTCACAGATATTGAGGAAATCGCTTCTGTCTGCTGCGGATTGGTCACGGTTGACGAAAGCAACAACACGGCGAAGCTCGTGCATCTTACTGCCCAGGAATACTTGGAGCGGACGCGGGAGGCTTGGTTTCCCACCGTCCATGGATACCTCACAAACACCTGCCTCACATACGTGTCCTTCGACGCCTTTGAGCAGCAAGTCTTGTTAGAAAGTGGCCGTCAAGAGCATCGACAAGAGTACCCGCTTTATCGATATTCTGCTCAAGAGCTAGGGACGCATCTCCACCAAAGCTTGGGCAGCGATACGCTTCTTGCTTCATTTATCAGGAATGATGCGAAAGTTACACGGTGTATGCGAGAGATGTTCGGCCTGTCGGAGACTCCTTACAGTTTTTCTGGGATCCATCTCGCGTCAGTCTTCGGCCTAGATCAGTGCATGGAAGAACTTGTCGGGGTCGACAGCAACTCAGTAAATGCTCGGGACTACCTTGGTCGTACACCTCTCACCTGGGCAGCAGGATTTGGTAATAAGTCGGTTGTTGAGTTTTTACTCGATCGTGGAGCTATTGTCGATTCTGCTACATCCGAGAACTTCACACCTCTTTTCTACGCCGCAGCATATGGTTACAATGAAGTGGCCAGTCTGCTGATTGACCGAGGTGCGAATGTTCATTATGAGAATGCGAACAAGGAAACTCCTATATTCTTTGCAGCAAAGAGCGGCCCTGGAATTCAACGGGGTCCTATATCGACTATCAGCATGGGCGATCATGCACTTGTCATGAAAGTTCTTCGAGATGCAGGAGCCAACATCAATCAAGAGAACAAGAAATGGGAAACTCCCTTATTTACAGCTGCGGTAAATGGCAACCTGCGTGCTGTTGAACTGTTACTCGATTGGGGCGCCAGAATACACAGCACCGATAGATGGAAACACCATTCAGCAGACCCACTGACAGCTGCGGCACAAAAGGGTCATGTCGAAATAACCAAGCTTCTTATTGCAAAAGGTGCAGGCTCCCCCAGATTGATGAGGGACACAGACGTTTCCGCGTCTTTCTGGGGACTCTCTTGTTTGATAAAGGCTGGCTTGGAGAGAGATAACTATGCGATCGAGGCAATTCTCAAAGAATCTAGTAGTCCTAGCTTCCAAGACGAGTTCCACCGTCTGCCATTACACTGGGCAGCATCGCGAGGCGACATTACTCTCGTACAACGCATCTTAGGGACCGGATGTGACCCCAACCCGAAAGATATATTCGGCCGAACACCCCTATTCGCAGCCATTTGCATGGGCCAGGTCAAAGTGGTCAAGATTCTGCTTGATCACCCCAACATTGAAACGCATATTGAAGACAGGTTGGGATTTTCTCCGCTACAGGAGTCATATCGAAGACAAGTATCCCTTAGCGATGTCAAATACAACCCTTTCTACATGCCAGGCATAACCGATGCAAAGCCCTGGAGAGAGATTACCGACCTTCTCAAAGCCAAGATTGGTCAACGTGAGGATGATCTAGTCCATATAAACACCCTCCCTTTTGCCCGTTATATGCTACCGCAGGCGCCATTCTACGAGCATTGCGATGTTTGTTTGGATACAGAGACCTTGAGGAAGAGTGCACATTGCAGGGACTGTCCGATGATCGCGGGAAAAGATGGGTCGTCGAAAAATACTGTGATTTACTGTCGGAGCTGCATCCAGAGTGCACTTTGCTGTCCACTTTGTGGTCGACTATTTGATGGAACGGCTACATAGCAACAGAATGTATACATAGATTTATCTTCTGTTGACTTACCATTTTTATCTACTGAAGTTGGTCGGCATGCGTTATTGCAGGAGGGGCTTATGGGTGTATGTTAGGCATCTAGGAAGGGGGGGGGTAAAGAAAAAGAAAAAGAAACTGATTCTTGTCCCGCGGTGTGACGATGACAACAAAGTAGGCGACAGAGAATAGCAAAAGACGAATTGTGTGGGGGACAGCAAAAAAGAAAAAATATCCGATGCCCCCATGCAGGATTGAACTACAGACCTCTTGATTACAAGTCAAGCGCTCTACCACTGAGCTATAAGGGCGGATATGTATTTGCCACCGCCTTACCCCCTCCCTTAGCGCAGTTGCAGGTATCCGTTGCAAAGAAAAAAAGGAAGGGGGGGAAGCTAGCTAGCTAGCTTGCTGGCTACCCGAGAATTGAAAAAGAAATGTGCCCCCACGCGGGATTGAACCGCGGACCTCTTCATGACATGATACGAGTGAAGCGCTCTACCACTGAGCTACAAGGGCTTATTATTAATCTGCTGCTGAAATTTGGATAATGAAGGACGCGGCATTATTACGTTGTCTTGCGCACCCTTGAAGGTCATCGTGGTCAAGAATTGGGGATCTTTCGCCTGCGGGGTGGTTACAGAACACTCTATTGTGCTTAAATATGTCTAAATATTAGATTAGTATCTTGATAGTACTCTTATCATCGTCTATAGCATGATTTTACTCGCATTTTGGTTTGGCCCATTTGGACCAAACTTATCCCACTAGGTTTATATATATTCTTGCTTGTATACCACCCGGTCATCCTAACAATCACTTCCAATTTCTGTAATTAAAACATCATATACAACCAAAAACCCGTTAATCTACCCAGGAGACCAGCATAGCACACCTAGATAAGCTTCCCATCCACAAAGTCCACAACCTGGACTTTAGCCAGATGATGCTTGACATTGTGCACGAGCGCGATATGCGCCGGGTCTTTGTTCACGAAGTAGTCGCGATCCGCGGTATTTTCGAAGACGGAAACAAATGCATGGCTGATGCCGTTCTGTGCACGGGAAATTAGGAGTTACGCCCGCGACTCATAAAATCGAAACGTAGGAAGTAGACGCACCTGAAGGCCCTCGATGGAGACATCTGCACCGGCCTTCATGGAAACGATGTAGGGCTTGCCAGTGTCCGGGTGGATGCACGACTCGCGCAGACCCTTGACCTGACTGGCGACCTATACGAGGACAAGTTAGATCTGGACGCCTCGGACGTATGAAGTGTAAGACAAACATACATCCTCCCTAACCTCGGGAGTAACGTCGGGGTTGAATTGGAGTAGGACAATGTGAGTGACCTGCATTACTCAACTGCGAGATGGTCTATGATGGTAGAAGAGAAGACAAGCTCACACTATAGTAGTGCTATCTATTTATTCCCGAAAACTGAAATCATCTTTAACCCTCCCATAGCAAATCCCCCTCCTGGAGAGCCAAGATGCCATTAATCAGCAAGGTACAGATTTACGCAAAGAATTCCCCTCCAGGTGAATATGTCAGCAGAATAGAAATTTCTGGACCCTATGATTCTGTGATCACCCTACAATATAATGCTTACTGCCAGTGTCCTGGGGAGGATCTCCGGGATTGAATATCCTGCGCGGAGCGGGATCTAAACCTCTTTCGGAATGTAGCCTAAAACTCAATGAGACCCCGCCAGTCCAATTGCGTCCATTGGCCCTGAGAGATAAGTCTCTTTCTTCGTTGTCAGCACTCAATTGCATACCAGAATCAACCACACAGAAAATGGTAGCCTCAAGGTATCTGGCCGACTTCTGGGTATGATGCCAACCTTGCAGTATAGCTTTTATATACGGTACACTGCACCGCTCATACCAGTTCCTTCCCCAAGAGCACCGGCGAATCACTCACACCCGCAGTAGATACTTAAGTAGCAATAGAGTTTGCCAATTCCGGATCCGGGCTGCTGGCAACAACCTAATAGATTGGCTCACCCCCAGCCAGACCCAACGGCGTCCCTCTCGGGACCTGTGGGCCCAAGTGGAGAAGAAAGATGATCTCACAAGTTGCATTTGTCATCGACAAACAAAAAGAGGGTGAAGAGGGGTGTTGCATCCCATTCTACCGCCTTCTTGGTGCTTCTTGCCCATGATACCAGAGACACATATATAGGATACCTCCTCCCCTCATTCTTTCCAGCAGACACTCTCCTACCCACTCAATCAAACCGAGTATTTCACATCACAACAACCAACCCCCCCACCATGCCTCAAAAAGCCATCGCCGTCACCGCCCCTAAGAAGGGCGACCTGGTCACCGACCGCCCCATCCCCAAGCTCCGCGACGACTACATCCTCATCAAGACCGTTAGCGTGGCCCTGAACCCCACGGACTGGAAGCACATCGAGTATCTCGCGCCCACCGGCGTCCTCGTCGGCTGCGACTACGCCGGTATCGTGGAGGAAGTCGGCCCCGCCGTCAAGAAGCCCTTCAAGAAGGGTGACCGGGTTTGCGGCTTCGTCCACGGCGCCAACGCCGTGCAGCCCGAAGACGGCACCTTTGCCGAATACATCGTCGCCAAGGGCGACATCCAGATGCACATCCCGGATAACCTGAGCTTCCAGGAGGCGGCCACTCTCGGTGTTGGTATCACGACCGTCGGTCAGGCTCTGTACCAGAGTCTGAAGCTGGAGCTGCCCACTGAGCCCGCCAAGGGCGGTAACGCAGGCCCGATCCTCATCTACGGTGGCTCGACGGCGACAGGAGCACTGGCGATCCAGTTCGCCAAATTGTCCGGATACAAGGTGCTGACTACATGCTCGCCGCGGAACTTTGATCTCGTGAAGAGTCTGGGTGCCGATGAGGTGTTTGATTACAATGCGCCGTATGCGGCGGCGGAGATCCGGAAGGCTACGGATAACAAGTTGAAGTTGGTGCTGGATACCATTTCGTTGGAGGCGAGTGCCAAGTTCTGTGATGAGGCTATCTCTACCGAGGGTGGTGAGTACAGTGCGCTTTTGGCGGTGGGGATTGAGCGGAAGAATGTCAATGATCGGTGGACTCTGGCGTATACTGCTGTGGGTGAGGAGTTCACGTTTGGTGACACGCCGTTCCCGGCCAAGCCTGAGGATAAGGAGTTTGCTGCCAAGTTCTGGGATATTGCGCAGAAGCTGTTGGCTGAGGGCAAGATTAAGGTACATCGGCCTAGTGTGCGTGGGGAGGGGTTGAAGGGTGTGTTGGAGGGGTTGCAGCTGCTTAAGGCTGATAAGGTCAGTGGTGAGAAGCTGGTGTACAATGTTGCCGAGACTCCTTAGTTAGTGATAAGTACACTATGTATGTGAGGTGTTAATGAAATGGATTTATGAGTTTTAAAGCAACTCCGTGTTTCTTCCCTTGCCTGCCGGTTTAGGACTAAATTCCGCTTCGAGGACTTCGTCTGTAGTGTTTGTAATCCCTAGTTGCCTTGGCGCGGTGGGACGGGAAACAGCTGAGCGGACACTAAACTACATGCGGAAATCACTGCGCGGGGCAACCCGTGGCTGGCATGATCTGTGACAACCTACATAGACAGCTGCAGTGCGCATGCACTTGTTATATAGAAGACGCTAGTTATGCTCATCCATGACAGCGTTGGAATGACATAGCCACTCCCTGCTTATCAATCAACTGTGGATCTCTCAAGACGGATCCCCGGACATCTACTACAATGCCGCCCAGACTGGGATGAGATGATGTTTATTCGTGCACTGGAAGCACAGTTTTCTATCCTGAAATGTACATTGAGCTTAAGGTATTGCGAACATTGCAATCCTATCCTTCAAAGTGTTCGTCGAAGACCTTGCCGGGATTCATTAACCAGCTCAAAAAGGATTAGTAAGCGACTGAGAGAGAACACATGATTAACGTACTGAGGATCAACGCTCCGTTTCAGTCCCCTCATTAATTGCATCGTCGGTGTACCGAGTTCCTCCTCGAGATAGGCCTAGTGGATGTTAGCGTTGAGGATATGACACAACGGGAATAGGGATTGCCGACCTTCTTTCCTAATCCGATGCCATGTTCGCCCTGTTTCAGTCAGATTTGTGTTGAAACGTCATGTAGGAACAATAACTCTTACAGAAACTGTTCCCTCCATTTCAAGCGCCCGCTTCATCATCCTCGAAACACACGCCTTGACGCCCTGGTGTTGCTCTGGACTCTGGGGGTTGTACATCACCGCTTGGTGGAAGTTGCCGTCTCCAACGTGGCCAAGAACCGTGGAGAACAGGCCCAGATTGCTGGATTCGGCCTTTGAGAGCTCTGTAGATCATGTCAATACTAATTGAGCAACACAGTTGCTCTGAAGTTAAACTTACCAACAATCTCAGCCAGCCGCGATATCGGTACAGCCACATCCGTAGACCAGATTTCGGTTCCTTCAGGTCTCACAGCCAGCATGGCCCAGAGGGACTGCTTCCTCGCCGACCAGAGATTATCGCCTTCCTCGCGGGACTTTGCGAACACCAGCTCTTTGCCTTTGTTGTTGGTTAGGATGGTTTTTGTGCGTTGGATGCTGTCGTCAATTGCCGTGCGGGATCCGGCGAACCTGGATTGTCAGCTAACTACTAAGACTAAAACGAATGTCAGTCTTACTTCAAAAAGAGGGTCGGCTCCTCCGACCAAAACCTCCCACCTGCGCCACCGTTCTGGTTGATGATCTTCATCTGCACGTCGTCCATGAATTCCAACGCCGCGAGGGGAACACCGTCACGGATCAACTTCGATGCTGCGGCCGTTGCGTCACCGACTGTGGGGAAAGTAGCAATCCCAACGCTGCTGTCTTCGGGAATGATAGCCAGCTTGAGCGTCGCCTCCGTGATGATTCCCAAAGTCCCTTCCGATCCAGTAAAGAGCGCGTTCAAGTTATACCCAGCAGAAGACTTGCGCGGCCGCCGTTTCGTCTTGATCACTGTTCCATCCGGAAGCACGACAGTGAGGTTAACCACCCAGTCCTTCATCGTCCCGTAGCGCATCGCATTCGTGCCACTGCAATTTGTCGCGACCATACCGCCCACATACGCAGTAGGACTGGGGTCCATGGGCAGAAACAGCCCAGTAGACTTGATCTCCTCGTTTAGATCCGTCCATCGCACACCTGCTTGAACCGTCACATTCATGTCCTGCTCGTACAGCTCAATGACCTTGTTCATCCGCGACAGGTCAATACAGACACCCGAGTGAGGAGCTGCAAAGTTCCCTTCAACGCTTGATCCGGCGCCGAATGGCACCATCGGAACCCTGTATTTGGTGCATATTTTGGCTATTGCGGATACTTCCTCTGTCGTGGCTGGACTGAGAACCGCAATTGGTCGTGCGGTGGTGTTGGACGTAGACCATTCGGAGTATCCATGAACTTCAATGTCGTCGGCGTCAACACTTACATTGTCGGGTCCGATGATTGTCTTGATTTCCTCGACGGCCTAAATCTCGCGATTAATAATAATGATAGTTAAGCTGCAAATTTGCTACATACCCGAAGCATCGTCGGGACGTCCGCATATTTGGAAGGTCCGGATTGAGATGGACCAGATTGAACATCTCTAGCAACATCCTGCGTCTTGGAGGCTTCCCTTCCGCGCCAAGCCTCGGACGCAAAGAGCGTTACAGCCGCGGTAGCGACAATCGTCCCCAGGATGGGCAACGTGGCCGACTGCTGCCTCGGGGGATGTTGCGGATTAGTTGCATAGTTAGCTTGATGCTGAAATCTTCCCCTTATCCTGAGTGAGGATGGCTGATGGGATACATCCCAGGCGTTTAATGATGATCGCCGCCCGCAGGCACGAAGGTAATAGTTTGTTTGCCAACGGATCATGGCTGGGCGATGAGGTCTCATAAATGAGATGTTAAATTTCACCCGTTGAGGATCGACGAACAAAATTTGGGATGGTCCGTGGTTCGCCTTATTTGGTATCTGAGGTTTAATGGGATTAATCGGGATCTTCAGGGTCGCAGGGACACAACTGGCTTCTAGAAGCGAACTAAATCTTTTGGTTATTGATCGAAGGGTGTCATATGGCTCTGGGACTGTGGAAGGTGAGTTGTTAAAGTGGCCAATGGTGCTAGTTACACCCTATCTGCCATGCTCTCAGGAAGATGCACTGATTGGGCATGAAGACTTGAAGCAGTCATCACTGTTTGCGGCTGACGTTGAAGGGGGGATCGACTGCAACATTTGCCTAATCGGGATGGGGCCGGAAAACGCGGGGAAATAAATACTAGTCACGTGATAGACGAGGGACAAACACATTCGCCAGCAGATGACAGTCGGGTCGCTTCTTGAGTGATTAGAATGTAACGTTTAGTC